ACTAATAATTTTCTTGTATTAATTGTGGTAGTGAACAATATTAATATTTATATTAATTTTTTATTATTAATTATCTTTTATAACTATTTTATAACCTTACTATAACTATATTATAACTATTATAACTATTTTATAACCATACCACAACCTTAAAACTAGTTTATATAACCATACCACAACCTTAAAACTAGTTTATAAATTATAATACTAGCTTAAATACTATTTATAATATATTATATATCTATATGCTTACTATTATTATTAATACTGGATTATTAACCACGTTGTTACTAAACCCCTCGGGCCACTACGTATCTACCATTCGTGGTCAGATGGAGGTCGTCCAACATATTATCCGAAACAGCCTGGACAATATTGCCCCGATCGACCTGTAGCCCGAAGAACATAATACACTAGACAACCATTAGGAGATATTATAAGTATGGACTGATTCTTAGACAAGAATCTATGGAAGTGTGACAGAGTACTCACAGCCCATAAACACACACGCCGGTCCAGTTTTCGGACGAGCCGTTTCTCCTCGTTGGAACTCCATTCTAGCGTTGGATCAAAGACGTGTCGGCATTCGTATCCTACCTTTTCATATAGGGTCATGTAGCGTTTTGCGACGACTGGGTCTAAAAACGGATTATCTTCATCTTGTCTGCTCTTTGCTATCAATGGCGTGCTGTCTGTGTCTGAGAAGTCGGTGAATTTCAAGGGCTCGCCCATCTGTGACATCGCGGGAATGCTACCAGGTAATAAATAGTAAAGACGCTGTATGAAAAGAAATAGGATCTTCTATTTGTGAATGTTGAGAAGAAGATTGATGGCTTTGGATACTAATAGTATGTTGTGGTGAGGACTTGACCCCTCTCATGTCGCCATCGGGGAGCAACTTGCGTAATTATCGATACCTAGGCATATAAAAAAAAGAAAATAATTGTATTTCATCTTTCTTGAACCGTATCTCTTCTTCTCAGGCCAACCTCGACCTGTTGTCAGGCTTCACGAAAATGTAGAATATGAATCAAACATTGTAAACAATAGGCATCACAGTGCCTTTTGATTGGCAGAAATGATCTTGACTACTGACTCGACATTTTCCAGATGGTGATTCAAGAATATCTTCACTCGACATCGGTGTGTTCTTCAAGATTTGAGGGGAAAAGAGTCCAAGGGTATCTCGTGACTGGGATCAGGTGACTGGCTTCCACACCGAGTCACCGACTCGCACTTGAACTTTCGTTTCCTTGAACAGTCAGTCAGTAAGTCTTTCCTGCAAGCCTTTGCGGAAAATAGATGAGAAGCATGGTACTGTCGAGATAGGTGAGCTCTATGGATTTTGCAAAGGTGCTAGTACCCCGCCAGTGGCGAGGGCCTACGGGAGAATGATCTGACCTGCATTGTCTAGCTAGCAGACTCCATCCAACACCGGAATCGAAATATCCAACCTAATACTGAATAATGCTCGAGTAATGCAGAAAAGTATAATCGAGAGCTATGAGTGGCAAACAACTACGGGCCCTACAAGTTTCTTAGTCAACGACCATCTGATATCAGATTGGGGGGAGCAAGCTTTTCTAGAACAAGAAATCATGATGCTATCCATATTGCTACGCGAGAGAGGCATTGGATATACAGTCCATGTGAGTTTACGGGTGCCCTGGTCGGCTCGAAGCGGTTGATCGACTCGAGGGGCCTCAGAACGTACCATAGAGCAGTGGAAAACTCACAGGGTGACAGACCAGTTGATTCGCTCGGAAAAAAGAAGTGGGAGAAGAAGAAAAAGAAGAAGAAAAAGAAGAAGAAGAAGAAGAAGAAGAATCTTGGAAATTGAAAAGAATGTCTGCAAACGGCAGGAGAGAGCTTGGAGAGAAAAGATTGCGTCTCGATCGTGTCCGGAATTGGAATCCTTATCAATGCTGGCATCTCGACCATGCTCCACGTCCTAGGCTCCTACCATTACCCACTCCATCCCGTAACTTGAAAGTTGACAGCCTATGGCTATACATTCCAACGAGATCCGCCTGCGTGCCATGGATTCCTCCTGTCCATTGAGCATCCCGACCGGGGAGATCTCGACCACTTGATCTCCAATCACTCGGAGAAAACTTTCAAACCCCCGCTCTTTAAAGTTTTCTTTTTCCGAGCCGCTGGTGCCGAGAGAGATGAGGAGTAAAGACTCACTCTGGAGAGGGGCCTAGATTTCTCTCGATCCAGAATATATCCTCATCATCGACCCAGTGGTAGATCCGGGTCGAATTCCCGTAATTGCCGATGCATAAAGTATTAAAAGAATGGGATCAGCCGCTTTGTTCGACAAACTACGCCAAAACTAGTGATCCACAACACCAATCTCTTTGTGATCGAATGAAACACACTACTTATCTCTCAATTTCCATGCCTCACTCTCTCCCCGAGGCCTCGCAATGGCGAGTTTGGAAGAGCGTCGAGATTTTCTTCACCCTCCTACTAAACAGCCAGCTGCGCCGTCGGTGGCGCATCGAATGTGAATGGGAAGAGCACGAGTCCCTTCTACATCGCACCTACCGCCGCCCGATGATCCTTCTCGAGTCGATCCCTACCTTCAGCCGCTGGTCCGGCAAGAGCCAAGAGCTCGAAACTCTCAAGCAACGAGTGCGAGTAATACGTGCCCGCGCCGAAAAGGAACGCGAGCTTGTCGCTGAGATCCTCCAGCGCGCCCTTGAAAGCGGCACCATGCCCGGCACCACGCCCACACCCATGACGCCCACCTTAACGGCGGGCTGCCCGACCGACTTCTGCCACACCTGCATCTGCTCTGGCGACGTTGCTGCCATCTTCCTGACCAGATGCGGGCACCGTGTCTGCTGCTCCTGTCTAGCTTATAGTGTGCTCCCCACAGGCGAATATGTCTGTGGCATCTGTCTCGAACCAACAGAGCTGGCCTCGTCGAGGAGAATGTCGCATGTGTCGAGATCGAGTCTGTTCTCCACATCGACAACAACGACGTCGGCGACCGAGATCGACGACGAAGAGTCAGACAACACCGACTCTTCGTCCATAGAGGGATACTCGTGGAAACCACGAGGGTTAAGCATCTCGCAGCATTGACGAGAACAGCGAGTTGGAAGGAGTAGTATATGGTAGATATGTATATATAGTATTAGTATTAGCCTGCATTGATGAATAACGAATATACGAATTATAAGGTCCTCCAGATCAATCAGTAATACAGACACTCGATCTCTCTCGTAGACTCGCAGTTGCATGAGAAAATCCGGCCGCCAAATCTTCGTTTCTCCACTCGAATCTCCCCCGCACAAAAAGTGTTTATCCTAAATTCTGTACAGACCAGCAATTCACACAACAATTCTTTCTTTCTTTCGTTCTATATTTATATTTATTCATTTCCCCAAATGGCTCCTAGAGACGCACTGGAGTTCCCTGCCTCCGACAGGGTCTTTCTAGAACCCCACCTACCACCCCTGGACAGTTCCGCTACTCCTGCTACGCCTTCTACTACTACGCCATTCACGACACTCACCTTCGCCACGTCGCTGGACTCTGCTCTCGCTCTGTCCCCGGGCACCCGCACTGTTCTGTCCGGCGCACAGTCCAAGGCGATGACGCACTACCTGCGCTCTCGGCACGACGGGATCTTAATCGGCGTGGGCACCGCGGTAGCAGACGACCCGGGTCTGAACTGTCGGATACTCGGTGTGAGCGGATACGAATCAGAATTAGAATCAGAATCCCAAAGTCTATCTCAAGAACTTCACGGCCAACCGCGTCCCGTGGTGATTGATCCGAATGCACGCTGGGGGTTTTCCGAGGAAAGTAAACTCTTCCAACTCTGCCGAGAGGGAAAAGGACGTGCGCCGTGGATAGTAGTCACGCAGGCGACGGCCCAAAGTATTCCATTTGATAAAACGAGATTGTTGGAGAGGTATGGCGGCCGGTTCATCACGGTGTCTTCCTCTTCTTCCGACTCACTCGACTGGCGGGCGATCCTCGAGACGCTAAAGATGAACGGCTTGTCCAGCGTGATGATCGAAGGGGGTGGACAAGTCATTAATTCGCTCCTGGAACCGCCGAATCTCGGCCTGATCGACAGTGTGATTGTGACGATTGCCCCAACGTGGCTTGGGCGCGGGGGGGTGGTGGTTTCGCCGGCGAGACGGGTTGACGAGGGGGGGAATGCCATTCCGGCGGCGAGGTTGAGAGATGTTGTCTGGTATCCTCTTGGTGAAGATGTGGTGTTATGTGGCAGGATCGGTGGTGTACACTGTAGGGGGTAGATAATGTCTAGGCATGAGTTTCTACGAATAGTCACAGATAGGATATAATCTCAGTCACCATACTATCAATAGAACTAACTATCTAGATATACTATCCAGATATACTATCTACAGCTCATCTCACCATCTCAACATCTCACCTCCCTAATAACTTATAACTGCCCTTAAGTAGTCTTGACAGGGTACGTGATAGCGTCGGAAGAGCAATCGGAAGATTCCACTAGAGAAGTCAGCTTGTCAATCACAATAAGGCTAATGGAGAGACGTACAAGGAGTAGTAGGCTCGTAAGTGCCGTTGACCGCGGATCCATAGACATTGAAGTAATAATAGATGGATTCGAGCTTGTTGTCCGAGCAGAGGAGGGTAACCTCGTATCCGCCATGGATATCAGCCAGGGCAGCCTGGATCTCCGCCGCGGTGTAAGTCTCGGTATCGCTGGGGGTGATACCAGCGTTTGCGAGAGCAGTGTAAGTGTCCAGCCCCTTGAACAGGGTGACGACCTGCTGGAAGAAATCGCCAACTTCCTCGCCGGTAGTGTAGTCGGTATAGCAGGAGGGCTCGATGGTGTTGATGCACGTCCCGTGGGCGTTCCACTCGTGCGCCCAGAACTCGGCGGCGGTCTCGTCATCGCTCACCCAGTATGTCTCCATGTAGGTGAGCAGGTCGGTGAGTCCCTGTTCCTCGAGAAGAGTCTCCACGTCGTCGTATTCGGGCGAGTAGTCGCAGTATTCTCCGTAGTCGCCGTCGCAATAATCAGGCCTGATCAGTTAGAAATATGGTGACAATATCGTCTAGGGTGAAAATAAATATCTACCATAATCCGTGGATGGTCCAAGAATCAGACGGCCCGGCGTCAGTGTCCCACAGCTGGACCTGCACGAGAGCTCCTCCAGGGCTGTTGTAGCAGCAGGTGTCGGTGACGGTGCCTGTTGCGTGGCAGCTCAGGGGGGTGTCGGTGCAGGTTGGCAGGGTGCCTCCCATGACGAGGGGGGCGAGAGCGAGAAAGAGAGGGAACATCTTGAGTGTTGATTCTAGAAAAGTGGGTGTAGATAGAAGATGATGTTTGATGTGGATGGAAGATAGATGATGATGAGGAGTATGATGGGAGTACTTATACTTGAAGTACTTGTACTTGAGATTACTTTTCCTTGGCTACTTACTTTACTCGATGTTGCATGATATCTCTGCACATGTTCTATAGAAGAGGTCTAATTTGTCTCTTGCCTGCAGGAGGACCGGAGACCGACGGTAGAAATACTGCCGTTTATGTACCTAAAGTGTAACTATCCTACCTAATACCTTTCTTATGGTAATACTACTTCCTTGTACTTTGCTATAATTATGTTATACTCATAGTTATACTCCCACTTATATTCATACTTACTGATTCCCATCTTAATCCCACACATTCTCATACTACCTGATTCCCACACATTCCCATACTGCTCTCATACTTACACCCAATATACTAGGCGCTCTATCTATACTCTTACTCTATTCTATACTTCGTATATATGCAGAACTTAATCTAATTGATCAACAGCCACAACCGAGCCCCACTGACTTGATATAAGCATCCACAGCCAATCGAAACACCATGTGCTGGGAAGGCAGCAAATAAACAAGTATTGATATCCTGATTTATCACATGTTAAGAGGCTGGTGCAGCTCGCTTAGGAGTTAGTGATGGAGCTGTCAACATTATTGCAGATGCAGTATGTGTAGTGCGATAAAATAAATGTCAAGGAGTGATCTAGCCATACCTCTAAGGATTTAGAGTAGTTTCTACTATATAACCCAGGCATCGAGTAGAAAGCCCCAGTCGCATAGCGGTACCTGGTAGAGTCGTATGATTCCTATAGTCAATGTCTATGCAATTCCTGTGAGAAATTCGCCGTTGGATTTTGTGTAAGATTCATAGACCTAGATGAATTTAAAGCCTTAATACCATTTAATACCTCAATGACTGATTTTTGGTAGAATTACTCTAGAAGTTTAGAGTATATGAGTAACTAAAGTAATAGTACCTAACTAGTAGTAGCAGTAGTAGTAGTGAACTCATTCAGGTCGGATCGGAATTCCCCGTTTCGGCACTGCCGCCCGCCTCATAAATAACCAGCACAATTACCTACTAACTACTATCACATCTACCAGCCATCAACATGGATAAAAATCTCCATTTCGAACTCAGGTGAAGGCCTTTACCTTCAATTTATTGCTTCTAGCTAACTAGTAACAGCCAAAACACAGTATTCCTCAAGCGAAACGGAAGTAACTGCTTGTCAGGGACCCTCGTTCTCTGCCTGGGGAAACCCACACGGATCCGACGGGCAGAAGTCAACCTGAAAGGGGTCTTTCGCAGACAGTAAGTCTAGTTAAGGTTCCTCTGTTTATACCTGAAGGCGGAAGAATTAATTTTAGACCTCGCGAATGGCCCGTTTTCAACACGAGCGTATCACTCCTCCAGACGAATATCCTCCGGCCTCTGTATCTCTCGCCAGGACGGCATGAGTTCCCCTTCACTATTCCCCTGCCTCTCTCGCGACATATGAAGGAGACGGTCGAGGGTGTGGACGGGTATGCCGTCTTCTACCGGCTTAAAGGTTCGGTTGCTGTCTCTGGCAAGGAAATCTCCTGTTCCGAGAGGATACGCATATACCATGCTCTTGAATTGCAGACAGATGATCCGGTTGTTAGTTTTTTTCTTTTCCTTGTCGGAAGCCCTAGATAGGCTAATCTTTCCGTACAGGGCGTTTATAATGAATGGCCTCAGAAAATCAGATACTCGATCGATACCCCCTCACGATACGTGCCCTTTGGCTCAACTGTCCCTCTGGAAATCAACCTCGCCCCCCTGACAGAAGGGATACAATTAGAAAGCATCACGGTCGAGATGCTTGAAGACCAGAATCTTGCAGACGAGTACTTTTCCAACAATTCAGCAGAACGACTGGTTCAATCACGGAGAATTTGCGAGCGGAAATTCAATTCTATCAAAGATCTCGACTTCGGCAATAATAATTACTATAACAATGATTACGATAATACCGACAGTGATAATGGATTCTGCGTTTCGATATCGCTACCGACCTCGCTATCTGCGTATTCGCAGGATGTCATGGTCGGGCATCTGGATATCTCTCATCGACTGATAGTCACCCTTTTCATCAGGAACGACAATCATATTTCTTCAGTGAGATATTTTATTCTTCTACTTTACTTCATTCTCATCTATGCTATATACTAATCCATACTGCAGATCCGTGCAGCTGTTCCAGTCGTGATATATATGCCATGTGCTAACCACGTCAAAGATGGAATTCCTCCACGATACGAAGATCATATGCTGGATCTACCGGTAGACATGTCTCATTTAGATCGATTACCGAGTTACAAATAATACCACCATGTATATATAATATGTGAAATATAATTGATACCATAGAAGGATAGTCTGCATCTAATCAGTATCCAACCCCGGGCAGTCCTCGCTCGTAACGTTGGTGATCTCGGTCCAGGGATAAGGATCCGTCCAGATCAGATTATACCTAAATGTTCAGTAAGCGATGGTATTAACATGAATAATAAAGAAAATGCTTACGCGTCAGAAGGATAGTTGGAGTAGGAGGAAACACCCAACGCCTCGACGATGTTGTTAAGCGCGGCGTGTTCCCAGCAGATGAGAATGTTGCCCTCGCCCTCGTAGTTCTCAACCGTGTCGGCCACGCAGTCGTAGTCTTTTTTGGTGCAGTTCGTGTCGATGGTCAGGCCGAGTTCTTCTGCCAGGGGGAGGACGGTATCATAGGGACGTTGGCGGCTTCCATCTATCATCATCAACACATATATTAGAGAGAGAGAGAGAGAGAGAGAGAGAAATACCAGACTTGGGCTGCTCAGCCATGATGAAACCAATGTCATAGTCTGATTCCGGACCAAAGACATGAGTCAGACATTCGGCCCGCTCAAGACCAGCAGCGCTGAGTCCATCACTGCCATTGCTGGGCTTCTCGCCGTGACGGATCAGGTAGACGGTCGGCTCGGCGGCTGCAACGGCAGTGGCCAGGAGGAGAGTGGACAACAGAGCGCGAACCATTGTAAAATAGTATGAGAAGAGAAAGAGGAAGAGAGAAGAAGGTGATGTCTAGGGAGAGGTTTATATAGGCGTGTAGGTAGTACTTTCCTGGTACTTTCTGGTACTTTTCATTCCCTGACGATCTTTCTGGCTTCAGACAATCCTTCAGATCCTTCGACCTTTGAATATCTTCAGACCAAAAAGTAAAACCAACAAAATAAAACCTCCCTGTCGATGGTCTGCGGCACGTGGAGCAGAGAAGCGTTGAGAAAGGCGTGATAGGACAGACTAGTTTGGGGCGTGTGCATTGCATTAAATGAGTACTAGTTTAGTACATCATAAGATTGGATCTTGATTTATAAGAATTGTAGATTTAGAACTATTAGAATATTGATTATTAAAAATCTAGTCATCGTAATTCAGAATTGTACTATTGAGTTAATTGTAGTGTTTATTGAGGATGAATTTCTACTTTCCTGCCTGAGGCTACCAGACTTCCGGAGTATCGAGGATTTGGATTAAAGATTCGTACGTACGTAAAGTTGCTACCTAAACTATGGATTCAGTACTAGCCAACTATTTTGTTAATTTTCTTTTCTCTTCTACCTCGTTCAGCGCGCGACAGTCGCCACCTGTAGCGCCAGGAACCAGGATCGCCAGGGGATACCATCCTGCAAGTCTGCGTGGCTCAACCCACGTAGTCACGCAAGACAGGCTTCTCACTGCTGCCTACTACCTAGTTACATATGTGCCTTAGTATGTGGCCCTGGTTGGTATCTGCCGGGGATCCATCCTACGATCGAGATCCACCATTCCCGGTGGGGGAGGAGAGGGGTTAGTACGCCGAGTTATCTTCAGCTTTTAGGAACGCCAGTGCTTTAGTATGGTCATAGTGGTAATCAGATCAAGGACGATTTATTCCATATCTACCTTATCAATAGAGTGATTATAGCAATTAAAACAAGTACAATTAATATACTCTACAGTCAGTTGTACATAACTAAGGTAACTACCTAGGTGTATAAAAACTTGGCAGGGCAAGCAGTGCGAGGACTAAATTGGTGGCTGGGAAAGCAGGGACTGGAGTCTATAATAATTACACTAGATGCTGGCTAACTAGCAACCAGCAGTGTCATACTAATAAGAATACCTAGGCTCTCAACAAGAGTTACATTGGAGGAGCTGGACATGAAAGTTACGTAAGACAACAGGAGTGTTTCTCGAAGTCTTGAACAATTATTAGATTTAACTATACCTCTTACAATCACAACTAACTAAAGCAGGTTAAGCGGTCATGGAGCCCTGGAGGAGGAGGGCGCCTTCCTTATTAGGACAAGACTCGAGATCACCTGCTCTTCGCTCACGTGTCAACCTCCCAAACCATCGTCAACTAATTCCTTCTTATCTCTGTAATGCTGCAGTCTGGTTGTACAAGCACAGGCAACACCCCCCTTACACGATGATGATCCTTGACCCTTACCGTAAGTGTACCTGTGTCACCTGCGGCTGTACGAACATCTACTCTGTATGAGGCAAAGAGGGGGAAGAGAAAAAAATGAGAAAGAAAACCAGCAGGGAGTCCAGTCTAGCTTTTTTCAAGTCCAAATCTCTCAATCTCACATCACAATATCCCAACGATGACAGCCCCACGACTCACTACCACCTTCACGCCGCCGACGTCGTGTATTCAGGATATATACCGCGCAACCAGAGGATGTCCTGGCACCGGTACAAACACCTGTCAGTATACCTGGCTGCAGCTTGGTCCGACCAGGAGCACAAATGTCTGTCTGCCGTCGGGCTGGGCTAGTGGCAGCACTGCGGGCTATTTCTCCCCGGGCATCTGTCCAAGCGGCTACACCACAGCCTGCTCGTCTGTCGTGACAATTGACTCGCTGTCAGAGACCAGAGCCACCTGTTGTCCAAGGCTAGTCTCTATACTAAACCATGGATATCTAAGTGCGGTTCTATTAACATGTAGTGCCGGTTTTAGTGGCTACACTTGCCAGATACAAACCGACCAGGTATGGTATTCCACCAACCTCTGCACATCCGTTCCCTCGCCCTTCAGCACCGACATCTTCCTCTACACATACCGCGCCGATGATGGATCATCCTGCACCTCAGCCACCGGCAGCATAAGCGGCACGGGAGGGGTCAACGCATACGGTGTCTCTATCCGCTGGCAGGCGACTGATTCCGGGCATTCTACGGGAGACAATATCCAAGCTACCACCACCACAGCCACATCCACATCCACCACGAGCAGCATACTGGGCACGACAGCCTCCTCCTCTGCCGCTCCCAGCTCCACACCGGCCAATTCACCGCCAACAGTTACCACAAGGCTATCAACAGAGGCAAAGGCTGGAATCGGAGTCGGGGCCGCCGTCGCATCCCTCTTGATCTTTGCCCTGGTCGCTTTGCTGATCCGAGCAAAGAGGAGAAACAGGCCTAGTTTACCACCAGGACAAGTGGGAGGAGATGGGAATCTCCAAGAGCCGAAGATAACCAGGAATGAACTCCCCGTACGGGATGGAACTACCGCTGAACTGGCTGTGCCCCAAACGGATAGACCCGAGCTGCTGTCCTCGTCGCCAACGCTGGTCAAGGCGGATCTACCACCGCAAGTTGCTGAAATCTGATTAATTACCAGGTGGCACGCAGTCCCCGGAACTCCTAGGCTTGCTTGGACTTCGCAAGGGGTTCATAGGACCTATATGAATAGATATAAGCTTTCATTCACTACTATCACGGTAAACAAAAATTCATTAAATACTGGATTAAATGATTTATTTTGCTTGTAGTTGTTCTAGGCCTACAGTCTTCGAGTTGCATGCAATGTTCTATGAGTAAAGATGCTGGTATCCACGCATAGTACAATAAAAGATATCAACAAGCACTTAGACATCTTGTCTTTAGCTTATTGGAGGTAAGACCAGGTATTAACCCAAGAAGTCATGTGGAATCAAGACAGGAATTGGTCTTGGAATTAGTGAAGGAATTTACAAAGATTACCAGTATAAGCGTTAGATTTATCTTAATCTGATACTCGGCTTGATGCTTGAAGCCCTAGTTTCTACTTAACTATGTAGTATAGTATTAGTAGACCAACCAGTGGCTGTGGTTGAGCAGAAAGCTGTCTACCTACCTAAGTTAATAAGAGCAGAGTTTAAGGACTAACCGGCTTCAAGGTGTCAAAATCAGGTTAACAGTATTAGACGTTGCAGAGTTCGCTCTGTACATCAATTACCCTAGAACTTGACTCCTCATAGATCCATAGAGATTAAGAAAATAAACACATTTCTTTTATTCCTATTGTACAGGGGGTTTGCAAAAAGAGAGTAAATATTCACTGTTCACTCCGTCCGCTCAAAACCAATGCCGTTCCAGAACAAAAGAAAATCTGTGGACAGTTCAATATGTATTGCGCATATGGCCCAATCCCTGCTTAAGCTTCATGAATAGAGAATAGAGCGTAAAAAGAAAGGCAGGGGAATCGGGAATGAATGTACAGTTCGAGCTGTCAAAAGTGATATCTCACCAAGTTGATCCTGGCTGCTCGACTCATAGTTTTTGATCAGACTGTATCTTCACCTTCACCGGCTTTGGCAGGTCCTATAGCCTGTTCCGTCTGTTCGTTGGGTTGCTGATTATCAGTAGTGAGCTGTCCATCACTGGGTAGTTCGGGGCTCGAATCCTTTTCAGATTCCTCCACCCAGCCGGCCAATCGCTTGAAATTGGGCTCACACTTTTCGAGAATCATAAAGATGTCACTGCGCGCCAGACGCTGCGTCCGGGGCAGGGCATTTCCCGAAATAGAGTGACTGCCGATCAGTGCAGAGCAATAATCTCGTTCCACAGATAACATCACTTCTTCGGCGCTGTCGATCACTCTCTTCTTCTCTGAAGTAATAAGCTTCTCGAGAGCATTTTTCACAACGTCCGCACTCTGACTAAACATTGTTAAGCGGGCTTTCTCAACGTGTTCGGCCATGGTTGCCTTCATCCTCATGAAACTACCGGGGCCTAGAATGAGGTCAGTAGGCAAGGTCTTTCTCTGGAACTATTAGGGGAGCCAAATCTTACCGCGTTCTGCCGTACAGGAATAGTAGGCAGCATTCAGGGCCTCTCCAATGACCGGTTGGAACATACGATTGATTTCCCTCGATTCCAACACGATGCCTTTACCGCTGTTGTCGTAAAGATCATGGAGCAGTCGTCGATAGTTTTCTAACTGATGCGACAGCATCTGAAGACTCCCCAAAGCTCGCGAATTCCCACTAACTTCGTCCTGGACACTGTTATGGAAGGATTCGAACAGCTTGCCACTGTCCTGTGTGGCCTTTTTCATGAAGAACTGAACGCGCCGAGAGAACATCTGTTCCCAGTCCGAGGCAACGGCCTTGATGACGGGTTCGATCAACTCTGCGTTCCAATCATGAGGGCCTTGAGCGTTTGCATATGTTCCATTACGGCGGCATATAGCCTTGTACGTTCCCCAGAGGTAACCACCGGCGGCACGGTTTGCACGATTGATCGGCGCTGCCCATCGGAGGACAGTTTGGCTTGCAGCATTCTCAGCTGCGGAGACGGCGGTATCTAGATAAAAGGGGTATATATGAGTATCGACCCTGGAAATCCGTTGTAAAGAACGATGTGAGGGTGCAACTAACTCACCACAGGTGTCAAATATGGCGCTTTTGAACTCATTTCGAATGTCCTGGTAGATTTTTTGAAGGAGTGTCTCCATGTCCTATAGTATCCCACAAGCCAAATTGTCAGCCTACCGCATTCAAAGACAATTATAAAGAAATTCATCAAGAACGAGGGAGAAGAAGGGAAAAAGTAGAAGCTGGGTCCGTACGGTGCATCAAGGCCGGTTGGACTTACAGTCTCGAGTTGTTGAAGTTTACTGCGAACCATGGACGCCTGCTTGGATTTCTGGTCGTCAGTGAGATGGGCGCCATTGAGATCTGGAGATGACCACAGCCACAGAGAGTTCAGGAGTTGGTTCAAGCTGTTTAGAAACCGACGATAACAAGTTTCTCTATTAGTATCCGTGACATTCCTGCAATGCGCCTGGAGTTGAGGGATCTCGGTCTCCTCAATGGTCCGGAACCCTGGTACAGAAGGCTCTTTTCTGAGTCGCCCTTGCAGCTTTTGATACCCGCGAGACGAGACACAAAAGACCGGAAGGGATTGAGCGACCTGATCATAGTCGCGCGCATCGACGTCTGGGTTGAAATTTGCCGCGTCCTCCTCTTCAGCAAGTTCCTGATCAAGCTCTCGGACACCAGCTGCAAAGTCCTGCTGGATCGCGCCTCGTGAATACTTATTCCGCCCAGATATCGCAATTGAGCTTAGCTCGCCTTGAACATCAGACTCGGCTTCATCAATGGCAGATACTTGTTTTCGCAGCTCTTTGATTTCAGCTTCCAGATCTAGCTTGCGGCGCCGACTCTCTTTCTTCGTAGCCTTGAGTTCCGTAATCTTTTCTACAATTTTTTCTTTGGTAAGAGGGTCGCCTCGAGATAGAGTGTTGCCCCCTTCATCGTCATCATCATCACTCTGGTTATCACTGTCACTGGCAACAGAATCACTCTCAATGTCGGAGTTTCCGTTTCGGGATTGCTTCCGTGAATCTTTCTGGCCGCCACTGCGTTTTCTCTTTTTCGACGATTGGTCGGATGGAGGAAAGACAGTTTTGCCATCATCCAGATCCTCCTTCAACGTCTCCCACGTTTCAAGCTCTTCATCGATACTATCCGTAGTGGCCGCATAAAGCTGCTTCGTCTCTTTCAGCTCCTCCAGTCGTTGTTTGATGTCTCGTTTTTCAGAGGCATGCCCTTCAGACTTGGCCCAGAGAGCACCCATCTCCTCTTCAAGGCCTAGGGAATCTTGGCATTCCATGATACTAATATCATCGGTCTTGCTACATATGAACGTGACCGTGTTTAAACCACCGTCCATCTTGAGCTGGCGCTTGAACGTTTCGCCGAGGAGAGACTTGGCGGCCTTGTCATCCACCGCCCGTGTTATAGGAGCCACAATCCACAAGCCGGTGCACTGCTTCATGTAGCCTTCTGCGACGGAGGAACGAGCCGCATTAGAGTCGTGAACACCAGGCAAATCAACCACGACGGCCCCAGTCGAGAGCGCAGAGGCTTTGACATAGAGGCGAACAACCTTGATCAAAGGCCACAACTCCATCTCCACGGATGACCGACGGTCTTTGTCTTTCTCACCAGTTGTTTTCTCCTTGCTATCCACAAAGGTGAGCAACTTCTTGTAGAAGCGAAGGGAGTCGGTTTCTGAGATCTGTCGCCTGGCACCGAGCACGTTCTGGACGTTCGAATGTTGCATGAGTTTATCCACGGTGCTCTCTTGGAGCATTTCCCTGGTGTGCTTGGGATATACGGCCTTAATTTTGGCATATGCGACACCAGCCTCACTATCTTCGTTAGTTGCCTCGCGGGAAATCTGGCCGGTGCCATCGAGCAGATCATTGAACAAGACGCGCAGTTCTTTCTCCCAGTCTTCCCGGGCGATGAATTCAATCTCTGCTCGGTATGGGTCTTCACTATGATTGTAGGAAATTTCCGTGACCACCGCAGTGCATGCCCGCATACAATTTGTCGGCACCAATCTTTCCTCATCGAGCATTGCATTGATGATGGACGACTTTCCAGCTCCCGTATTACCGACGACGCCGACAATAGTCCGGGGTTGAGCGGCTTGCCCTTGAATGTTCTGAACGGTTTGCAGCCATTGAGCAGCCTCTTCCGCTGGCAGGCGGGATAGTGGCTCCTTCAGAGACTCGAGCAACTCGACTCCAACTTTGGCAGCCGCCTCGAGAGTTTCAGTATCGCTCTCAGCAAACAACTTCTGTAGGTCCAAGTGAGGTGGTGGAGGCGGCGGGGGCGGTTCAGGGTGAGCAATACTCGACTCCATTTCAGGGCTGGCAGTCTGGCAAGGGTGAGATAGAGTCGTGTGTGGTGTAGAAACCAAGGGGAAGAATTCTTTGCCCATGGCTGAAGTGTGTCGAAGCTCTCTCGCATACTCGGCCCATTTATGCCTCGTATCGCTAGACAACACGTCCCATTTGGTTTTCATGAATGTATAAGAAGCGTCTGTGTAGAAGTCTCAGCAACCGAAATCTTTGAGTTTAATAGTAAAGAGTGGATAAGCTGACCTAGTGTGCTGAATCGACGGATGGGCCCCTTAGATGAAAAGCGAAATAGATAAAAGCCTGCATTATTCTGAATGAAATGGTCAAGTAGGAATCGTGATCCTTTATTATCCATATCTTCAAGGAATAGACGTGCTCTTGTCCTGTGCACCTTATGGACTTTAGACAAGATCGGCCATAAAGATACAATATCTTCCCGCTTTTTTTCTTATAATCGATCAGAGTCAAGCCTATCGGTAGATAGGGGTACTTACTAAAGCGAACAGCCATCTTGCGTTGAGGAAAATTTTCAGCTAGACGTTCATGAACAAAATCTCGCATGGCACACCGCTCGACGAATTCATCAAAGTCGACGGGTATGGTCTCCGTGGTCGCGGCGGGAGCAATTCGGTCAAGTGAAGCAGGACTTTGGGAATGCTCAGCCTCGTGAATGGCTGGAGACATATTCTTGTTGAGGGGAGTCTGGAGTTGGCCGCGATTACTCGACAACGCTGGAGACAACCACGGTGATTGAGAACCAGGTTCCTCTTTGACCGAGCCCTCATGTGCAAGCGGTGTCAAAGTATTCCTTGGACTGTCATTCACCAGGGGCTTAAATATATCTCGTCGTCGGGCAAACATGTCTCCTTCCGCAATCACCTCGATCGCGATCACACGGTCGCCATCGCGATCAAGCTCCCCGATCCTCTTACCCCCCGGCAGGAACACACCGCAGTGCCTTAGATGTATGTCTTGCGACAATAGATACCGCTCCAGGTATTGGGCTTTCAGGTGGGAGACTTTGCTGCGCTACCAGGGGTAAGAGCGACTTTGTTAGCAGCCAACTTGGATTAGGAAACCGTCACTTACTGCGCGGCATTTGACCCACAAGACATCTGCCTTGAAATTTGCATCTGCAGGGATTTTCTTATGCTTCAACAAGCCCACCAAGTAGACATCTTCTCCGATGGACACGTCTGGCTTCGCAGCCTTCATGTCTCTGTGGAAGGCCCTGGTGGATCCATCTTCAGTACCGATACCGCTTCCAACCAGCTGCTGACCAGAACACTTACTCATCAATGGATTCCATGATGGGTGGTAAGGTATCGACTCGTACTCGTAGGACAAAATAGATACGGCCTCAAAGGCATTACTGCCCTCCTTGAACGTTTGGCTGGTGGAAGTTTGCGTCTTGCTCAACCAGCGCGTCGCGTCGATTTGATCAACGCGTAGAAGTCACATGACCATTCAGGCGGGCGCCCGACACAAACAGAGGAAGGAGCCATTTGGATCTTGACTCTGACTGCAGACCTCTTCTACGTCTGCATTTGACAATAAAGAGGGAATAGCCATACAGCTATGCAGCTATGCAGCTTCATATCTTTGACTTATCCGCGATAAGCCTTGCTTTGTCAGTTGACAGCAGCAGAATGCCCGTTGGGCGCCGCGAGGGTTAAAATACTAATAACAGCACGGATCACCTTCACCCGTCTAATCCCTGATGGCCCCCATGCAGCGGCCGAGGAGGTGGAGAGATTTCCCTTCACGATACGTGGAATGATAGGCCTGGTCGGCTGGAAGATGGCGGCATAGCCTCGAGTGTGTCATCCGACACTGTTAGCCTGCTCGGCTCTAACCTAGCAGCTGTCCTAGTGCTGCGTGCTGTTATTAGAACACTGAATTAAGCGCCAAATGCCATGAAGTGTTACAACTGCGCCCCGCCAATGCCAAGCATAATAATATTAACGACGTGGGCGACGGATACTTAACCCTGGCCTGGGCCTCTTGCTCGAGCGAGGCTCTTTTTCGGTACATCCATCCTCGCCCTTCGACGCCCTGTTCAAGATGGCACCCCAACACGAGTACGAATTGGCAAGCCAGGGAGAGAGAGGGGTAGACGATATCAAGACCGAGAATGAAGCGGCGAGAAAAACGTGGTGTTCGGTGGATACCTCGGAAACAACAGAAATAGCTAGAGAAGAAGGGGAGAGGCTGACAACATGGCAATGGACGATCGGGTGGGTGACGCCCAGTACCATGGTTGCGTGTTTTATTGTAGGTATGAGTAGACATTTGACAATACCGATTTACTTATGGATATAACGAGAGCTATGATTGACTTCTGGTGCAGCATTCCTACTCGCCTGTGCACATGTGATCTTCTTCCACTGGCTGAACGGACGCAAGGTCGAGGACACCTTCTCCCAACCACACGTCAATGCGGCCTCTTTGGTGTTCGCGAACGGGTTTCGCATGTTCCTTGCCGCTGCCTTAGGCATGGCGTTTATCCAGATGCTGTGGAAGCTTCTCCGTGCTCAGGCCATGCGCGTGGGTGACATCGACACACTTCTGTCAGTGTTGTCGAACCCTCTGAAGCTTACACATGTCCACCTCATGGGCCAGGCGCCCTTCCTTTTTCTGTGTGCCGTGGTCTGCTGGTGTCTCCCAATCGCCATGATCTTCCCACCGGGGGCCATGACGGTTGAGCCGCACATGTTCGAGACCGTGACCCACAAGAGCGTGCCGACCTTTGATGCAGCCTACACGGGCAATGACACGATTCTGGGCATGTTGGCAAATGCGCTGTGGCAGCCGGATATGTATGATGCGTACGAGTAAGTAGTAGGAGACAGCAGACAATTGCGCATACAGCGAGGGGAGCTGATTGAATGTAGTGGCCCAACAAATGAAATTACTCGGATCGCGAGACAGGCAATGATGGGAAGCGGCTATCTGACCTCGTCTTCCCCGTGCGGACAGAACTGTTCGTATTCTATTAGCTTCACAGCACCGAGTTTGGAGTGCACAAACGAGAGTACCCCCGACCTTTTCAGTTGGATCAATGAAACATATCCAGAAATGGCAACCTATCCATATCTGTATATCGCCTATCCGAATTATGAGGCACGGGTTAGTGGCGAGCTCGACTTCGAGTTTGGAATGCAGTTCGCGCAAGGCGGCAAAACGCCTTACCATAATCTCAGCTGCGTGACGTACGAGTCAACATACAAGCTCAACATCACCTACACGGACGGCACGCAGACGATCGACAGCGACGTTGATCCCATTAAAAGACTCAACAGCTCCGCTATTTACACCGACTATGCTATAATGGTGTATAATTCGACAGGATACTCCATGAAGAATACGACCTTGAACGCCACCACAGTGATGGGGACCTACGGCAATGTTACAGACATCTACCGACGGGCGAACCTGGCGGCAATCCAAGACGCGCTACTGGAATCGCTGTCAGGCTATATTGATGTTTACCGTAGGTCTCTACACACAAGCAACCACTATAAGTATACTAACGAACTCTGTGCAGTGCTGCACAACCAACTGTCCGCCAACACAATCATCTCCCTGACAGACCTATACTCCGGGACCGTGTCTGCGCCGTACTTCGATCTCAGCCAGGCCACGCTACAGGGCATGCTCCAAAACATCACCCTGTCGCTACTGACGCTCAACCAAACCACAACGAACACGACAGTGACGGAGACGACAACGAGCAATGTGTACTCCTTTGAACGGCCCGCACGCCTCCTAGCCCCCTACGTGCTCTCGCTGGCCGTGTCGCTGGCGTTCCTGATCGGCGGCGGCCACGCGCTAGTCAGCAACGGCATCTCGGCCAGCACGGGCGGCCTGCTGCAGACCCTGTGCACGACGCGGGGCAGCACGCGGCTCAGCGATCTAGCTGCGCGGGGGAGTCTAGGCGGCCGAGAGAACGTGCCGGAGGAACTGTGCAATCTCAAGGTCATGTTTGGCGAGCTCCGCGGTAGTCGGGGGCCACGCATGGCCGGGCTAGGGACGGAAGAGGAGGTCGTCCCTTTGGTGAGAGGGGTTATCTAATGCTTTATGTATAGCTACTAGTCACGTATCTAATGATCATGCACATACTCTACTACTACCACTACTACTACTACTACTACTACTACTACTACTACTACTACTACTACTACTACTCAAGTTAAGTCATAGAATAAATAATAACGTTATACTATACTAACTCATTACCAGAGTGAAGAATCAAAAAGGCAGTGTTCAAGACACTAACAAGATTACTCCTTCTCATACGTGGTGACATCCTTGGCAACCTCGTGCCTCACCTCCCTCACCTCCTTCTTCTCATGCAACTCGTCAAACTTGTACAGCGGCTCGAGATGTACGTCCTGCCGGAAGATGTACTTCCTGAACCACCACGGTAAAGCCTTGAAGACCTGGTAATGCATGTGCACGCGCGTCGGGACGGCGAAGACGTAATCCAGTTCCTCGAGGGTACGTTGCTTCGTCTCGGGAACCCAGAGGTAGATCATCACGAAGGCGGTAACATTAAGACCACTGAACCATTAGTAACATGATTCACAATTGAAGATAAGATTCGAAAATGAAGAATGTGGCATCTTACGCGTAAAATCCAAACGCCCCCATGGGGGTCATCACGGCCAACATGCGCGGGAAGGTGATGGTCAGGACGGCGGCCCAGCCGAGACACGTCGCCACGGCCCAAGACATTCCAACCTCTGCTTTTCGTTAGAAGGAACCCTTTTTCTTGAAGAGCAGGGGGGTTAAGGCTAAGGGATACCTCTGTGGGATAATGGAAACACCTCCGCGGAATAGGTGAAAGGGACTGGACCCTCGCCTGGCGAGTAGAAGGCGGTAAACACGTAGACAAAGAAGGCGATCAGACCAAGATGGGCGGTCTCATTCTCCGGGATGTAGAAGCAGGCACCCGCGACGAGCAGCGACCAGGCCATCTGCGGGAAAGTGAGAAGAAGTAAAGTGCGACGGCCGTAGGTGTCGATGGTCCAGATGGCGGGAAATGCGAAGAGGAAGTTGATGAGACCCCAGCCCCAAGAGGCGAGGAGGGCGTTGCGGGCAGAGGCGCCGGCGTCGCTGAAGATGGTCGACGAGTAAAAGGCCATGATGTTGATGCCGCACATCTGCTGGGCGAGCATGACGACACCCGAGGCAAGCGTGGCACGGCGCACGCGCGGGATCGTGAAGAGCTCGATGAATCGCTGGACGTAGTTGCTGTTGCCGACGATCTCGCGCTCGATCTTGATCTGCGCGTAGATGTAGTATAGGTCGCGGGCGGCCTGCAGATCGTTGTTGCGCAGCTGAACCAAACTCTTGTACGCTTCGGCCAGCCGGCCCTTTTTGATGTACCAACGCGGGGACTCTGGGCAGAAGAAGACGCCGAGCACCAAAGGCACGGCGGGGATGAAGGCCGAGCCTAGCTGCAGCCTCCAGGTGATCGAGCCGCAGAATTCGACCGCCAGGTTGGCGCTGTAACCGAGGAAAAGCCCAAATGCAGTCCACCTGGTGAGAAAGAATAGTCAGTATACTGTTTCTTTTGAAACTGTCTTTGACTATATGGCAAGCTTACATCTGCCAGGACATGACGAGACCGCCACGAATAGCAGCAGGGCAATTCTCTGCGCAGAAAATGGGCACGGTAGAAGCCTTGAGCCCCATACCGATACCGAGCAAGATACGGATGATGAACAGCTGAGGCCAAGTCTGGGCAAAGGCGGAGCCGATGGGGGTGATGACACAAAACAGACCGGCGATGAAGATGACGGGACGGCGGCCGAGCCAATTGTTCAGCGGGTCAGATAGCCAGCAGCCGATGACAGCACTTCCAAGGTACGGACCGGAGTTGATGGTACCGATGAGCCATTCGTTGCGTGCAGCGTGGGCATCGCCTGTGCTGTCGGGAATACCCAGCGCCTGGGGGAAGGACAGGTTGGCGCCGTTAGAGCCGGTCTGATCCCAACCTCTGGAGAAATATATCAGCATTTCACCTCGGAGATTACTGACAACGATGAACAGGACGAACTTACTGGACAGCTGCTCCGATAGAGCACAGGATAATAGTAAAATAGAGACGCCATGGCTGACGCCACCGATGCAGCTTCTCGTTGTGGATGGCCTGGATCTCTTCCTGATCGAGACCTTCGACGGCCTCGAAGTTGGCCGGATCGCGTGCGACAAGGGCACCCTTGCGTAACAGCGGCAAGATTTCGGTGAGCTGGAACTCATTGGCGAACTCGTCAACGTCGCGCAGCAGGTGGCTCTTGGATAGATGGGCAAGCGGGTTTTGAACCCTAGTAGAGTTAGCTTCCAGTGCCAATGACAAGCACGAGGACGGTCATCGTCGACTCTTACTTGGCGGACGCGTTCTTCTGCATATTGATTTGGTCATAGTTGCCATTCTCGCCGCTGTCATCATCGGATCTAGCAATTACAAAGTCAGCTCAGTTTATTTCGGTCTTCACCTTGGCAAAGAAGAACCAAGATCGGTTTCACCCACCTATCAAGCTTCTCGTCGTAGACATGACGCTCGCCAGCTGGCGGCTCATTGACAATCTGGTCGGCCATGCTGTGCTAGCAGGACGCGAAAACAGAGAGTATAAAAAAGGAAGAAAAACCACGGGGTAACGAGGCGTTCCCTTTTGCGACAGAGAAGGAGGGGAAGCGAAGCTGAGCCAAAACAAGCAGGCGGCCGATCACATCTTATAGTGCGGGCCTTGTCTCCCCAGAGACACGCCCGAGATACAGCTGCTGCAGCCGGTCTGCAGCAGGCCCAGGATGCCGAGCTGCAGGCGCCCTGGTTAGCCTCTCGAGAACAAGAGAATCCCGCCTGCATGCTGTGGGGGTGGCCACGCAGGGTTGTATCAGGGTCCCGGACTGGTCGAGTCCCGAGTGAGTGGCCTCACGAGGCCATGGAGTACGGAGTAAGATGGACGCGTCAGATGCGCGCGCGGGGGGGGGAGCAAAGAACCGAGATACGGAGTAGGGAGTAGCACTCGGCACGGAGCACATATTTCATTGTTTCTTTCCTGCCCGAAATTCTCTGCTCGTCTGTCTGTACTCCGTTACCTCCATACCTGCCTGTCAGACTGGCGGACGCCTGAATCTGTGGTCCAACGAAGCGGTCAACCGGGACATCACGTCGCGCTCAGACAGGAAGCGCATTCTTCTCTGCCGTATCCCGCCTTCTGTGCCGTCTATCCAAACCGTGATTATTCCCAACCATCTGCCGCTCTGACTCGGTCAACGATGTAACCATGGCGGGGCCCCGGTAGTGGGGGCTTCGCAAAGGACCCATGGGAAAAGAGCAGAGTGATGGATTGCGTTTGCCGGGCTGGCAAGAAGGCAGAGATTTTCTCCGGGCAGAAACATGACTGGCTTGACCTATGGACTGGCACGGCCCCCGGCCTGGTGGACAGGGATCGCCGTTGGACGGGACAAGGATCGACCCCTGGGCGTGGGTGGCTTGCCGCCGGCGTTGACTCGGAGAGGACTCGGGGGGGGTTATTGTAATCAGCAGAGAAATCTATGAAGGAAGACCAAGGCAGTCAGCATAATCCTATTCTAGTAATCCTCCTGATGATGATGATGGTGGTGGTGGTGGTGATGGGACAACCGTGGTACGATTCTGAAGAGTAGCAGTGGTGGAGACCAGACCAGGGGATAAAGCCGGGAGTTGGTACAGCGTACGGAGTAGTTGGAGGAGACTGGGTTGGGGGCGACGCGGAGATGCGGAGAAACAGTTGATCTGGAGCTAATAGAATAAGGCAGATGAATTATTATTATTAATATTTTTTGAATTATTCTCAAGCTGGATATTCAACCTGTATTCTGTATAATCAATCACTTTGAGGAACAGTTCAGTCCTAATCACTTTTTGTACTACATCCAGTTTGGTCTGTTTGTCCAGCTTAGGCAGCCTGAGGCTCTAATCATTCTTTCAGCCTTAGGCCACCAAATACCTTATCACTGACTAGTCCAAAGCCAGCCCGAAGGCTTATGCCAGCCCAAAACGCCACGTCTGTTTAGCCTGTTCTTGTATCCAGTGGCCACCCCCATCCTACGATGAGCTTGAAGCAAGGCCAGGGCAGGCTAGAGAATGCCACCGACGTCAGCAGTGAGAATGTCTTGCCATCAGCTAATAATTGACTTTTCTAGGACAATACCGAGTCAGGATTTAATCCTGCTGGTGTGGGTGATTACCTGGGGTATATTCCGATGCGTTATAGTAGCCTGACGAGTGATATCGTGAAGAGACTACCGACTAGACTGGGAGAGGTAGTTACCAGCATGACTGGTTATAAGAAGAGCATTAAGATACCTAGGTAGTGTATGGTTAGTGATGGATGAGTAACTTACTGAGTACTACCACAATGTACCATCGACATCATGGCTGTTTTGGGTATAGCTCGACGTTTGCCTTAGGAATATTACTCTGCCTCAGGCACAAATCTGCCTCAGGAATGTTTCTGCCTCAGGTATCCGGCAAGCGCAGTATTTCCAGTTGTAAACACCACCTTCTTTACTTAGCACTTGTAGTTAGCTACCTCCTACCCGACATTAAATCACCTACTATAGTACTCTTAGTACTCTTAGTACCCTTGTGCACTGCTAATCTCATTTGTGGCTAAGGGTCTAGCCTCCAGTAAGCACTAGCTACCAGCCAAATGACTCACATCAGTTATTTACGAGTGTACGCTCTATTCCTCCTCCCGCATTCAATCTACGATACTAATCAAAATCAACTGTCCTCCAACTTCATTCAACATGACCTACACTCTGTACGACGGAACCGTCGCGGTGGTCCAATCCATCCTCAAGACCCTCTCCCACATCCTCCACCAAGCCGAGCAGCAACAGGCCGATGCCAGCAGCACCATCACTAGCGCTCTGCTCGAAGCCCGTCTCCGCGATGATATGTACCCACTATCCGACCAAGTGCGCCTGGCAACCCAGTTCTCTGAGAATCTAGTCGCACGATTGACCGGTCGGGAGCCCATAACGCTTGGAGACGCCCCCACCACTTTCGCGCAGTGCTACGAGCGCATCGAGACGGTGCTCAAGACAGCCAACGCGGCAGACAAGGAGGTCGTCAACGCTGCCGGTGATGTCGTGGAGCCTACAAAGATAAGACCCACGGTCCTAGTGGATGTGAGCGGTGCGGCGTATGCGCATACGATGGCCTTGCCGAATATCTATTTCCATCTGACCACGGCGTACGGCATTCTGCGCAAGGAGGGAGTCCCTCTGGCTAAACGGGACTATTATGTTGGGTTTTTTCCTCTCCCATAGCATTATTCAGCTTAATAGTCTCTATCTCATGATATATCAAGTATACTTAACCAACTACTCGTACTGTAAATTGGCTCGGTGCGCATTTAATCGGAGATCGGATAAAGCCGAAGGCAGCAGTCTACTTGTTTGTTATGTTTGACTGTTTGACTGTTTGACTACTAATATTTGACATGTTTGACATGTTTGACATGTTTGTTGTATTTGCTGTGTTTGCTGTATTTGTATACAAGAGGCATAGAGACATAAAACACTGGCATATAAGAGTTGAGGCTGACTTCTAAAAACTCGATGAACATCAATGAAATCATCTCACATCATGTCTATCTTTCAACAGATATTTCCTCCCTCCCCTACATTCACTGAAAAAGATATCCCCGACCAGACAGGAAGGGTAAGACAGTCTTAGCCCTCGGTACCGGTTACCAGTTACTGAGGCAGTACGTACTTCCCAAGGTATTCATTATAACAGGGGGCGCATCAGGAATCGGCTTTGAAGCTGTCAATCTTCTCTACGCCCAGCATGCAGCCGTCTACATAGCCACCCGGTCCGTCGAGAAGATCAAAAACGCCATCGAGACAATCAAAGCCCAGCACCCCTCCAGCCACGGCCGACTCGAGTCGCTGATCGTCGACCTCGCAGACCTGCGCACAATCAAACCGGCTGTTCTGGACTTCCAGCAGCGCGAGCCTCGCCTCGACGTTGTAGTCCATAATGCCGGCGTGATGATGCCGCCGCGGGGGAGCACCACGGCGCAGGGTCACGATCTCGAGATGGGCACGAACTGTCTGGGACCGTTCCTTCTACAGCATTACTTGCAGGATATAATGTGTCGAACGGCGGGTACAGCATCTGCCACAGATACTACTACTGCAACATATGATGTACAGCCGGGCTCTGTGCGTGTTGTCTGGCTTTCTTCCATGCTGGGCGTGGGAACCGTGCCTGGCGGGATAGAGATGGAGGCTGCTACAGGAGGTCCTGTCATCAATACCGATCCAATGAAGAATTACATGCAATCTAAAGTAGGGAATGTCTTTCTGGCCCATGAGGTGGCGCAGAGACTTGCTGCTGATGGCATATTGAGTGTGGTATGTCTCACTTGCTTGATTCGATTCTTCTATCCATTAACCTTTAGTTAACCATTATACTACCTACATAGAGCGTCAATCCTGGTCTGATGAAAACAGATCTACAACGGCATATGCCTCCACTAGCTGGAAGAATTATGGTCGATCTTCCTATACCCTTCTGCATCTTCTATTCTTTGTTGACTTGTGATTGACAGAAAACGTTCTTCAAACCCGCGAAATGGGGCGCATACACTGAGCTCTACGCTGCGCTGTCTCCGGATCTGACTCTCGAGCACAGTGGAGGCCACATCATCCCCTGGGGACGGTATTGCTCGCGGTCCATCCCGGAGCACATTGCCAACGGTCTCAAGGGTGAGAGCGAGGGGGGGACGGGGACTTCAGAGAAGTTCTGGCAGTGGTGTGAGGGGGTGACGGAGGAGTATCAATGATAATCTAGACTCTGCTGACGTTTACTTTTCTATGAATAGACTATGACATCCATACTACTACATACAGTAAGACGCGCAATGCTAGTGCTTACTCCAATGCGCAGCCGCTATTTGTTGGGTCGTATGGTTATGAATATTATACATCTACTAACGTAGACAACCACCCTTTTTCTACTACTTTACTCCTCTTCTCCTTCACTCTCTTCTCCTTCACTCTCTTCTCCTTCACTCTCTTCTCCTTCTACTATCAAATACATCCAGGGTCATATTCAAATGCTTCCCATCAAGATATACTGGCGGAGTAAGACACGACCATTCTACAATTCTACACTACAACTATACTGATAAAAGTGAAGACCAAGTTCCCAACCCCGCCAAGGTACTTATTATTCTAGAGGAACTCCATCTTCCCTATGAATCGGAGTGGGTAGAGCTCGACGCCCTCAAGAAACCCCCATTCACAGACGTGAACCCCAACGGCCGCGTGCCCGCCATCACCGACCCGAACACGGGGATCACCCTGTGGGAATCGGCGGCGATTGTGCAGTACCTGATCGAGGAATATGATACGCAGCATTCTATCTCGTATGCGGGGGCGCCGGAGAAATTCCACGAGCTGCAGTGGTTATTTTTCCAGGCGTCGGGACAGGGGCCGTATTTCGGACAGGCTGCTTGGTGAGTCTCGGCTTGCTTGCACGTATCTTAAGCTTTGCCTATACTAGGCCTTATCTTACTCTTGTGCTATGACAGGTTCAACATCTTCCATGCGCAAGTATACGGAGAATCACCCGAAAGCGCCAAGATCCGTTACGGCGCCGAGTTGAAGCGCGTGGCAGGCGTGCTGGATCAAGTGTTGAGCACGCGGACCTGGCTTGTTGGCGATAAATGCACGTACGCCGATCTCGCCTTTGTTCCTTGGAACTTGCAGATCCCCTTTGTCATGTCCAGTCGGGAGGGGGAGCATGCCTGGGACGCGGAGCAGTTTCCTCATTTCACACGCTGGCAGACTGCGATGCTCGACCGGGAGGCGGTTCAGAAGGTCGTTTCTTTGATTGGGGAGAAGCATGTCAAGTCGGCATAAGTTAATCTATAGTAGGCTAGTCTATTTAGTCTATTCGATGATTGTTCTGGATCTCTTCAACGGCCTTGACGAGAATGTCGAATGCCCGACGGATATAGACCTCTTCGGCCTGCGCGTTGGCACTCACCACCCGGATGGCATACACGCCCGCGACGACTGAGGAGGTGATAAAGATTTCGCCGCGGGAGTTCACCAGCTCGTACACGTCTCTAGTGAGGGCGTTGCTTTCCTCAGACACGGTGGGGGCGTTGTCCTTCTTCACGCGAAACACGGTCAAGGCAAACGCCGGCCGGGTGATGATCTCGAAGAGATCAGACCGTCCACGAACGAGGTCGGCAAAGACCTCCCCGAGTCGCACAGTGTTGCGGATGTGAGCGCGCAGCCCGCTCAGGCCGTAGCTGCGCAGCACGAACCAGATCTTCAGCGCGCGGAAGCGCCGCCCCAGCGACATCGACCAGTTGCGGTAGTCAATCACACTGCCCGTGTCGGAGTAGTGGTTGCGCAGGTACGCCGGGGTGATGTCCAGCGCAGAAGTGAGGTCAGTGCGCTTGCGGACAAACAGGCAGCTCGCGTCAAAGTTGACCAGCAGCCACTTGTGCATGTTCATGTTGAAGCTGTCGACCCCATCGGCAAACTCGTTTGCAATGGCCCGGTACTCCTCGGCCACAAGGGCCGCCCCGGCATACGCCGCGTCAATGTGTACCCAGATCCGCTGCCAGGCGGGCTTCTCGCGCAGCACGGCCTTCAGCTCGGCGAAGCGGTCCACCGCACACGTATTCGTTGTTCCCATGCTAAACGTGATGAAGTAAGGGGTTAGTCGGTCTGCCTCGCACCGCTCCAGCACCGCCCGCAGTCTGTCTCCCGTCATCTCCATGTTGTCCTCCAGCCGGGCCGCCACGCTGCGGTACCGCGTCCCTGCGATCAACGCCCCCTTGGCCGTACTGCTGTGTGTCTGGTCACTTCCCAGCGCGACCAGCCGCGGCCGCAGATCCATCAGCCGGTCTTCAAACTCGGGACTTCCCTCGACCAGCCCCTCGGCGAGAGCCTGCTCGCGCACCCGTCGCTCCCGCGCAACCACCATCATCGTCGCGACGGCATCACTGGCCGTGTTCTGAATCACCCCCCCACCTCCATTCGGTGAATCACTCTTAAAACACCCGGGCAATCCTAGCGCCATAGCCATCCAGTCCATCACGATGGTCTCCAGCTCCGTACACGCAGGAGAACACAACCAGTTGAACGCCGGCGCAGTAAACGTAGCACTGTACATTTCTCCCAGGATGCTCGGGTAGGTCACGCTGGCAGGGAAGAATGCCATAAAGTTCGGCGACTGCCAGTGCGTCAGCCCGGGCTTGATCTTGCTCTCCACGTCGGCTTGGATCGCCGCCCATTCCTCTCCTTCCTCTGGCGGAACGTCGGGAATCTGAGGCCGCAAGTACCCCGGTTCAATTGTCGGGATTACCCGTTGCGAAGGTAGACCGTCAAAGTAATCAATGACTGTAATCGTTGGTCAGCTCACAAGTCCTCCCTGGATGGTTTGTATGCCGAGCACTTACTATCGTCAATGGCTGCATGGGCAGCTGTTTTGAACTGGTCGCGGTCCATCTTGACGCTATATCTATACAGACAAACTGATCTTCACAATTTTATCGCAGCAAAACAGGGTATATGCAAGGTTGTGTACAAGGTAATGGCGAAAATTGTTGATCGTGAGGGACGAAGCCTGAGGAAGTCTGCGCGGAATCGGAATCGGAATCGGAAAGGTCGGATTTACGTGATTGGGAATAGCGTCGAAGAGGGGTAGGCGGAAGCTGATTGGTGGGTGTATTCCGCAGTTCCGCTGTCATGAAATCCTGAATAGGTTAGCGTCTCCCTACCCAATTCAGCCAAAGAGAGTAGTATGGACAGAGAGTATACTGTATGAACCGGATTTACTAATGTTTCTTACGAACATTCCTAGTACTGCTCCTGAAATTGGCTATTCCTGCTTCTTTCTATCTATTACAAACGGTACCGGAAATGCTTGTTCTCCATATCTGTCAGGTCGGAGAAGCCCTCGCGTGCCTCGTCCTCCGCTTGAGCGTGGTACCCCATGCGGTCGCGGTGGCGGTTCTGCATCCAGCAAGTGCCGGTGTAGATAATCTGCAGCACGACGCAGGCCGCATAGCAGGTCTCCAGTGCCTTGATGGCCGACATGTACCGGGGGGCTTCGTTGGCGAGGAACAGGTGCGGGCCTGCAATATTGCCGGCGCAGTAAAAGCTGCACCAGTTAGACATGCGCAAGGAAAGAGAGATACTGATGACTGCTCTTGACGAGGAAAATGCTTACATGAAATATAATCCCAACACGGTGCTGCGCTTCGTGTGGCCGGCAACATTCATCGCTGGCAGGGTCCAGTTCAAGACGACGGGAGAGCCGAGGAAGCTTTGGATCCACGCGCAGGCAACGAGATTGTAGCGGTGTTCAATACTGATGGTCATGATGCCGGCAAGACCGACAATTCCGGGAATGTTACCCACTGTAATGGTCAGCATGGACAATAGTAGATGGAGGAGAGAAAGAAGAAGAATTGACATACGCATGATGGCCACACCCGTCATGTTTTTGAAGGTGGACAGGTAGCCAAAGGTGAGACAGCCGAAGACGGCAATGGCGCCGCCGGGCATCTGTAAAAGGGTCGCACGGATGTCGGAGAAGCCGAAACCCTCGATCAAGGCGCTCATAAAATTGGTAACGCTGCCGTTGAGGATCCCATACGAAACGGCCATGAGAAGATGCAGGTAGGTCTTTGGGTCCAGCAGGGCCTCACGGACCTGATAGGAGAGGAAGCGCGAATGCTGAACGCCAGTGCGGTTGCCCGAGATGCGCCAGACGGCGACGACACGCTCATACTCGCTGAGCATCCGGGCATTGTGCGGCCCATCCGGCAGGTAGAAGAAGATGACGACGGCCCAGCAGATGGTGAGTGCACCCACAACGAGGAAGATGAGCTTCCAGTTGGGCAGAGCGGCATGGCTGGCGTGGCCAAGACCCCAAGATAGTAGAGCGCCCAAAATGCTAGAGACCCCGTTGGTGCCGATCCAGCACGAGGTGCGCAGCGGCTGTTCGTCACGCGTCCACAACATCGAGGTCAGTAGCACCCAGGCGGGCGAGATACAGGCCTCCACGAGGCCCAGGAAGAAACGCAGGGCGAAAAAGCCAGAGAAGCTGGTCACGGTCGCCTGAAGCATGCATAGCACGCCCCAGACGAACATGATACACCCGATAGAACGGCCGATGGGCAGGCGCTGCATGGCCAAATTCGACGGATAAGCGCCCACCAGCCAGCCAAAGTACAAGGCCGAGGAGACCCAGGAGTAGTCGTTGCCCTTCATGTGCGTGTCCTCCTGCAGCCCGTATGCATCGGAATAGTTGAGGCTGTGCGAAGTTAGATCAACGCGCTATAATTATAGTTGAGAGGGAAGAGGATGCTGCCTACGTCTGCTTATCGAGGAAGGACAGCATATATGTCGTCATCATCATTGGCAAGACAATGAAATCCAGCTTTCGGCGGACCTTGACGGCGTCTCGCTGCAACTCGGCAGGGTCATATTGCAGCGACTTTTCGAACAGTTCCTGAGCGATATCGCCGTGGAGCTGTGCGTCCAGCTTGAGGTTGGTTTCGTCGGCCTCTTGTACGGCGGGGGGGCTCTTGTCAATATCCATGGCGTGATAGCAGCAGCTACTATGGTGCAAGACTGTCAATGATCGATCGAAGAAAGACGCTGTGAAGAATACCTAGCGTAGCCGCACTGACCAAGGTTCTTTGGGTTTATATCTCTCCATCGCTATCTCTAACTGCCCACTATCGAGGCATAGACCGCTGCAGACGAGCTGCATCCTGCAGAGCGATAGCAAATGACCACAGGGCACGATCTGCAGATGCTATCGTCGTGTTCAAATCCGACCGGGTTGACTGGCTGCTGCCCAGGTTTCCCCGCACTTCTGCCCTCTTATCATCATCCATGATTCCTTCGGCGGATCTAGTTATCAGTCTAGGCGACTTGGAAAACGGTCCGAAGTGCTGATAAGTCGCAGCCTGTTGTAATTCCACGCCCTGGGGCCCGGTCTGGACAGAAGGTCGTCTGTTATCTCAGAGTGAGTTGCGTGAAGGACACGAAATATCGCAGGTTTCGGTCCGGTGAGGAAAAGGGAAAGCACGAGGCCCATCACATGACAAGGTTCTTTATTGCCTCAGGCCGATCTTATCAGCTGACCGGATTCTTTCTCTCCAGGCAGAAATTTTGGCCTTGATGAGGATTCCTCCAGAAACCTCCGTCTCCTCCTGGTATGTCTGGTATCTCTCGGCTTGAGTCAGAGCGTCTTTTGTGTCCAGTGGAGACTGAGCGGTCAGCAGGATCGAGTATCTATCCATTCCTTCTGTCTTGGACGGTCAGCTTGGCATTCTGGGGGCCATCAAAGGGGCTTTCGCAGGACGTGTCTTGTCTGTTTCTATGATAAGGAGAGTTCAAGGTAAGTGAAGTTACTTTGGGAGGAGTCAACTGGCATAGTGAATTCGAGGCCAGTCCATGCATTATTTGGAGGTTTGCACCTAGATCAGAAAGAAAACTATGTGCTCCATATTCCTTTTTATTTTGACTACTCTCCTGTTCTCTAACCTCGAGTAGTAGAGGATCTTGAGTACGCCTCGAGGTAGCGAACCTCAGGCTGTACGGATACAACAGATCGAAACACAATAGTATCGATAATATATATCAATAAAAAAGAATGTTATCGCACCTTCCATAGCATACTTGCATCCAGCACATCCGTTTATTGCTATGATCAATGTTCTATCTTTCTAGACGAGGGCTTTCGGTGCTATATGCCTCATAATTGACTGGCCCAAGCCTTGGGTGTCTTCAGAAAGTAACACCTTGGTCGGTGTTAGGATTTAAGCCATGGGACTGCAAAGGTATAAATCAACAGATTCTTTGGCCTGATCATAGAAGAGAAGACTCCATTGATAATCACAAGACTCGAAAGTATGACTGCTATCATTTCCGCACAGTCTACAAGCGAAGAGGTGTGTGACGCCTTCTCCAGCCACATCAAAGGCAGTAGAGGTAACCAGCTATCATATTCTAAAATAAATGAGATTTGAATAACACGCTCCAGTCATCATCACTGGTGTCACATTGGGCAGTATTGGCGGCGAAGTCGCCCTCCAGCTAGCTCGTCGAGACCCTGCCATGATCGCGCTAGCAGGTCGAAAACTGGCATCTCTCCAGGAAACACAACAGGCCATCCGCTCCGTCGCACCCGATATCGAAATCAAACTGCTTATGCTCGAATTAGCCTCGCAGGTGCACAAGAGCTCCTCACCACTTACCTGGACCGCATCCCCTTCTGCGAGACGCTCATCAATAGTGCAGGCGTCATGGCTGCCCCGTACAAGGCGACGCCCGAGGGCGTGGAAATCCAGTTCGCAACCAACCATCTCGGCCGTTTCCTCTTCACGAACCTGATTCTTCCGCTGATGTTGACTGCCAGCTCGACCGTTCAGATCGTCAATGTTAGTAGCTTGGGGCATAAGAGGGGACCGGTTCGTTTCGATGATATAGCATTCGAAGTGAGTTTTATATAGACATATATCCAATATCCAAATGTTTCCTTGGCTCATGGTGCTAGGGGGGAAAGACGTATGATAAATGGAAAGCGTATGGCCAGAGCAAGACGGTTAATATGCTCTATTTGGATGAATTGGCTGCAAGACTAGGACATCGGGGCGTGAAATCAATCAGTCTCTCTCCTGGCCGCTTGTATACAGGTATCATGAGACATGTTTCGAAAAACGAGATGAGGAAAGCCAGTATTTCATGCTTTTTTTTTTATTTCCATTTGCTACCCTCTTATGTATATCTCTAATAGTGGTGATTATGATACAGGTGGGATGGGTAGTGACGGGAAACTAATTCTGGACCCAAAGCTCAATTGGAGAACGCTCACTCAGGGAGCAGCTACCATCATCAATGCAGCGTACAATCCAAGTCTCTTCGGTAGGTCACTACATCTCATGCCATGTCGGCCGGAGAACAATCAAAGAGACCGATTGGCCTCAGGCAAAAATGGATCCATGGATCGTACATGGTCAATAACCCAGTCCAAATGGACCAGGCAGAGTCGTACGCTGTCGATCCACGGAACGCGGAAAGACTGTGGTCTCTGAGCGAGAACATGGTCGGTCAGAGGTTTGTCTACTAGCAAAGATATGTATCGGAAGGACGGGATAGAGGTCCCTCTCTTCAGTTCCATCCACGAGCGGCGGTAAAGTCTAGCACCGGCGTGGACGGTGAGATGGGGGGATCATGCCACATATGTGAGCAAAGATGTTGGGCGGCTTGCAAGGATGCCGCTGCCAGGGTTGCAGTTCCAAGACCCTTTTCCATGCAGTCTGCCTGAGACTGGGAGATTTTGGAAACGAAATGCTTGCATAATACTTCCGCTTCGTCCTCCAGTGTTTGGTCATAGTCAAATTGCTCAGATCTTGCAGAGAGGTTGAGACCGAACTCATAGACCCCAAAATCTTGCATCCGAATTGACTCATCCACCTCGAGCATCTGTAGCCCTTCGCTAGCGGAAGAATAGATAACCACCATACCCAACCAGTAGAGCATCAGAAGAGGTATGGCAGAGGCATTAGGAAAAGTTATAATCGTCTGGTTGCTGCGCTGCTCATCGCATTTAGCCAAGAAGAGGGGGGTGCTGCAATTCTCTGACTGCAGCTCATGACACCATCCCAGGAGCTTTTGCTCGATATCAAAAGCCTTTCGTAGTAGCAAATCAGTAGATCGACATTTGGTCTCGCCGGAAGAAACTCGTATTTGTTCCAAGTGGCGATAGAGTTCGCCGACTTCAAACAAAACATCCATCAACTGATCGAAGCGATTATTTGAGCCGTGGTTGGCTCTTTGTGGGCACCGTTGTTCTTTGCGCGTTGCACAAGACTGAAGGAACTAGATACCAGTGTTAGCAGCGAGCACTGATATGAATCTGCTCCTGATTCTGACCACACCCACCTGAAGGGTCTGAAGGCGACGAAGATCAGAATTACTGAGAGACTGGATCGGTGGACTCAGCTCTTGCGCAAGCTGAGTTGCAGCGATGATATGAACCCTCCACGCATGCAGCTGGACCGAGGGGCCCAAGCTATACAGCTCGTACAGGCCGAGAATCATAGCAGCCCGTGTGAGGTCAGCCGGACACTGATTCCTCTGTAGCGTGCATGTCTCTTGAACAGCTGGAGAGTAGTAATGTGCGTCCTCCCGCACGAGAGAGTCAATTTGCCGGGTTTTGGCAAAATGCATCAAAGCTAGTGCAGAGACACAGTTCCGAATAAGCGGGGAATTTCCCCTGGAGAAATCTGGAAACCTTTCTACCCATGAAACCGGCGTGGTATATGCCACCTCATTTGATGCTTGGGGGGGAAGATAATCCTCCAGGAACCGACTGAGCAACTGTGCTCGCTGCTGATGTGCCACGAGCGACCGCTGTCGAGATAATAAGGTCGAGTCCGTGAGAAGAATTCTTACGCTGTCAGCCTTTCAATACCATCAATATAGATACATTTCTTAGCACTCACAGTCCCGAGAACCCCTCGCATACGGTGCCAGACCGTCGGCATCGCAGACACCTGGGCCTGGCTTTGTCGCACTACCAGAGTTAGGACATATCATCGCCACGCACAGAGAAGATCCTACCTTGACTTTCCGCTTGACGCATGTTCGACAGCTCTTTGTGTTCCAGGTACTCCTCCCCATCAGGCCAGTTCAATGATGCTGCCAAAAGAATTTGTTTTGAAGTCCGAGCAAGACAGTCGGTGAGTCTCGGATATGACGTAAGCAAGGGTCTGCCGATGACTAAGTACTATTTATCATGTGGTGACGGAGATAATAAGTTATCCCCGTGTGTCGCTCTTTCCTTCTTTGGCTTCCCTTCCTTCCTTCTTCAAAGACTGACTGAGACACAAAAACGATCCTGACAATGGACAAAGCTGCCTCACAGTCAGTCCCAAGTATCATAATGATTCACTCAGGCAAAGGTCCTAGGCTGCTGAAACATAGTCTATCTCCTGGGCAAGATGAAGCCGGCCTGCTTTATAACCGCCGCAGTCTGCAGATACTCAGCCCTCTGCTCTGACTAACTAACTCCCACTCTACAAGACAAATTTTTCCCTCCCTTCAGTACCTAGGTCTTGAAAATGGCAAATGAGCAGATCGATCCTATGGTGTTGCGCCTCGTCGACCGGAAAGGGGACGTAGCACTGGTGCTCCGAAACGCGTCGCCCCCAACCAAGATCCGCGTATCATCCAGGGCCCTGATCTCCGCCTCGCCGTTTTTCAGAGCCATGTTGAATGGACACTATGCCGAGGGTAAGCAGCTTATCGAGACTGGTCGTGCTGAGATCGAGCTGGAAGACGAGGATGACCCGGAGGCGATGGTCATGGTCCTAAAAGCGATTCACAGCCGGCACACGCCAAGATTCGAGCAGATACCACGGACACTGATGAGGGTCATCATAATCTTGGACAAATTTATGATTCCCAGAGAGAAGTTTGAACGTCAGTTGTTGGCCTGTGTTGAGACGCTGCAGCCCCCGACCGACTCAGACGAAATGACCTGCCTGGTGTGTATCGTTTGGATGCTGGGTTATCCAAGCGTTTTTGCAATGCTGGCGCGGGCTATTGTGGTAGCAGGCGTGAAACTTGATTTCACTGGATTACCGGTTCCTGGTCAAGTTGCTGGTATGATTTCCCAAACATGGCACCAGAACATGAATCTGATATGCTAGATTCTCTGAATGATTTTGGGCGACAGTTGTTGGGCAACATCGCCCATGAGTTGCAGCTTTCCTTGGATGGGTTCTCGCCACGGACCCAGAAATCTCCTTGCTGTGAACGCACCCAAAGAGACCTGCAGGAGTTCCTACTCAGGGTGAAATATAACGACGAAATGGGGCTATCCCATCTGATCGCGCGCATCCGAACGGTAACGGAGTGCACATTCCAGCCAAGGACACCACGCTGCTCTGGAAGAATACAGCTATGTAGCAGCGTGCGGCTCCGGGCCTTTGAGTATGTTCAGGGGTTAAACCTGGATACATTTGATCTGTGGCTGAAGTTACATGGCCAAGAGATCTACACCCAGACCGGGCATGACGCGGAAGGTTCCATCTTTCACTGGGCAACACATATGGTCGAGGCTATGTTGGATTTGGCGAACCCTTGATCTGCAGTGGGAATCTTTTTCTTTTCTTTTCTTTTCCTTTTCTTTTCTTTTCTTTTCTTGTTGTTGTTGTTCGCTTGACTTCCATAGAGTTATCCATCTATTGATTTATATCATGTCTGTTCTTCTTCCTGATACACCTCCTCAGCCATCGCTTTCTCCTTGATGACAAGCTGGTCCATGGGCAAAAACACAAACAAGAGGCGCGCCCAGTCGACCTCGCTCCGGTTTCGAAACGAATGCGCCGTCCCGCGCTGGATGGAGACATCTCCACGGCGCAGACGCCGGCTCTGACCCGAGTCGAGGATGAGATCGACCTCGCCCTCGAGGACAACGCCGTAGTCGAGGCTGACCGTGCGGTGCATCGGAGTTACCTTGCCCGGGCGCAGGTCGATCAGCCGGAGCACCGTGCCCTGCTGGATGGTCAGGCCCGGGGGCGTGTGCAGGAAGTCATCGTAGATGGCCACGTCGGCCTCGTCGTCGATCGAGACTGGGTGCGATATTGTCGTGTATAGCAGTGCGATGTCGCCGTCTTCCCCCGCAGGTTTGGAGGGGATGTAGTCCGGGATCTGCGAGTGGGAGAGGAAGATGGCCTGGCCGTCCGGGTCGTGTGTGGTGATGTAGCGGTGGATATCAGGGAGATCGTTTGATTTCGACATGTTTACTACAAATGCATTTGTGTATGTGTGTAGAAGAGATACTAAGGCTTTCATCTGGCGAAGAGGACTACGTATTCTTGATGACGTATCTCTGACCATGTCAACACGGCAAATTTGCATTGGACAAGTCCCTCAACAGATCCGTCCAGTCCGGCGTGCCGAAATCGACAGCGCCACCGGTCTCCATCATCTGACTCCAGAGGACTTCGAGACCTTCGTCGGTGGCGTCAGTCGACACAGAGTCGAGTACCACAGGATCGGCCAGGGGTGCAGAAAGCGGACGCGGCGGGCGCAGCAGGGACTCGGTGTCTACCCGAGCCGGAGCAGATGGCGGATGGGCGATGGATTCCTCGCATCCAGGAGCTATAGGGTTATGTTGGTTGAGATGCTTGCGCAGGACATCCATGAGGGCGTTGATGCTACTGCGCACGCTGGGCGATGCGGCCTGGGCACGGGTCAAGATACGGCAGGCGGCGAGGACCTCCTCGCGACGCTTCTCGGCCAGAACGTCGTCCCAGTTGAAGCAGATATCAATCAGAAGGATGACTGCGGCGGCAAACACGTGGTGGACGACCGTCCAGGCGATAGAGTTCCAGCCTGCCGTTGCGGGCTCTTCATCCTCTAGCAGGCGGGCGATCTCCAGCACTTTCCGTGCGGACTGTAGGCAGACGATATGCGAGTAGGAGAACCGCGGGTCGCGGGCGCCACGGATAAAGTATCCTCTGTGCAGCCGGCAGAGGCGATTGTTCAGCCCCTGCTGGATGACGCAGCGCTGCCATGCGATCGCCGGGCGGGCCTGGCACAGGCTTGCGAACCGCCGCCGGTTGGCCACGTCCAGCTTGAAGAAATCGGGTGTCTCGGCCTCGAGCTGGTGCAGTTTGCGATCTAGCTCGAGAACCTTGTCGTAGGGGACGTCTTGGCTGCTTAGGATCTCGGTCCCCGTCGCATCCACGATCTCGCGGCACACGGCTGCTAGCTTGAGCCTCTGCAGTGGGTACGACATGACGGTTGGCGTCGAGGTTGGCAGATCCGTCGGTGGTTCCTTTTCCTGCAGAGCGTCATCCTCGGTGTTGGCGGGCATCCGAGTGTTTATCTGGGCCGGGTGAATGAGATAGGTGTACTCCTGCGGGCCACTCATGTATGCCAGGAGCCTGAAAGAGATTAAAGATTAGCAAAAGAAGCGAGAGAGCGTCGAAAGAAAAGGAAAGGAAAAAAGAGAATACCAGTCGTATGCTGCGAGGTACCACCAGAGTCTACGTTTGATCTCGGCTTCCAACTCGCCCGTGCCGCGGGCTTTGCGGTCCTGCTGGTGACGTGGAATATCAACGCAGTGCAGCATGAGGCTCTTGGCCTGGAACACAATGTTTGGATGGACGAACAACAGGCCGACTAACGGCAAATTGTGAGCTTCCGGGAGATAATAGCAGACGATCATGGTTGCCTGCAAGCCCTCGAGGGTTGGGAGGACGGAGTAGTTGCCTTGGATCAAGGCTGCCCCCGTGAGAAAGATGTAGCGGTTCTCACGCCCTTCCACCTGTGTCTGGTTATTAATGGTGTTCTCTCTAGCTGCGTTTGACATATTCTGGAAGGTAAGGGCGACGGCGATGATGCTAAAGACCAGAGCGAGATGGCAAAAGTTTACGGGCCGGCCCTCGCGCACATCGGCGTAGATGCCTTGGACCAGTTTCTCGACATGACTGACCACAATCAGATGAGTCAAATGGTCAACATATCTTGTATAAAAGGCCAGCTGGGCGAGAGTGTCTGCCTCCGTCGGGAGATACTGCAGCAGGGGCACGGCCCACGGGTTTTCCACCGGCTGCAACGGCGTACCATCGCTTGCCAGCCTTGAAGAGGGGGCCCGAATCATCTTCTCAAGCCAGTCGGCGGTTATTGCCGCCTCATTGCGGTCGCTTAACGAGGGAGGCTGATCCCGAGTCTGACTTTGAGTCTGAGTCTGAGCCGGGACCTGGGCGTCTGCTCTCGCTGGCTGCGGCAGTGATGCGCCTTGGACCGTCCATTCGGGACTACTATACGCCGGTAGATCCTGTGCTACAGGTCCACCAGCCGCGTAATTGCACTGCAGACGACGCGAGGCGCAGCTGGCACAGGGCAGGCGACGGTCGCACTTGAGCTTCTTCTTGCGGCAACTGTCGCACGAGACCGGGTCCTGGCGAGGATAGCGTTTCCTCACCGTCTCACCGTCTGGCTGGAAGATGCCCTCGTTATTATTCTTTCGCTTCATCTCGCTGCCGTGGTTTCCATCTGCGTTGGATGAGAAGGAATGGTCATTCCTCTTGTCGTGCTCTGGTTTGAGGCCATTGGCCAATGGCCATATATGGACATCACGTGGGATGAGTAAGCCTGCATTGAGGCCTTAGGCATTAATGCTGGGTCAGTTGTCGACTCGGTGGCTGACTAAGCTAGTGCATAACGGGCGCACATAAATAGGATGAAGAATAAATAAAACAACAGAACAGAATAATACAGCGTTGATGATTATTACTTTCAATATAGACTAAACAATAATTCCTTGCTATATCCATATACGTATATCCATCCCTGTTGATCCCTCACAACGCCCAGGCCATCACTCCAGCGGCCAGGAGAAAACTCGCGATGGTGGCATATCGCGCCGCGGTCGCCGCGGTTCCCAGGGTAATATTCGCATCGGAGGTGGTTGAACTGTCAGTCAGTGAGAAAAAGGGATTTAATATGATAATAAAAAGAAGATAGAAGGCGGGGGTAATACTTCTTGTGTGAGTTACTACTGCTCTTATGATGCTTGGTAGAAGAACTGCTGCTGCTGCTACCATCCGAGCCATCATCATCGGAGCTGGAAGTAGAGCTGGAGCTGCTACTGGAGCTGCTACTGGAGCTGTCACTGTCGCCATCTGAGTGGCCTCCATGGCTGCCTCTTGGTAGGAGGGAGAGGCCCGGATCGGGATTGGCCAGGGAAGTAGCAGCGGCCAGGGCGATGAAGAATAAAAGGAGGGAGAGGATCTTCATGTTGGTTAGCTATTTGGATGACTGTTTAGATGGATTATAAGAGAATCAAATCGGTGATGGTTGACTAGGATCTAAAGTGGTGGATGGAGTAATCAGATTATGGTAGGATCAATATATTAAAGAAGCCATTCCATCATATCTTGCCATGCTTCGGCTATTTGATTCTCTAAGCCACAAAGTGTACTCCATAGTGACTAGAAATCATTTAGCTAGTTGAGTACGGAGTATTGTCTTGAATTATAGAGTACCTCGTATTGAGTGTGGCTGTGCTTCTGGGCGATGGTCAATAATTAATATTGACCCAATAATATTGAACGAATTTACAGTAACAAGTTCTATAGTTTCCAAAGTACTAGTAGAATAAGCAGGGCTTACTATAGTGTGGCTGAATTATGCAAGTATAGAGGACACTCAGTGTATATCTATATACCCATAATTATATCTCAAGTCTCCAGGTCAATGATAAAGGTTATAACACATTTCATATAAATTTATCAAATGTATAATATAAAATATAGATACACAGAGGCTCTATACTTGAGATGAGTACTATGTAGTATACAATTACACACTTATCAACTCATTTATATACAGAGTAGCCATTCAGTTGAAGGATAATATAACTTTAGATATCAAGTTGAATGTGTAATAATAAATAGGTAAACTGTAGTATAGATTGTATACTGTTTGTTATGCTGAGGTCCCTCCGGACACTCCGCGGACACTCCGGAGATTGTAGTTCCTTCCAAATACGTCTTCCAAACCACACACCGGAGACTCCGACTGGGACTTTCTTCTCTTCCACCACAACCAACACACTCAAGCGTTATAAGCCTCCAAGCCACCCTCACAATGGCACCAGACACAAGCCGGCACTTCCAATATCAAGATCATCTGGATCAGGATCAACCATGACGGAATCAAAGAGCCAAGAACCCGCTCCCCGTGAATTCACGTAGGTCTCTTTCTGTCGTTCCGATTCACTAAACACAAGCTAACTTGGCTTCTCTTGCTATTCTAGAACGCCAGCCATCCTCGCTGCGCTGGGTGGCTTCTGCGGCCTGTTTTGTGGCGTGGGCTTCATCAACGCGTTCGGTATCTTCGAGGAGTACTACAAGGCAAACCAGCTGGCCGCCGAGTCGGACTCGGCCATCGGCTGGATTGGCAGTGTTGCTATCCTGTTTATCTTTGGCGCATCAGTGGTCAGCGGCTATGTCTTGGATAGATTTGGCCCGGGGGTAGGAAACAAACAAGATTCCGTTCAAAAGTCAAAGGTTTTATATGAGGCTGATTGAAGGAATGTAAAATTCATAGCCCATGCTCTGTTTCGGCTCTGTTGGTCTGGTTATCGCCTTGATGATGACCTCTCTCTGCCACCAACTGTACCAGTTCATCCTGGCGCAGGGCTTGCTGCTTGGTCTGTCCATTGCCTTCCTCACCTGTCCCAGTCTGGCAATCCAGGCGCAGTACTTCCGCCGCCGGATTAGTCTCGCGATGGGGATCGTCATCTCGGGCTCGTCGACTGGCGGGGTTATCTGGCCGATTGCCATCCGGCGAATGATCGAAAACCCCAGTCTGGGGTTTGCCTGGACGATGCGCATCGTGGGGTTTATCATGATCCCTTTGCTTGCTATTGCCTGTCTCTTCACCCGTACCAACCCGAAGAAGGCAGCAACAGTAGCAGTATCAAATACAGAAACACAAATACAAACCCAGAAGAAAGATTCCGCACTCTTTTCTCTCCCCATCATCCTCTCCTGCCTATCCTTCTTCACCATCTACTTTGGCATGTTCGCCCCCTTCTTCTACACAACCGACTACGCCATCTCGCACGGCTTCTCCTCCAGTCTAGCCTTCTACACCGTCTCCATCATCAATGGCGCCTCGTTCTTCGGACGGATCCTACCCGGCCTCCTCGCCGACCACGTCGGGAAATTCAACTGCTGCATCGTCGCTGCTTTTCTCTCGGGCATTATAGCCTGCTGCTGGACTACCGTTTCTTCTGTCGCAGGATTGGTGATTTTCTCTGCAGCCTATGGATTTACTTCTGGGGTACGCGCATCCAAGTAGCCTATACATTATATATTACAAGTGCATTGTATACTGATCAACCTGCAGGCAATTCTCTCCCTCCAACCAGCTTGCGCAGCGCAGATCTCCACCCCTTCCACGCGGGGCTTCACCATCGGCCTCATCATGGCCTCTACTTCTCTCTCGTAATTCTCTCTATTCATCTAATCCTTGATTTCATGCTGACCCTCAGTGCTATGGCCGGCACACCCATTAGTGGCCAACTGATCGAATCGTACGGATACCTCTCTCTAGCACTGTATTCGGGCATCAGTCTGTTGATTGGGAGTGTGTTTCTCGCTGCGGCAAGACTGAGTCAAAATCGGAATGTGTGGGCTGTTGTTTAATAGATAGTATAACATATACATAGACAGCGATGTATTAGAAATGGTTGGTTTATTGATATATTGTATAGAAATATATATATATATATATATATATATAATATATATAGAATGCAGGCAGAGAGTGAATGAAGAATAATTGATGGTAAAGTGATGCATTATCATAGAGAGCGTCTATCAATTACATACATTATTAAGTACATGAATTAAAAAGTCGATATCACGGGCCCTGGCTTAGACCATGGTGGCGCCGACCTGGCAGCCAAGAGGACCGGTCATGTAGTTGAGGTCGGTGGTGGTGTTGTAGTTCCACCAGAAGTCAAGGTACTGCGGGTACGAGGACGAGACGTTGCAGGAGGAGATGTAATCCGGCAAGGAGGCAGAGACAAGCTCAGTAAAGTTAGCCAGGGGGCAGGAGTATCCGGGACCCGACTGGCACGAGTGGTAGGGGACGACGGCCTCATTAATGACGAGACGCACGTAGCTGCCCTCGTCGGTGACTGCGGTGGCGTTGCAGCTCAGACGCTCAATCGTCAGATGGCCGCCCATGGGCATGATGTTGCCGATGGCCCAGGGGTTGCCGAACGCAATGGTGTCCAGGGGAAGGTCCTCGGTGGGGGTGACGATGCCCAGCGCGGCGATGATGGGGGTGATGTTTGTATCGTGGGCGCTGTTCAATTAGATATCTTTTCCGCTTCTTCTCGTTTGAATTCTCTAGACTTACAAGTTCAGGTAGATGGAGCCGGCTTCCTTGGGGCCCTGGTTCATCAGGGTCAGAGAGGCGTTGAGGTAGACGGCGCCGACGGCGAGCATGTTCTTATCACCAGGACTATTCAATGAGCGATGTTTAGAAAAGGAGAAGTGAGGGAGGGGGATTACCCAGCGCAGTAGTAGTAGTAGACGTCGTTGGCATAGCCAAAGGCCACCCACTCGTCGGCAGTGAAGGCGTTGATCCAGGGTGACGAGGGACGGGCATTGAGCTCGAAAGCAGCCATAGCTGAAAAATAATGTATTAGAAAAAATCCAAAAAAAAAAAATCCAAAAATAAATAAATAAATAATAATAAAAAGAGAAACGAAAAATCAAAAACCTACTCATCAGGACAAAGATATCATCCCAGGTGACATTGAGACCTGGGTTCTGTTCGTTGAAGCGGGCAGCAGCCACGTCGAACTGGGGCATATAGTAGGTGAGCGAGTCGCAGACGGAGGTGTCGTCGTCGTAGTCGCAGGACGGGGTGAGGCTGTCGGCGCCCTGGGAGGCATCCTCGGAGATGATGTTGAGGGCGGCACCAGAGGTGTAGTTGTAGCCAAAGAAGCCCTCGCCGAATTTACGGGCGGTGTTGATGACACGCTCGTAGCCACTGGAGAAGATGGGCACGACCGAGCCGTTGTAGCCGGTCAAGAGATGGCCGTAGCGCTGGCCGTAGTCCATGCCGTGGCTGAGGCCGTCGGCCAGACCGGCGTAGGGCCCGGTGAAGGTCTCGGCCTCGTAGTAGCAGGTGTTGGGGACGTAGTAGGACCAGTCGTTGAAGAAGGTCAGATCATCCTTCCACTCGGTGATGCCCGAGGCGTACAGCTTCTCAAGGACCTCCTCGATGTCGGCGCCGGTACCGGCGGACGGGTAGCGCTCGCCGTGGCGCTTGATCATGATGACCTGGTCGACCTGGCACGAAGCCGGGGGGTCGCGGGAGATGCCAAACGACTCGCGCTGCGAGTACGGGCCGTCACCGCCGTAGTGCTTGAGGATGCTGAAGCCATCGCGGAACTCCTGGGAAAACTCCTTGAGCCCGATGTTGTAGGTGAGGGAGGCGGCGGCGGTGGTGGCCAGGCCGAGGCTGCCGGCGAGGGAAGAAACGCGAACCATGGTCTTGGTTCTGGAGATTCTGGAGATTCTTGAGATTTTGAGGACTCTTGGGATTTTTTCTTCGGTCGGAATGAGATGCTCTTATATGCAAGGGGCAGGGCAGGGGAAACCAGGGCACGGAAGCAACGGCATTCCTTCCCCTGCACGTTTCCCGGCGTGCGATCGTCATTCGACATTCCCAATTGTATTTCTCCCCAGTGGGGTGATCAATCATCCAGGCATCTGCGCGGAGAGGATGGAGGTGTACTAGGGAAGTTCTAGCTCCCCTTGTCTCGTACTGCAGTATTCGTACGGAGTAACTAGTTACATGACTGGTACACATATGTAGTACACAGTACTAGACAAGATCTTATCAATCGTCCATTGCTTACCGTGGGGCGTGGTGAATACGAGGGCGTAAAGCTTGAGTTTTAGAAGAGGAAAAGAGAAGCTGGTGGAGGTGGATGAGCTGGTGGAAAGGAAAAAGCTTCAGCTGGCAGCGACGACATGGAAGCGAGGGCCACGTGCTCAGGAACACGGCTGTCATTCATTCATCTCATTTTGATCGGCGACGCGTCATCCACCTGATGATGCTAATTAGGCCCAGAATGGAAGGCGCTGGTGGATCTTCGAGTGGGTACCTTCCTTTGTTCCTTCCTCTTAAGTCAGTGATTGATAAGAACTGGTTTGGCGTAGCAGTAACAGTATTACTATTTACTATAACTAGTATAGTTGTACCTAGTTACTAAGTACTAGTACCTGCTATATATTATAGTACCTGCTATATAATCTAATCCCGGCCCTTATCATACGTCTTATACTCCATATAGTCTTTACAAAGAGAGTATTTTTATATTAGGGTTAGGGTTGTAATCTGAGGTCATTTTATGCTCTTTAGGGTTAGGGTTTATTAACCCTAGGGTTAATCATCAGTGGTACATAAAGATCTGTTAGGGTTAGGTTAGGGTTGACATATGTATTGTCAGACTCTTACTATTATGAGGACATAAAAGGTACAAAATATATTAGTTGTAGCAAAGATATTCACTAGAATAACCCAGACCATGATTACATCCAGCCACATAAGTTGGCATTAATCTTTACCACTCATAGAGCAGCAATCCTAATTCAATTCTCACAGAGCAGCAGCAATCGCGACAATAGCCGCCGCCCCTCCCAGAGAGTATCCGATCTGGTTGGCAACGGCCGCACCGGTGTACACGGAGGAGGCAGTGGCGGAGGCCGAGACGCTGACGGAGCCGGTTCCAGTGGCAGCAACGCCAGAGACAGCTATCAATTAGCCGGAGAAGAGAAGGGTTTGATAGACAGAAGATCAACTTACCAGCCGAAGAGACAGCACCAGAAGAGGCGGCAGCAGAGGAAGCAGCGGAAGACGCGGCCGAAGTAGCAGCAGCCGTAGAGGCGGCAGAAGCAGCAGAGGAAGACTCCTCGCCGGCAGTGGTGGCAGAAGCTGCAGTCGTAGCAGAGGCTTCCGTGGTAGCAGAAGCTTCCGTGGTGGCAGCCGTGGCCGAGGCGTAGACAGAAACGCCGCTCTCAATGGCCGAAGTGATGCCCGCCGCAAGGGAAGCCGCCTCCGCCGACAGCGCCGAGGGAACCTTGGAGGCAATGGCGTTGGAGAGATCAACGGCCGCGCTGTACTGGGCCTCGAGGGAGTCGTAGGCGTCCGCCCCCCCGCCCGCGGCCACCAGCTTGGCCTCGATGCTCACAAAATCAGACACGGTGGTCTCGACGTCGGCGCTGAGGTCTTCCACGGGGGTGATCAGGTCAGCGGCGTCGGCGACGCTGAGATCCGCCGAGGCCTCGACGGTCGTCACGCCCGACTGGATCGCCGCCACGACGGCCGACGCAGCAGACTCGATCGCCGTGTAGGATCCCCCCGTGTACGCGCTGATGGCGGAGTCGAGGGCCTCGACCTCGCTCTCGATGTTGGCAATCACGCTGGTGATGGAGGCCAGGTCGCGCTCGACCAGGGAGGGCGGGTCGCGCACGACCTTGCTGGGCACGGCGAGGGCGCCGGCAACGAGGGACAGAGCAAGAATGGCCTTCATGATGAAAAATTGATGTCTATTAGAAATATAATATAGTACTGAGTGGGAAATCCCGATGAATGACAAGTGTTGTACAGAGCGAGTGACTGACTGGAGATTAGAAGAGTGATAGTGTGATGGTGACTGACTTGATGAGCTTTATAAATGTTGAAAACTATTCTCTACTCTCTACTCTCTACTCTATTACTCTCCAATATTACTCTATTTTACTCTATTATTACCCATCTTGCACATGCTGCCTCGGTGATCAGCTAATAGCAGGGATCTATCCCTGTACAGGGTCTGTATAGTATGTAGTATGTAGCACTGTTAGCACTATACTCTACTCTCTCTCTACTCTCTCTCTCTCTCTACTCTACTCTCTACTATACTATGCTCTGCTCTGTTTATTTAATTCCTTTCACTATAATTATATCTTAGAATTATCTATTGACTTCATCTTACTCAATTCATTCTCATAGACTCAGTGCATACTCGCTGATCAGGAACAGTGAGACAGACGCGGGGAACCCTGCTAGTTCGATCAATAGCCGGGGTATGAATAGGATCACTAGCAATAGAAAGACTCTGTATGGTGGCATTTCTTAATTCCCCTCGCAATTAATTGAAATTGCACTACCGTGACGACTATGCATGTGCCGAGCTAATGCTCGAAACAGCAATTAGTCACTCTAAGGGATTCGACGCTTCATCGGTCTCGCCATGTGCAGGGGCAAGCGTGAAATAGGAGAAGCAGAAGTACTAGAAGTACTAGAAGTACTAGAAGTACTAGAAGTACTACTACTACTGGTTAGGATCGCCCATTCCGCCACTGTAGCCCCTGTATCTTCCCCCCCCTGGTTGCCAGTAATGAAGAGCGTGGCGTACCGTTGCGCAAGCACGGCAGAGGCCAGGGTGACATTCGTCGTGTTGGCGCTTGGCATCGCGATCACGCCCTGGTCAAGACTAACGCCAGTCTTGTACGGATCCGACACGGAGATGTTGCTCAGCACGCTGACAACCGAGTACCCCGGTCCACTGCTGTTCGATGCATTAAAGGGGAACGTGGTCAGGGGCAACGATGAGGTGTTGTGGAAGACCACCGCCGCGTCGATGGGCGGCGCTTGTGCCCAGTCGAACGAGAAGCCCGTCACAAGCTGTCCGACATCTGATCCGCGGAGCTGCACCGTGAGGGATGAGACCTTGTTCGCCGACGTCGGCTGCCATTTCGTCGACGAGGCGCCGTCCACGGCTGAGATGGGAAATTGGCCGGGTTCGTACGCGCTGCTCGAGTCCACGGGTTGACATTGCACCAGATTTCCCGCAATCGTGTTGACCGATCCGATCTGTCGATTCGGTACTGTGATCGACCCGTGCATGGGGAGCTGGTACACCGTCGCATTGTCGGTCGTCCCAACGTGTACGGCGATAGACACATTGGCGAACTGCGGGTCTGCCGTCGGCAGCATCGAGATGCTATCGTTACCCCCCGCGGCCCGGCGCAGCGTCGTGTGCGTGTAATTCGACGTCGCCGAGAATGGATACCCACGCCAGTAGAAGGTCCGGTACCTCACATACGAAATCTGTGGAGGCAGGTTCGGGTCAATGTGGATGACGTTGTCCGGGAGCAGGCGAAGCCCCAAATACCCAAACAAGGCGACCTGGTTGGCGCCCCCGTGGCCCGTCAAGAATGGGAACGCAGGATGTGTCCCTCCGTTGAGGGTATAGTCGTCAACCAGCTCTTCCGATAGCTGGAACCACGGCGCGCGAGCATACGGGCTGAATGAGTACTGCCCGTACGTGTAGCCCGAGCATCCAGAGGGCGAGACCTCACTCGCCACGATCGAGAAAATCGCAAATGTCATCGCTGGGCCGTCGGGAGATTGTTTATTTGCATACTACACAATCAGCAGTGCTCAGCCAGCTTGCTTTCTCAAACGACTTACATAATCTAGGTCGTTTAACGCATCGGTCGAGGTGTAGTTGGCCGTATAATCCAAGGGGAAGCTATCTAAAACCACGTCCGCCTGCTTGACCTCCACACTATTGTTCATCGTGGTGAACTCCAGCGTCACCTCATTCTCCCGGATCAGGAGCACGTTTTCCGCCATTTCGGTCCATGTTTCGTTCTCTTCGAGCCCGAATTGCTCGCGGAACTGGCTGGCATAGGTCAGCGTCTGCGCGATCAGCGCCATGGTGAAGGCACCGGCATTGACATTGTTGGCATATTCATCCTAGGAAATCAGTGATCCTATCGAGTGTTAAATGGTAGGTAGGCACGCCTTACAGGATCGGTCATGTTGGTCAGGGTCCAAGAAGATCCATTGCGCTGAAGTAGATTCGAATACAGGGTAGCGACCGAGTCATAGATAGGAAACAAGTCTTCTTTGAAGTGTTGGGTGTCACCACTGGCCACCCACTGGTTGATCAGCGACAAGCCGATATCGCCATTCAAATGGTACTCATAGTCCCAGCAAGGGCCGGTCGCCGTACAGTTGCCGAATCGTGCGCTGGTCCACGGAAACACGGCTGCCGAGGACGAAAAGTTGGTCTGGTTTTTCGAGCCTGTGAAGGCCGTGTCAATGTTCGCCATCGCCTGGGCATACTTGGCCAGACGGTAGTTGGAGGTGCTTTGCGCGGCCTGGGGGTGCGAGACCACCAGACCAGGCTGCATCCAGAGATCGGCATCCCAAAACACCTGGCCCGCGTACGAGTCGGAGGTTAGCCCGCCGACGGAGATGCTGTTCGTGTTGAGACTCGAGCTTGTTGATGCCGTGATGGCATTCTGCCCAACCGTATTTTGGAGCAAATAGTACGGGCTGACGACGGCAAGGATGGCCGCTTCGATAATATAGTCATCATCGGGCAGTCTGCCGGTCCCAGGCAAAGCGAAGTGGTCCACCGAGTCCTCGGGCATGACGCTCGCCCATTCTGCAACATGCGTTTTGAGGGACGCCAGGTATCCGTTGGTCTGCGCCGCAGAGAGGGCTTGCTTTGCCGTCTGCTGGGGGTTCGGGAAGGCATCCGAAGACGCCGCGCCGACAAACTTGGTCACTCGAACCGTCTGGCCCGGCGTGAAGGTGACGTTGACCGACTGCGCAATTGAAGAGGCATTGCTGTACACGTAGGGCTGGTCTGTGGTGATAGCGCGGGATGAGAGATTCACCCCGGCTGAGCCCGTGAGGTTGGCGTAGATGTAAGCCGTCACATTCGAGATGCCCCAGGGCCTCACTGCAGTGAATATGGCGCCGTTGTCTTGCCCAGACTGCACAAAGTCTGTCCGCACAGCGGCGAAACCGTCAATGACGTTGGCCACGGTGGCATTTCCCGCCTGGGAAGCCACAATCTCCAGATCGACAAAGGCCTGGTTGACGTACAACTTGTGCGTGAAGAGACGGTAGGTGATGTTGTACTCGCCTCTGTCCCCCCCGTCTGGTGTCCATGTGTACGCCCACGACAGAACCCCTGCCTTGAAGTCATACGTCGAACTGAACCCGGACAGGGTGGTGTTGTCGACCGTGGCGTCCAGGTAGGTACCACCACCGAGATCAAGAACCAGCCCACTCCAGTGAGGCACTCCGCTGATGACACTCTCTCCACCATACTGGTCGAGCCACGGGAAATTACTGCTGTTCGTGGTGGGCTGCGAGTCAAAGAACCCGCTGATGGTCGCAAAGGACTGCCGCCGCGAGAACAGCGGCCACCCACTGATCACATCGCCGTCGACGGGCGTGTCGAGCTCGAAGAAGGGGCCGACACTCGCCACATTGATTCCAAGATAGCCGTTGGCGACCGAGCCGCGGGCCTGGTAATGGCCTTGGTCCAAGACGGTGGTTGACAGACGCCAACCGTCCTCGTCCCACGTCACGCCGTCGAAGCGCGTGTTATAGGTATTGTTCGAAGTCTCGTTTCTTTTCACTTGCCGTCCGTACAAGTCATAACCTGCAATTTCCTTCAGACATTCACTGACCCTAGCCTGAAAGGAGGCACCCCTCGTCGCAGGGAGGTGCACCAGGAGCGACAGAAGAGCAAACCACACCCACTGCTATACATTAGCCTTGAATCTACACACCATCTCACACCTACCTTGAACAGCATCTTGTCTGAGAGTCATGTATATATTACCTTATGGAGGTCGGGGAAGTAGGAACAGAGAGGTTTTATCTCCCGAAACATGGTCCGATCACCTCGTCCCAAACAATAACCGGTTATCTTCTAACCTAGAGAACCACATGGTGCTCGTTGTGACGACATGTCGCGGACAAAACGGCGTGTTCTGCTTATGCGGGGAGTCCATTAAGGACGATGGGTTGTGGGGAGTGGCAAGAACCAAGGTTCAACAATAGAAGATCATTGGCAATGACGCCGAGCAATAGTGGCACCACCAATTGGCGAGGTGCGATGAGAGATGACACTTTGGATTCCGTATTCGCAGCTTATTTAAGAGATGTACTTAACCTAATAGTTGAAGAAAAAAGTTTGCTGTAGACGGTTACCCGGTCGGGGAAATGACACCCACATCGGAGGTTTTATTCTCGTGATATTTTAGAAGCATATTATATGGATGATATGCATGAATTCTAAGCAGTAAATTGTGGTGTGGACAGCTAGTGACCATACTGATAGGTGTCGCCATCTAGAATGAGTCGCCAGTCACAGCGCTCACGAGAGAGTGGCCGGGAAAGCCTGCGAGACTTCGCCGGGTTGGAGGTTGGTTGTCGTCCGGTAGAGCGACGATGAGTACAGCAACTATGCAGGTACCCGTTTACCAGTATGGACTACTCTGGAGTATGCAGACGAACGTTGTACTGCAACAAGGGTCAGGGATAAGTTCTTGTAGTCTTGAGGAGAGGGAGAACAGGGTACTCACCTCGTTGGTACTCACCTCTTTATGATGTATCAGTTTTATTTAACCATGTTTATCCTCAGCCATTGGTCTTGGTGTAGATGGATTGCACGCGTAGCCGAGACCCCTGAGAGCTCATTCTTCCGCATCATCTTGGTCGGGAGTGCTTGCAGCAGCGGTAGGTCTCTCCTCCCGGTTGCCCTGCTGCTGGGTGTTGGTACTCCTCCGCTTGCCCTGCTGATACTGCTCCGAGGTCGTGATTGCTCTCTCCCCCACGAACTTGTCGCCTGGCCAGGGAGCCTTGCAAGCAGGACATTGTTCCGCCTTCTGGGCCCGGAAGAAGTTCCGCACGCACATATCGTGTAGTCTTCCAGAGCAGTCGCGGTTTCCACATCGTTGGCCCTATAATTAGTTGTTAGAAGTAGGGAGTAAGACGTAGACGTGAAAAAAAAAAAAACATACCACGGTGATGATATCCCGACATGCAGCGCAGAACTTGATCTTCTGAGGAGCTTCCTCGTCCTCGTCATCGTTGTATGTAGCGACCAACCAGCCGCGTAATTCAAGCAGCGCGCGCGGACTCAGACTGTAGAATCCCTTGCGGCTTTTCTCGAACCACCCCTCGTCCACCAACTGTTTCATCACACTCTCCGCCTGCGACATGGGCAGCGACTGTGCCGCCCCGCCCACACCCTGACTCCCGCTCGCGGCCTTTGCGAGCTGCATCGCCTGGATGCCGGTGACGACCATCGCCTCGGACCGTCTGGTGTTGTGCGTGTCGAACATGGCGTCGAGCACGCGTTTGACGAACGCGATCTCGTCCGCGGAGTAGATCGACGCAAGTTGCGTTAGAGCGTCGCTCGTCGTGTTCACCAGAGCGTACACTCGTTCTGCTGCCCGGATCTCCTGCGTACCGTTGCCATCATCGCCGTTCGGTCGCGTCGATGTCGTCTGTCGGAGGGTGCTTCTGATTTCCAGATCGAAGGGGGATATGGCCGTGTTGGCTGCTGCAATGTACGACGCGAGATCATCTTCTGTCACATCTTCTGCTTGAGTGGGTTGCCCTTCTATTGATTAAATATCGGTTAGTTTCTCTTTTCTTTTTACTATTTTAAGATTCTTCATGTCACCACAGTGATACCTTGGACAGAGAAGATGGCTGCTAGGACGGGCCTTGCTTCTGCAAAGGTCATCGACCCGCGCGCCAGAAAGGCCTGCAGAAAGGCGCGGTTACTATCGTTGTATCCGTTCTCGTCGGTGTCGAACGACATATTTGGTGAATTCTTCGTCAATCTCTTGGCTGGTAGCACTGAACAGTGAACAGTCGCTGTGATGGGGGTGAAAGAGCTTTATTAATGAGGGGGAAACACGGTGGACGCGACTCGCGTTTGCCAGCGCCAAGCAGTGTTGGACAAAGAAAAGATGTGTCTACAAAGAATAAACCTTTTTTTCTTATATTATTATCGAGGCTTAGAGGTACTGGTAGATTACCGATCAACGATCAATTCCTTCTGGATATTACGCTACAAAGACAAAGACAAAGAAACATGGTGATAAGAACAACCGCCCTCAAGAACGCCAAGAAAATGACATGGACAGGATACAGCCTCTTTTTCCTCCCTAGAATCTCTTCCTAGTCGGCTCCGGGCTCGGACTGCGAGTCGCGCTGCGGGCATCGCGCCCACGGTCCTTCAGCCACTTCTTTGTGCTCAGCTTGAGGTCACGGTCGAGCTCGTTGCTCGGGTCCTTGCGGTGGATGAAATTGCAGAACCCGCCGCGGACACAGCCCTCGCCGCTGTTCAGCCGACAGCAAGCCTCGCGGAAATCCGTGACGGGCGACAGTTCGCAGTATATCGGTCGGGCGGCGTACCAGCGGGAATTCAGCGCGTCGCAGGCCGTCTGTGCGTCTTCTTCGTATTTGAACCGGGCGTAGACGTTTCCAATGAGATCTAACATATACAATTAGAAGAGATACCCAAGATACCAAAGAAGAAAAAAACCTACGGTCATTGTTGTTGTCGCAGACGACCAATTCTTCAATCTCGCCGTATTTGCACATCTCGCACCACACGTCTTCGTAAAAGGCATCGAAGTGGTTCTGCAGCTGACTCGGGTTCATCTTGCTCTTGGGATCGTATGCCGGGTTCTGGTACATGTTCGGCATGAGGACCGTCTGCGAGTACGACGGCTTGACGTGTTTGCGCGAGCAGCGGTCGCCATGTCGGCACGCCCCGATCTTGTAGTAGAACGAGCAGTTGACCTTGTCTTGCTCCGTGCCGAAGATCGACGCGAGATAGTTGGCCATGGCGGTATGAGGTAGACGGAGGTCTAGTTGTTATGTAGTTGCGCTGTGAAAGCAGACAGTAAGGTATTGTACTCGTTGCAGCCTTGCTGTCGCGAGCTCTGGTCGCGCTTTGAAGATTCTGGAGAGCTTCGATCGTGGCGTTGCTGACTCAGCGTTGCTAGAATATTCGCCTCAGGCTGCAATATGCCTGAGGCTTACAAATGTCTGCCTAAGGCAGGGAATAAGGAAATATGTGCCCAAGGCTGCCACTTCTGCCTTAGGCAGCCAGATCACTATGGCTCCCTCCTTTCCAAATCACAAAAATCACAAAAATACTCTCCATTCATAGGAACAGATTACTACGAGGTAATTCTATCAATTTTGGGCTATAATTCTTATTATTATGTTTTTACAAAATATACCAGACATTAGCATGTAGTCTTACTCTGTACTCTGTACTAAATAATCAGTTTTGATTCCTCATTGACGAGTAGCAAACCCCCTATTAATCATTAGTTATTATTATTAAACCCAGTCTGCACGTGGGATAGAAGCGTCTTCGTTCTGGAATCAAGCTTTGCCACATACAAAATATGTAGTAGTAGTTAGTCCATAACTAGTACTATGCCTGTCAAGTCCAATTGTTATCCCTTAGTGCTGTTATGGCACCACCAGGCCAGGCACGTTATCTTGTAGGCAAAGATCATTGGATATGCCTCAGAACACCCCAGGAACCCACCCCTACTACCAGGTACTAACATAACAGGTACTACTAAGACAACCGGTACTAACTACCAGGTACTACGACTACTAATCCACTGATATTCCACCTCTATCGGTCCACTCAACGATGACTCGAGAGCCGCCGCTTCTTCGGCCGGGATGATGCCGTGGTCTGGTCCCACAGACAGATGGTATATTCGTGGAGGGTCCCCTGCAGTGGGCCTGGAGAGAGAGAGAGATACAAGAAAAGAGGTGGCTCTGAATCGATTTTTCTTTCTTGAGCCCGGTTCTCCTCCAGCATGGTGTTCCGTTCGATTGTGGTAGCCTGGTCGCTGGCTGTCCTTGCAGTCAGGGCGATTCCGCTGGGGGTAAACATCGTCTCGCACACATCCAACGTGCCGTGCACAGGAAATTCAGCGTCCGATCGATCCGTCTGGTGCGACCATGACATCCATACAGACTACTACAACGTCGTTCCCGACACCGGAGTCACTCGAGAATACTGGTTGGAGCTGGTGAACGTCACAGCGGCGCCCGATGGCGTTCCACGGACCGTCTTGACGGTGAACGGCACCGTCCCCGGACCAACGCTCTATGCCGACTGGGGGGATCGGATCAAGGTGCATGTGCACAACGGGCTGGAGAACAATGGCACGAGCATGCATTTCCACGGTGTTCGCCAGAACAACACCAACACACAGGATGGCGTCAGTTCCATCACCCAATGCCCCGTCGCGCCGGGCGAGAGCATCACGTACGAGTGGCGAGCAACCGAGTACGGCTCGACATGGTACCACTCGCACTTTGCCCTCCAGGCGTGGGGGGGAGTTTTTGGCGGCATCATCATCAACGGACCCGCCTCGGCCAACTATGATGAAGATGCGGGCGTGCTGTTCCTCAACGACTGGGACCACCGGACCGTCGACTCGCTGTATCAGCAAGCCCAGATCAGTGGACAACCGTGGCTGCAGACCGGGTTGATCAATGGTACGAATGTCTGGGTGGAGGAGTCCGATGGCGAGGTGGTCGGCTCGCGCTTCGAGATGACCGTCTCCCGGGGGAAATCCTATCGCCTTCGGATCTATAGTGCTGCAATCGGGGCGTCGTTAAGGTTCATGATCGACAACCACGTCTTGATGGTCATTGCGGCCGATTTGGTCCCCATTCAGCCATACAACACGACTTCCCTGCTTCTGGTCGCAGGGCAACGCTACGATGTGATTGTGACTGCCAATCAGGACGCCGTCGCGTCTGACTTTTGGATTCGATCTATCCCTCAGGTGGCCTGTTCCAAGGTCCACAACGTGGACAACATCAAGGGTATTCTCCATTACGGCACTGGCAACGCTTCCACACCAACCACATCCCCCTGGAACTTTACAGACTCGTGTCTAGACGAACCCGCCAGCAGTCTAGTACCCATAGTCCCGGTCGATGCGTCCCCGGAAATGACCTGGAACAGTGAGATGACGAATGCCTCGCTGAATGCCGACGGTCTGATCAGATGGTCCATGGGACCGACCAGCTTCAAGTCCGAATGGGATAACCCGACCCTGCTTCAAGTCGCCAACGGAACCACCGTCTGGCCCGAGGTAGCGCACGTCGTTCCCTTCGAGGGAGTCAACGAATGGATCGCCATCGAGATCCAAGCTGGAACCAGCGAACCGCATCCTATTCATTTGCATGTAAGTTTCTCGATTTTTTTTCTTTTCTGATGTTGGATTCGTTTTTAATAATTTAGGGCCATGACGTCCTTATCCTCGCATCAGGCACCGGACAATACGTGAGAGACAACGTCTCACTACAGCTGCACAACCCTCCCCGACGGGACACCGTCATGCTGCCTGGAGACGGGTACATGGTAATTGCCTTCCAGACCAACAACCCGGGCGCCTGGCTTCTGCATTGCCATATCGGCTGGCACCAGGCAGAAGGGTACGCCATGCAGTTCCTCGTGCGGTACGCGGAGATCGAGTCCATGATCGACACCACGGCGTTGGAGACGACCTGTCGTGCGTGGGATCGGTATATGGCCATTGCCTCGCCAGAAGATGATTCCGGGATATGAGTTTCTGGACATACTATAATTCTCTCGACTCAGACTAGCGATCCCCTGTCAATGCTTCTACCTTCTATGATATATGTTGGTTATGATAATGTATAAATGTTGTTGCAGACTAAACAGTTAATTAAGAATATTAATAGTTCTAATAAAGAGGCATCTGTCTCTTAATATTATAATATAGATCTCTAAATAATATAATTTTATTAAGTAATCTATTAATAAAGTTTATTTAGGAGAACTCTTCTAACTTACTAGCTATTCTCTTATTGCATCTGATTAATTCCTATCTTTATTAGAATGGCAGTATATCTGTAAGATATCTATATCCTCTTCTTCCTTGCTCATCACACATTGCTATGTTGCACTACCAGGGTTAGGAATACAGGTGCTACTAGGTATTTAAAATAGTCTATTAAGCAATATTAGATAGTATTAAAGACTAAATTATATATATAAAGATAAAGAGTTGAAGTCCTTATGCTTTTATAAATAACAGTCTTTATAGATTATACGCCCTAATTCTTTGATAGTAGTAGCAGAGTATGTTACCTACAGTCTACTTAGTGAGTAGCACGAACAGCTCGAGTATGTAATATGCTTATACCCTATTGTTCTACTGTTACTCCCCGAAAACTCAGGTTACTCATCGAAGAATAAGGTAATACAGGTAAACAGGCCCAAGTATAAAAGGCTTTCCGTCCAGCTTCATATCCTCAATCATCAACTCAGCAACTCAAAACACTCAGCTATCATCATTATGAAGTTCAAGTACATCCCCTCGCTCTATCTCCAGGTCCTCGCCATCACGGCAAGCGCAGCCCCTGATGGGAACGCGGCAGAGATCAGGGCATCGGGCGACACTGCGATCCCCGACCCTCACCAGAGCGGAACCAGAGATGGCTGTAAGTTGAAGAGGCTCTGGTTCCGGCGGTACCTTGGCTATATGTCTAACAAACGAGCAGGCTCCGTCTACTACTGCGTTCTTTCCGGCGACACCTGCGCCGCCATTGCGAGCAAGTTCGGCATCACCATCAACGAATTCATCTCCTGGAACCCGGACGTCGGATTGCAGTGTGCTAACCTCTGGGCGGGATATAATGTCTGTGTGAGGCTGTAGACAAGAGTGACTGGATGGAAAAGGTTCCTCTTTCTCTCATTCTGCTAAGCTGCCACTGGCTGGTCTCCTGGTCTGTTCCGTGGCTGGGAAAAGCTTACCCAGGTAACTTAGGCATCAATGGATGGATCAATGGGAATTCTTGATTGTTTCTTGGAGCTCGTATATAGTTTATCCTTGGGAGTATCTACTGCAAAGACTGGATATAGATGAGGATGAGGCATAGTACTTGGTACTTGGGTTGGTGACTTATCAATTGATGCAGAGTAGATAGAACAGTAATTTGATATCTCTATCATGGGAGCGTCATTAATTTATGCTGCCTGAAGTTTATTCGAGTGGTGTCAATGTCATGTTTACCTTATAGCTCCTCAAGTTTAGTCAAGCTATTCAAGTTTCAAGCTGTCAAGCAACTGAATGAATCACTCATTTTATTCCATCATCCTGGCCAACACAGCCGGGAGTCTGAGTGCCTCGAACCACTCTGACCTATTCAAGCCTCCTTGATGTACGTGGAATATACTATCAGAACATCCAGAGACGAAGCTGGCTGTAAGAAGAGTTAATGTGAAGACCATGACCATGAAGTCCCTCCTACACTCTCTCGTCAAAGCGTTAAAGTCCCCCGGGGCCAGACGCGAAATCCACGCCGCCGCCCAAACAGCAACAACAGCACACACCGAGCCCCTCGGATACACCATTTCACAAAAGGAACGCCGACTCGACCGCTGGCTCGACTGGACCGTCTCGGTTGCCGGATCCCCGCTGGTCTTCACGCTGATCTGTGGGTTGCTCCTCGTCTGGGCGTTGCTGGGGATCCGCTTCCACGCCGACGCGACCTGGCAGGTGCTCATCTCCGACGTGCAGGCGATCGTGAGCTACATCTTTGATTCCTTCCTGATGCGCCAGCAGTTGAACGGATATGAACAGCGGGTACGGATTGCAGTCGAGCTGCAGTCGCGAGCGGCGACTCACAAACGGATACTGGAGAGTCTTGCCGTGAGAGGAGACGAGAAAGAAAAGTCTCAAGACATTCAGAATGTTTGTATTTCGACAGATGCTTCCTTCGATGATGAGCTGCCTGCCGAAACGTTCTTCGGGGCGTTGTCGACCCTCCTCGCCAAGGTCCTCGGGCATGCCGTCTCCCTCGCGCTCTACTGGCTTGGGATTCTTGTCTGGCTCGTCTTCGGCCATCACTGTTCCTGGAGCAACGCGTGGCAGCTGTACATCAACTCTGCCACGTCGGCCTTGATGCTGTTTGTGTTTTCCTTCCTGGCGAATATCCATGAACGACACGCGGAATATGAAGCCCGAGCGCTGGATGCAATCTACCGACTGGACTCGACCCTCGAATGCACTCTAAGGACATATGACAACAATCACAGCAGTGATAAGGAAAAACACAACCAAATACTCCCCAATCCCGTCATGACCAGCCATCCACCAAAAGTCAATATCCTGCAACGGGCGATAAACTACTACGCCGAAGTGGTGGGCACCCTGACGGGCATACTCCTGCTGGTCGTCATGATCGTGGTGTGGATCATCATCGGGCCTGCCATGTCTTTCGATTCCAACTGGTGGCTCATAATCGGCACTTACGCCGGGCTCGTCGGCATGCACGACGGGTTCGTCCTGAGGAACGTGCAGGAGGTGATGCACCGGCATGAAGAGAGCGAATATTCCCTTGTCAAAGCCCAGGATCAACACCTCTTACAGCTTGTTGAACGATCTCGGACAGCCTTGACGACCTCTAGTATTGTTACCAGTACTACTACTGGTAGTAATGCAGGTAATAGACCCGGTAGTCCTGCTATCTCTCTGGATGTGATTTGCGCGCATGAAATCACCGTGTTAGCCGGCTTATTCCTGATCATCGGTCTCCTGGTCGGTGCAGGGGTTATGCACTGGAACCTCACGGGACAGTTGCTCTGCAATGTACCCCCGAGCATCATCGAGACCTTCTTCATGATCCTCTTGATTTCAGCGCATAGCCACGCCGACGAGAAGAGGAGGGCGGATCTACGGACTATCTATCGGACGAGACTGCATTTGTTGGGTCAAAGTGACTAGATATACATATTTTTCTTTGCTATATGTTCTTAGCTACAAAATAGGGATAAATATAAAGTAAAGTATACTACATGGTTCATAAGACTGCCAGTGTTTATCTTGATAACGTCTGGTGGGGTTCCAAACCCCTCCAAATCTCAACACACATCTTCAGTTAAAGGGTATGGACCGCCGCACCGATAATCCAGCGATTCCATAAACGACTTCTCTGATCAATCGTACAGCCTACAACATGCCTGCCAAGACGATCATCGTCACCGGTGCCTCGAGAGGTACGTCCACCCCGAGAGAGAGATGAATCATTCTGACAAGCAAAGGCATCGGTCTAGCAGTCGCCAAATACCTGCTCGCCGCACCGCAATCACATAACCTCGTGGTCATCGCGCGCAGCGTGGAGCCCCTCCAGCAACTCAAGGCGGAATACGGCTCACAGGTCGAGGTGCTCAGCGGCGACCTCGCGGACCTCTCGATCGGACAGCGGGCAGTCGATCTTGCCATCCGGTCCTTCGGTGGATTGGACGGGATGGTCTTGAACCACGGCATTCTGGGCCAGGTTGGCAAGATTGCCGGCGCGGATTTGGAGCAGTGGAAGCATGGGTTTGACGTGAATTACTTTAGTTTCGTCGCTTTTGTGCGTTTCTTTCTTTCTTTCTCTCAATCAGTCCTTCATTTTCTTTTTCTTCCTCGCTAATGAGTCAGATCAAAGCAGGTCTGCCCGCTCTGCGTGCCTCGAATGGCAAACTCATCTTCACCTCGTCCGGTGCTTCCGTCTCGGCATACAGAGGCTGGGGTCTCTACGGGGCCACCAAGGCGGCGATGAACCATCTAGCCCTAAGCTTGGGAGAGGAAGAGCCCGACGTGACGACGGTTTCCGTGCGTCCGGGCATGGTCGACACCGAGATGCAGAGAGAACTCCGAGAAGACCACACCACAAATCTCGAGCCCCAGGTGCTCGCTAAGTTCACCGGTGTCCACGAGAGTGGGAAGCTGCTCAAGCCCGAACAGCCGGGCCATGTTATTGCCAAGTTGGTGCTCGATGCCCCCAGCGCCATCAGCGGCCGGTTTCTCTCGTAAGGATAAAATCTCCTCTCTCCTACACATGCTACGAACTACTGACATGTATCTAGGTGGAATGACGAGGTTCTAGAGGCGTTTCAGGCGTAGTCATCGGAGGGAAGTATGAGACCGTCTAGGTACCTATATGACAAGTCATGTTAGCAACATTGTCAAAAGACACAACTCATGTGTTAAATAGCGAGATAAGGAATTGTAAATCAGCCGAAAGATGAAAAGCAATACATGTTATAAGCATTAGATGCAGAGCATCTTCATACTTAGCATGGAATGTAGGTGTTCATCATACAATAGGTGTGGATTGCAAGCAAAAAAAACGTACCAATGGTGTTTCTGTCGATGTTTTTCTCAATCGAATACACTGACACCTTCCTAGATCTTCAGACAGTTAGAAGAATTCAAAACTTCGCGTGACAAGAGAAAAATTGCAATTTTTCAAGGCATCAGATAGTCCGTTTGGCTTAGGACAGGTACGTCACCATGGTAGGTATGATAGGGGCGACAACAAGGTTCATCATGTAGAACAAGGGGGAAAAAACAGGATTAAAGCACATACCATTCCATCGTTAGTAGCTACCATATTCAATGGGCTAAGCAATAAAATTCAATCCCATCATCAAGAGATTGCGGCCAAAGAAAGAAGAAAGATTTTCTTTTTCGCCTGTGTTGCTACAGAAAGAGAAAAAAAAATAAAATTCCCCGCCGCGCAAGGAATAAAAAGGACCCAAGGCGGTGTGGTGTGTCTGCAACGCTAGGCTGGAAAGAAGTTCTGCCTGGCGATCGTCTTTAAATACTTCAAGCAGGGCCTCGGGGCTGGCACACCCCCCCCCCCCCCCCGCTAGACTGCACAGAACGTCAGCCCAACGCGAGAACCATCAATTTACTACATACTGTCTGGCTCTGGATTAGTCGTTATTGCGGTCTTGTAATAGAATCTAGAGTCATGTCCGACCGAGAGTTCAGTTGTGAGTTGCCTCCCTTGTGGGCGGGCATTCTCGATCGCGTCGCAGAAACTAACGGGGTTTTATTTTCTTTTGCTTTAAGCCATCGACGATCTGTCGCTTCCGAAGGGTACGTTGAAGATCCCATTCAGTGCATGTTGTGAATGAAAGAAAACAAGCTGAAATTCTTCAATTTGATAGCGACGGTCCAGAAAATCATTACGGAAATCCTGCCGGCGTCGTCTGGCCAGACGTTCTCGAAAGACGCGCGCGACCTGTTGATGGAATGCTGCGTCGAGTTCATCACGCTCATCTCCTCTGAAGCCAATGACATCAGTGAGAAGGAGGCCAAGAAAACGATCGCCTGTGAACATGTTGAGAGGGCCCTGCGCGATCTCGGGTTCGGCGACTATATCCCCGAAGTACTTGCCGTGGCGGAGGAACACAAGGAGCAACTAAAGGTAGAGTATATCCTTTGAAGAACCATGTCAATGTACTGATTGCGTTCAGTCGCGGGAAAAGAAGCAGAGCAAGATGGAGCAGAGCGGCCTGTCGGAGGAAGAGCTGTTGCGACAACAGCAGGAGCTGTTCCGCTCTGCGACCGAGAAGTACAACGCCGTGCCGGAATGAAGCGGGCGTCGAAGTTCCGGAGTTCTGGTTGGCGAAGTTGTTTGGTCGGACTGATGCAGGTCATCGAGAGACCGCGACTAGGGAAGGGTGGTCTGTTTCGCGTCGTTCATCGGGTCATTCATGGAGTTCTGCTGGGTTTGGGTCGGGATTTTGGAATTAGCAGCCAGACAATTTTAAACCGGTGGGAGTCTGGCGAGTTTCATTAAAAAGTGTGTTGTTTTCTACGCGAGACAGCTATTCTATATATCTCTGCCCAGTCAATTATTGACTGTAGAAGGATTGAGCTAGAAATCCACTTCGGACCGAAGACAAAAAAAAATATATATAGTCAGGCTACTTGCATTAGAGATCCATTCCTTTTTTAAAGACACTAGGCATACAATACAGAACGGAAAAAGGGAGGAAAGGGAAAGAGACTACCAGACTACCAGATTGGCCAGAGACATTTGCAGTACCCAAGAGAACAAAGAAGAAGAAAAAAAAAACAATATTTCGCTTTCTAACCCATCATGACAGCATCAGAATCCTGCCGTGTATTCACAAGGTGTACTCGTGAATCGCAGAGGGCCCGCTCTCGTTGTACTCGACACGGCTCATGAAACCCTTGCTCAGGCCCTGATCAAGCACAAAGACGACCTTGGCCGCGACCTGGGCGCCCAGGAAGATGGCCTCCTCCATACCATGGCCGCCGGTTCCCGCGCCAGGAGCCCCCGGCCCACCGCCTGCAGCCGAGTTGTTACCTCCGGAGGCACCCGGAGCGTTACTGTTGGCTTGATCCTTCCATTCAGGGAAATACTCGGGTGGTCTGAGGGTCTTGACGGAGGTTGGGGTCTGAGAGTGACCGGTAGAACGGTGGTGGGCATTGGGATCCATGCCCGGTGTGCCCACGTTCATGTTGGAGGGACCAGGGGTGTTGGCATGGGTGGCAGCAACGAGGAGAGGATTGACGCCGTGTGCAGCAGGGTTATATAGAGGCCCCGGCTGTCCTGACGGGGCTGGGGTGTTTGTGCCACCTGTGGGCAGAGGGGTAGAGAAATTAGACGGGATTTCGGAGGTGAAAATGGTGCCGGAAGGGGAGAGCATGAATTTCTGCATGATGGTGCCGAGCAGGGCCTGGGTGAATCCTAGATTGATCAATGAGTAAACAGCCAGCGGGAGATAGGGGCGGCAGGCAAAAACGAAGGGGACTCGCCTTTTATTTTGCTGCCGTTTCCGACCACGATCAGGGAATCCCACAGCTCGCTGCGCTTGGTGGCATCAGGAACCGAAAGGATAGTATGGTGGATCTGGGTTGCGATATCTTCCAGGATGCCATTGGAAAGACGGTCGCCGGTGTTTTCCTTCGGAGTTGTCGCCAGGAAACGCTCGATTCCAACCTCGACGTCTCTTTTTTGGCGGATGAACTGCGCAGAACCTTTGACAGTGCCCTCCTTGGGTTGCAGTGGGACGAACTCCTCGAATTGGTACGTAGCCTTTTCCCGCTTGGAATTGGGCAGACGGACAGCCTTCGCGCCTTGGTCTGCTGCTCCTTTCTTGGTCGCGGCCTTGTCGGCCTTTTCCTTCTCCCGCTTGGCAAGAAATTCACTGGTGTTGCCACTCACAATAGCCGCCACGTCCAGGACCCCTTCGTCATCCTCTTCCCCAGTCCCGCTTTGGGTGCCTGTCTGGGTGCCATTTCCAGGGCCACGAGGAACATTTGTCTTAGGGGCACCTCCATTAGTCGCGCCAGTAGACGCTGCGGCGGCCGGGTTGGCCCCTTGATGAGCGGTTGTGCTTGCACCTGGGAATGGTGTTCCTGGGGGAAGGATCTCTGTAATGTTACTCCGCTTGAGTTGCTCGCACATCTCCCTCGAGAACCCCTTGGACCCGAGAAGCTCCACCAGCCGGTCAGTGATAGATTCGCCGCCACAGTCTTCCAATGCAATCCCTCTGCCGTGCTCATTGACTAAGAAGTCGGTCACAGCAGTGACATCGACCTTGTCCTTGCCGACATCCACCACCGTTGCCGTCGAAGTTCCGTACCCATAGCACACAGCCAGCGCGGAATCCATGAGACAAAAGGCGGGTGTTTTGAACTTCTCAAACACAAATTGGGTGATTGCCTCTCGGTCACGCGCCGACCAGACGGGCTCGGCAATCAACATGATCGGCGTGTGGAACGGCGGGCTCAGGGTGTTGTAGATGTGCGTCAGATGAGCAAAGAAGCAAGGCCAGTCAACGATGCGTCCGCCATGGATAGGATAGACGGCTCCCTCATCAGAGGTGACATCCTCTTCGTAGTAAATCTGTTCGACTGTCTCTGTCTCCGTCTCTGTCTCCTGTCTCGACTCGGAACCCTCCTTTTGCTCCCCCGCCAGCGCGCCTTCCGTCTGCTCGGCAGCCTCAGCAGCTGGCTTTTCTGTATCAGTGCCCGCCGTGTCTGTTGTTTTCTCGGTCCCGTCCTGTGCTCCCGCCTCGGCATCCTTCATCTCCACGTCCTCCTTCGGCGCGTCACCCCCACTGCTGGCGACCTTGACTTCACGGCGTCGCTCGCGGATCTTGTACGGCTCGAACTCCCCTTTCTTTCCAGCGGGGAACATGCGCGTAGGGAAGCGAAACCGTGCCGGTGTAAACGACTCGGGCAGTCCCAATTGCGCCAGGGTTACCTGCGAGCCCGGCGCAATGATCTGTGCAAAACGACCACACTATCAGCCACTGCAGAGCCTGCACAACGGGGCACAGCACTCACAAGAACGTGTTCATCTTTGAACGGCGGCATCCTTTCGGGGACACAGCGTAGGGGCGCTTCTCGTACTGAACTGGGCAACCGCAGCTCCGCCGTGATGGAGCTGGACCTTTTGCGCGCTGCGAGTTTGCGGGAGTCCCGATGTGGTTAGGCGGCCCTGGGGCTGATCGACAAAGTGACACCGATGGACCTGGGACTGAGGGACGATGATTATGATGGGGAGTATCGTATTGACAGAGTGGTTTCTGTTTTAAGCCCTTGGAATTTTTTTCTTTGATTCGCAGTTGACGGAATTGTACGCAGGGCAGTATGGTTCAGCTCGTTCAGTCTCGTTCAAGGGTGTATCACGTGATGGTATGATATGCTTATGTAACCAGGCAATTGCATTACGCTCTCTGCTGCTGCTCCAGACTTGCCTCTTGACAGCTCTTTCGACAGCTCTTTTGACAGCATCTCTACGCTGCCAGCGCTGGGTAAATAATCAATAAATCAAGTATCCGGGAACGCATACCCCCGTTGACCGTTTCTTTCGAAAATGCCGCGCGCTGAGGCTGGTTCGACCAAGGCTATCAGCAACAAGATCAAGTCGGTAGGTTTGCCACTACAACACACGACGGACGGGATGGTTTCTGACACGGGATACAGAAAGGCCTTGGTCGGCTGAGGTGGTACTGTCAGACGTGCGAACGTCAGATGAGAGACGAGAATGGATTCAAATGGTAAGAGATGGAGACTCCGCTTTGGTTTTGTCCTTTCTAATCCTCTTTTCCAATAGTCACGTCCAGAGCGAAAGCCATGTCCGTCAAATGCTTCTTGTTGGCGAGGACCCGAAAAAATTCATCGAAGACTACAGCAAACAGTTCATGTCCAATTTCCTACAGATGCTCAAGACCACTCATGGAGAGAAGAAAGTCCATATCAATCAGTTCTACCAGCAGGTGATTGCCGACAAAACACATATTCACATGAACGCCACCAAATGGAAAAGTCTTACTCAGTTTGCCGCCTACCTGGGGCGTGAGGGGATTTGTAGGGTGGAAGAGACCGAGAAAGGGTGAGTAACCTGTTTCTCCTTGGCTTCGAGTTCGACCTTTTTCTAACTAATTAACCCTTAGGCTATTCGTATCGTGGATAGACAACTCCCCCGAGACGATGCGAAAACGGGAGGCGGTCCTCAAAAGAGAACGCCAAGACAAGGGCGACGAAGAGCGAGAACAGCGTCTGATCCAGGAGCAAGTGGAAAGGGCTCAGCGGAATGTAACAAACCCGGATGAAGATAGCGATCAAGAAGCAAAGATACTCCAGCGCAAGGACGGCGAAAAGCTCAAACTGAATCTTGCCTTTGGAGCAAAGCCGAAGGAAGACGCGAAAACCGAATCTCCAAAGCCACCCAGCCCCAAGGAGAACAAGAGCGACAGCACCACTCCAGAGACGGACAGCGCTGCTGCTGCACAACCCGCGGCCGCGCCCTCTGCTGCGCCGGTCAAGCTCTCCATGTCGTTCGGCGACAAGAAACCGAAGAATGTGTTCGCTGCAGCTGCAAAAAAGAACCCTCTCAGTGGCAAGAAGGGCCCTGTTCTAGAAGCACCAAAGAAGATGTCGGAGCAAGAGAGAATCATGAAAGCCGAGATGGAAGCCATGGAACGCAAGCGCATGCGTGGAGATTCTGGAATGCCTGGTCCGAAACGTACAAAGATCGTCTGAGGAACGGAATGACCGCCTCGATCCATCCCACCCCTCCGACTGTTCATGTCTTGACTCGCTAGAGTAACTGAGTATTCGGCGCTTGAGTTGGCCAAAGTTGCCAAGTCATCCTGTCCTAGTGCTCCACCCGCTTCCGCTGAGTCTGACCATCCATTGCGCATGCTATCTCCTGAGCAGCGACCGTTCAATGGACAAGCTGCTATTACGCCTTCAGATAACTGTGCAGAATAGCATCGGCTTGCCATCACCAAATGGGACATAAGACTGATCTCCCCCGTTTGCATCATGCATTGGTCTCTTAGATGGATGATTTACATGTCCATCCCTATATTCCCCTGCCTCGATGTCTCATACTAGGGTCTATGAGCCTGGCAAGTTGTCAAATCTTTAATAGGTTGCCTATTACATATATATAGGCATCCAATTTCCGCAATAAGAGACAATTGGCTCAATCTTCGCCACAGTCTCAAGACTGTATGAGAGAAAAAGATATAGGGAAACTAAATGAAAGCTACAAGTCAAGAATAGAACCAGTTTTAAATCTACATTATAGGGCACATTATAGCAGAGCAATTAAGTAAATTAAACAAAATCTTTATATATGCATGGATTTTAGTGATTGAGGGTAATCAAAATCAAATGGTTGACTCGAGCTAATTTTACCTTTAACTGGCTATTTATATAAAAAGGGAGAGTAATCTCTCTACCATATAATCCAGGCATTCAGGTGTTACCCCTTTGTCTCCCACTTAGTTACCACTTACTTCTCTCGCCTCTCCTATGAAATCCGAATACATCCCCATCCTTTATAATGGACGATATCCAGCAGGAAAAGATAATATCCCTCATCAAGGATGGAGATCTGAGTCGACTGATTCCTACCTTGGAAGGCGTTCTACAGAAGCAGGAGGAACAACTCACCTCGACCACCGACCCAACCATCTTGCTCCAGACTGCAATTCAGGCCATGCAGCTAGATGTGCTAGACTACCTGTTGACCCTGTTTTTCGCACAGGAGGGAGGCAAGCCGAAAGAGGGCCACTTGCGACTGCTGGGCCGGGTTGTGATCCTGGAAGCCCTGGACCGCGATCGAGTGCCAGTGTTTGAGTTGCTCTGCCGTCACGATCCAGCGCTCCAAACCATGTATGTTGGCCATACGGGACCCCCGCTCGCATGGGCCGCGAAGTTCGAGAACCTCGCGCTGGTCTCCTTCTTGCTGGCTCGCGGCGTGGAACCGAACAAGACACAGATAGATCATCGCCCAGCAGTATCAATAGTGGCGGGCTGGGGGTCCTGTGCCGTGATGGAGTTGCTGTTAGACCACGGCGCCGTCGTCTCGGGGACCGATGCACTGTTCAACGCCGCGTTCCAGAGACGCATTGACATGCTGGCTCTCCTGCTTGAGACGAGGAAGGCGGCAGACATCAACTCGATTCAACCGGTAGACTATGAGAGGGAACTCACTCCAGGACCGGTCCTCCACTTGGCTGTCCGGAAGAGGAACGCGAAAGTGGTTCGCATGTTGATCGAGCGATTTCACGCTGATCCCCTCGCCAAGGATTCCGAGGGTCGCACTGCTTTCGACTGGGCAGCTGAGGTTGGGAACGTCCATTTGCTTCGGAAAGAAAGACACTGCACCATATCATAATGAGTTTCTCGCAACCCCTCCAGAGATAAGCTCGGTTCGGGTCGCCGAGCCGATATCGCGACTGTGGGGTTCTTCAAGAAGATCTTGGGAATGATTCATCATTCTTCCTTCTTGATTTGTTCAAATCGCCTGCTTTTTTCTTTTATTGTTGGTGTGCTGTACAAAATGGCATCCTCTTTGACCCTTGCCTTCGTCGGATGCGGTAATGATTCTCCAATCTGGTGCAGAATGCCAAGCTAATTCAACTGCCCAGGCAATATGGGAGCCGCCATCCTCGGCGGGATTCTGGATGTAACCCGGGAGGACTCCGAGAGATCGAGTCTGTCATTGCCAGCACCGTGTGCGGTCTCGCGGTTCCTCGCATGTACAAAGACGGCCGGGTCGGCTGAGAAGCTACGCACCAGATTCGCCCGGGACAGCTCACGGGTCGAAGTTCTGCATGACAGCAATGTGAAGGCCATGATGGAGGCAGATATCATCGTGCTAGGCTGCAAGCCCTATCTGGCCGAGGCTGTCCTCTCTGAACCTGGCGTGCAAGAGGCGTTGACGAATAAGTTTTTGGTCAGCATCGTCGCGGGAAAGACGTGCGCAGAGTTGCAGCAATATATCCAAAAGGGGTCGAGCCCAAACTCCGAATCATCATATTCTATTATGCGAGCGATCCCCAACGTTGCCGCGAGCGTGGGCGAGTCGATGACCGTCATTGAGCAGCCGGCCGCCCATATCCCGGTCCGGTACGTGGATGTTATCACCTGGATATTCGAGCAGATTGGCATGGTCAAGTTCCTTGCCCCGGATCTGATGGATGTTGGATGCATGATGGCTGGCTCATCGATGGCCGTGCTCTCCCTTGCGCTGGACGGTATTTTGGACGGTGCCGTCGCCGAGGGTGTCCGCCGAGCTGACGCGATGGAGATGGCAGCTCAGGGCCTGCTAGGCCTATCCAAGTTGCTTAAGGCAGGCACGCACCCGGCTATCTTCCGCGAGACCGTCTCCTCGCCTCGCGGCTGTACCATCCAGGGGCTGCTGACGGCGGAGAAGGCTGGTGTGAGAGGAACGTATGCTCAAGCTATCATCGATGGCACGCAGCATCTGCAAAAGCTGCAAAAGAAATAATCCATTCACATCCTTAACTTTTATCTTTTTCTTCTTTTTCCTTTCTATTCTCAATCTTCTTCCAAGACATTCTGGCGAGATAAGCCGTCCGTGTATATATATCTATAGAGATAGACACTTCTCAAAATTAGATCAGGTCTCTCGCTTTAACATTCAGGCAAAATCAAGAATATCGCCGTCTATTTCCGAAGGACCATGCCACTCTAGAATGTGCTGCAGGAATGATGTCTCTGTATCTTCATCAGAACACGATCAAAGATCTTTCCAGGCTTCACCCCGCACGCGGCACAGGAGGCCGAAGTTTCCGCTGCAGGATACAATCAGTTCACAATGGCACGAGACTGCTAATCTCCAATGATAGGCATCCGCTTCATAGAGTATCTGTAGCTTGGATTCCGTGAGGCGTTTAAATGAACCATCAGTACAGGATCCTCGTCGGGAACAGAATCCGAGGTGGCATCCAGTCGCGATGGGGAACTCAGCATGAGTGTCATCGTCCAGGCGCATCCTATTGACGTGGTAGAGAGGGGTTAATTGGTTGTGGCTGATTAAAAAGCCTCCCTCGGTTGTCTTTCGTTCAAATAGTTGGACGCTGCGTTGTGTATATAATGTCTGTGTTGGTACATCGTAGTATTTGATCTTTCTCCAGCATACTAGCAGCGGTAGGTATATATTAGCATCCATCATGAAGATCAATCGACTAAGCGCGAGGTATCTCTCGCTAAATCTTGCTCTCCGTGATCATGTTGTACCTCCGGCGCAAGGATTTGGACAAAGAGGCCACTCAACTAGCAGCGCTGTCTCCCCGTACACGGCGCCTTCGACAAAGGGGAAACCACCGTCGCTGGCAATGATGCCAACCGGAACACTGCTGCGTTCCTTGATGTTCACTAGTGTGATGTCCTCGCCACTGTTGGAGCCTTGCCTCGCAATGATGAAGCTTGTAGTCAACTCCCAATCCCCCGTTTTCGATCCTCGCAAGAATCCTATAGTCGACCACCTTCTCCGAGCGACGATATACAACCACTTCTGTGCCGGGACTGACGAGGCCGAGGTCCGACAGTCAGTGAAGTCAATGAAAGATATGGGATACAAGGGAGTGATTCTTGGATATGCCCGCGAGGTTGTCGTCAACGAGCCTGAAGATTGCAACATCCCCATCTCTGAACAGAACCAGCAGACACTGCATCTTCGAGCCGTCGAAGAATGGAAGCTGGGAAACCTGCAAACGCTGAAGATGATCGGGCCAGGAGACTATCTGAGCATGAAGTAAGATCCTGAATTACCGAGAGCTAAAACGCCGCGGAAAGAGAAATAATAACACCACAGATTCACTGGCGCAGGTCCTGTAGCCGTCGAGGCACTGTCACGAGGAGATCCGATCCCACCGGCATGCATCCAGCACGCGATGGATGAAATCTGTGAACAGACGGCCCGGCAGGGATCTCGCCTCTGGATCGACGCTGAGCAGCAGGTGTTCCAACATGCCATTGACAAATGGACTATCGGCCTAATGCGAAAGTACAATGGCCAGGGCAAGGCGGTCGTGTTCAATACCATCCAAGCGTATCTCAAGTCATCGGCGCAAAACGTGCACCACCATCTGCAGCTCGCCCAGCAGGAAGGCTGGACGCTAGGTATCAAGCTTGTTCGTGGAGCGTATATTGCCCACGACATTCGCTCGCGTATCCACGACACAAAACAAGACACAGACCGAAACTACAACCATATTATTGCCAGGCTTCTGAGTCAGCAATCACCTCTAGACGACTCCATGCACCCGTTTCCAGATGTCCGACTATTTGTGGCCGGCCACAATGCAGAAAGCGTCCACAAGGCATGCACCTTGCACCGGAGCCGGATCATGCAAGGACAACCCACTATCCCCACGCAGTTCGGCCAGTTACAGGGTATGGCGGATAATATCAGCTGCGAACTGTTAGCTGAAGGCCGACGAGCAGATCCACAGTGTCCAAAACAGCAGGCGGCTGTACCGCAAGCTTTCAAGGCCCTGGCATGGGGCTCAACCTCGGAATGTCTTCACTTCCTGTTGCGACGGGCCGTTGAGAACAAGGGCGCAGTCGAAAGGACTAGGCACATGGCTGACGCTCTCAGAATGGAACTCTGGAGGCGGCTTCGCAGCGATTAGTTAGACGCTTTTTTACAAAGACTGAGTTTGGCAAGGTCTTTCTCTCCGAGCGGCGTATTTGTGTTGTATGGTTTGAGATATGGTTAAGGTCTGAGAAATGGGACTTGATCAGTTTTCGAAACAATTTGATTCATTCTCTCACCCACTATTTACTTACAACCACCTAACTCAGCCCGGGATAGTTCTAGGCACCCACCTTGACGGTATCACCCCTGTCGTTGCTAGTAGCACGGAGTCGTAGCTTTCAAATCGACTTGATGGTTCATTAGATATGAGTATCAATGATCAAGAAACAGAATCTCAGCCTACCAGCTCGATTTTCTGTCGTAGAAAAGCAGCAATAAGGAGATCAGAAAGGAAGAGAAGAAGAGGAAGAAGAAGAGTGTTTGTTGTTCAGGAAGTCGTGGACGAGGAAGATAGTGGAAGCCTCAGGCAGCCATCGGGGTTCGGTGTATTTTCCAATCGCCGGCTCCGGGCTACCGTAAGCACTCACTGTAGTATTAGTAAAATATTCCTGCTTCCCCTCCTGGTTTGTTTTCGCTCTTCTTCCTCTTGGATCTCTCCAGCACCCAGAGGAAGGAAGTTTCATCTGAATTGGCCAGGAGATTAGCTCATGGACCGAGAGACACTGCTGTCTGGTCGGACGCCCGCTCCGTATGGTCGTGCGTGTGAACCCTGCGCGCTGGCGAAGTGCAAATGCATACTGCGGACCGCTGGAGACCGTTGCGAGAGGTCGGTGCTGCTCACCCAACAACTATTAGAGCCGGACTTTGTACGTTCAGATGCTGACGGCAATCTCAGGTGTCATCGTCTCGATAGAGAATGTCGTCCGTCGAAAACGGTACGGCGGCGGAACCCACAGAAAGGTCGGTTGTCCAAAACGGCTCGATTGGAGGAGAAGCTGGATAACTTGACAAACTTGTTGAAAACCAGTGGTGTGGAGATTGGGGAGGGGGAATCGCTCGCTCGAGTGCCAGCAGGTGGATGTCCAATGGCCGAGTCAACTTCAACTACCGATGACTCTTCAGATTCTGGCCGAATGGACACTGGACCCGAACCGACTCTCAGCGAGGCAGCTGAATATCTGACTCGCTTCCAGACGCAAAAGTCGCAGTACATGCCCCTGGTATATATCCCGCCAGAAAAGACAGTCCAGCAGCTGCGTCAGGAGCGGCCGTTCCTGTACCTCTGTATCATGACGATATCTACCACGAATGTCCCACAGCAGCTTGCACTCTCTCGGAAAGCCAGGAAGATTATGGGCCAGGAAATCATCCACGACTCAACGGTTGACAGGCTAGACCTGCTGCTGGGAATTCTTGTATATCTCTCATGGTCAGTGATGCCGAAAAGCAGGAGCGAGACATTCCTAACTCTCACTTTATATCTCTACCAGGCTCCAATATCAAGTTGATCAGTCCAGGGTATTTGCCATGACACACCTCGCCATTGGATTGGTATTTGAGCTGGGTCTGAACAGACCTCTGACCAACCGTGTCTGCCAATACGATTGTCAACATAGCAGTCCTCCAACTCGTACCATGGAAGAACGCAGAACGGTTGTTGGTTGCTTTCTACTTACATCGACGTAAGAATGATCTTCGCGTTTTAATCTCGTTGATGGAGGTCTCAGCTTATGCCACCTACTAGGCTCTCATATTTTATCCTGAAGATTGATGCGCTGCGGTGGACTCCGTACTTGAATGGATGCCTTCAAGTTCTGGAGACACAACCAGAGTGCACTAACGACGAGCTGCTGGTGCACCTGGTCCAAATACAACTAGTGTCTCAAACGGGCTGGCAAGATGGAATGACCACTGCTAGTGACAATGTTCGAGCACCTCCGCCTTTCTATCTCCATGCGCTTAGATCGCAGTTGGATCAAGCTAGGAGAAATTTTGGACCTCATCTGCAGACTCATGGTAAGGTCGATGATTTAGCTATCGCCAAGCCGATCATACGATGTATGAGCTGACCTTGTCTCCAGCAGTGTTGTTATTACATGCACACAGTGCTACTCTGGCCATAAATGATTTTGCGCTTTCCGGCCTGCCTATTGTTCTCGAGAATTCTCGTTCTTTGCAGCTGGACTGTCTCTACGCCTGTCTTGACAGCGTCAAATTGTACTTCGATCTGTTCTTCGCCATACCCCCGGCTGCATTTTTCGACCTCCCAGTCTCGATTTGCGGGCAGGTGAACCAAACTCTGTCGGCTCTGTATCGTCTTTCAATTCTGGATGATCCAGCATGGGACAGAGTTGCCGTTCGCAAGATTGTAGATATCCAAATTATCTTCGATCGACTCTTTGACGTGCTCCAGCAAGCAGCTGTGCTCGCTGGCTTGGACGGGGGTGTCGAGAACCCCATTCTCTCTAAAGCCATGCAGGCTTTTCGTTCTATCCGCAGTCGGTGGGAGGCTAGAGAGCGGTCGGAACTCATGTCCACGCCACTGAATATGAATGAGGATTTCCTTGATCCCTCAATTGGGGACATGCTAGGAGTTGACTTGTGGGGGGAGCTGTTCACAGCTTGGAATGTATGATTGTCATCACACTGTATCTTTGCATCCATTCATCCTCTCTTGGTCTATTTAATTCGCCCTGAGCCACTATGAGTTCGACTTGAGAACCGACACCGTGTCCATCATGGGATTTAAACCTTTTTTCTGAACGAAAAAGAGGTCCTCACCCGACTCTTATCCACTGTGACCCTACCCAACGACGGTGTTGACAACTTTCCAAACTGAATAAAGGAACAGGTAATGCTGCTTCCTTCCATAAAATTGACATTTTATCTCTGTTAATTTTCTTCAACGAGACAGCAGGGCTTCATCTACTGAGAGACCATTCAAATCCGAAACATCAGTATTCAATAGGACAACCGAAACAAGAATGGCAGGCAATTATCACCCCCCGGGAACAAGTCCTAGAAAAATTAGACCGCAGGCAGTGGACAAGTCGAAACCCATACAGGGGTAAGCAACCTTGCAGCCAGTCGGATTTCGCAAATTTTGAATCCGCTTGCCTTGGTTTTCTATTCAGGCTATCGGTCGGATCTCCACTCGCCCATCCGGCCGTCACGCCATGTTGGAGATCGCTCGGGGCTGCAGTTTTCCGGATCCACTACTCCGGACGGAAGAGAAAGAGCTACTCTCCCGGACAGTGGTGATAGTCAGTCGGCACTGTGCTGGAGGTCGTGAAGGGAGCAAGCATGGAGGAGCTGACATCAAGGAGAATGTTGACGGGAGCGTATATAAAAGATCCTCGATGCAACCGGGCTTCTAGTCCACCATCAAAGCATTCGGTGAATAATCACAAAGAGATCCCGCGAAAATGACAGGCCCTCCCTTGCAACCCGAAGACCACGAGCGCGACGCCAGATTCACGGGCATTCTTCATGGGAAGTCATCAGAGGCACACGGTGGCTTTCGCGCGATGCGCAGCAAAGACGCCAAGGCACATGAGGTTGTTGCGGATGAGTACTTCAAGCATTGGGGCACGAAAGAGGCCGGCGTGGAAACCGCGGACGACCGGGCAGTATGTGTTTTTCAGGAGGGCAACGCTGGGACAACATGCTGACTGGCACTCTCTCTTAGGCTCGACGGTCGCAATATGCAAACTTGACTCAACAGTAGGTTCTCTCTTTCCACGAGAAGATGAGAGATGGTTATGGTCTAACTCGAGACAAAAAGGTACTACAACCTCTCGACTGACCTGTACGAGAACGGTTGGTGTCAGTCCTTCCATTTCTGCCGGTTCGCGCCCGGCGAGCGCTTCCACCAGGCCATCGCCCGGCACGAGCACTACCTAGCCATGCGCACGGGGATCAAAGAAGGCATGAAAGTGCTGGACGTGGGCTGCGGTGTCGGAGGGCCTGCGCGGGAAATCGCCAAGTTCAGCAACGCGCACATCACCGGTCTTAACAACAATGACTACCAGATCCAGCGCGCGACGCGCTACGCACAGCAAGAAGGACTGTCTGACCGGCTCGACTTTGTCAAGGGCGACTTCATGCAGATGGGCTTTCCAGACAATCATTTCGATGCCATCTACGCAATCGAAGCAACCGTTCATGCCCCCGATCTGGAGGGGGTGTATCGCGAGATCTTCCGGGTGTTGAAGCCCGGCGGCGTGTTCGGCGTGTACGAATGGTTGATGCTAGACAGCTACGATGACTCGGACACGGAACAGCGCCAGATCCGCCAGGGTATCGAGCAGGGCAATGGGATCTCCAACATGGTCAAAGTCGCGGACGGGCTAGCGGCCATCCGAAACGCGGGCTTTGAGCTAGTCTTCCACGACGACCTGGCAGCCAAGGGGGACACGGTTCCATGGTATTACCCCATCGCCGGCGACTTCAAGCACATGGGATCCATCTGGGACTTTCTCACCATCGCCCGCATGACCTGGTGGGGGCGCGGACTGGCCCATTCCTTCATCGGCGCGATGGAGAATCTGCGGCTGTTCCCACGGGGGTCGCGAAAGGCCGCCGAGAATCTGGGTCTGGCGAGTGATTGTTTGGTGGCAGGGGCGCGGCAGAATATCTTCACCCCGATGTATCTAATGATCGGAAAGAAACCGATGGCATGAGCAATATCTATGATCCAATGGTCTGGCGCTATAAAAGCCATCAATGTGATAAAACAATGAGATTTGTTCCTAACATGCATCCTATGGAATCGCTTTCATCAACATATCCACCCGCCGTCTTTCCAGCCCGAATATACCCATCCATAAAGCGAGTGCCAATTTCACCCGCAAGATTGTCATACATCGTCTCTGGCATCCGCCGACACAGCTTTCACGAGATCTCTGTAGCTCCATGCCTAAACCCGAGCCGTGGAAACAAAGACTGTCTCCCTCGCGTACAGCTGCCATCCGGGGCCAGTCTGTCCGATGCAGGTCGGATGGCAAGTCGAGCCGGGATATGCTGACGAGATGACATATATATATAGCAAGACAAGACGCGTGTTCTGGTCGAAACAGTTTCCATTCCATTGCTCTACTACACGACAACTACTTCTTCTACCTATCTCATTATGGCATCGCCCATTCCCGTCGCCATCGTCCTGTTCGAGGGAATCGATGTATTGGACTTCAACGGCCCGCTGGAGATTCTTTCCAATGCTTCCTACACTGGCGCCGACGCGATCAATCCCGACCTGGCGTTTGATGTGAAGCTTGTCGCTGCGTCTGAGGTCGTCCACTCCAGGAGAAACCACAGATACATTCGTGATTATTCTTTCGAAGAAGCAACCAGCAGACTGGACGAATTTCGCATCCTGGTCGTGCCTGGGGGCTCGCCGAGCATCCTGCTGCCCCTCCTCAGGGCTGCTTCTCCGGAGCTGGAATTTGTCAAGCGTTTCCTCAACCACCCTAACTCGACGTCCCCTGCTCGTACCATCTTCTCGGTCTGCACGGGTGCCCTCTTCCTGGCCGCAGCCGGTGCTCTCGCCGACATGACTGCAACGACTCACCATACCTGTTTCGACATGCTCCGAGAAATGGGAGAGGACCCCGCCTGTGGAAAGATCAACGTCGTCAAGGCGCGCTACGTGGATGGCGGTCGCTGCAAGACCGGAGTGAGGGTTCTCACTGCTGGAGGAGTTTCATCCGGGCTGGACGCGGCTTGCTATCTGGTATCGACAGAAGTCTCGCAAGAAGCCGCTGATAGAATTGCCGCTGTGGTTGAGTATGACTGGAGGCGAGAACCAGAACAGATGGTTATTTGAGGGGATCTTCTAGCTGACATTAATCGAAATATATCATCATAATATATGCCAGATGATACAGATGTCATGTGTCTATGTATATTTCCAGGTGACAGCCTCGCCATTTGTAAACGCGCATCAAGCTGATGGTGATTAGGATCAACTGAACGATCCGTCGAGGGCCCCCGTCTTTTATTCAGTAGGCAGGTTGATCCAGTCTGTAAACGAGGAAGGCCAAGATCCGAGCTCCGTAGAAGCTGATGCGCACTCCTGGCCTGTACAGTCATAGCTAAATAACTCTGGAAGATGGCTGGAGAAATCTGTATCGGATTTTGGCCACTGCTGTAGGCTGATTTCAAAATCAGCCCAATAGTTTGTTTCCTTCAGGCTCCCGTTTAGCATTGGACAACGACTGTGCTTCGCTGTATGATTTCCTATATCTTTCTCAGCTTGTTCCGGAGAGGGTTTCAAACGAGAACATATTAGATCCATAATGGAAACAGACAGGGAGAAGTAGTCCGGCGGCTCTCCAGCCTGCTGGCCCCTTCTGGAAAGTTTCTCGAATTGGGCCCTCAGATCGCGCAAGCGAGCCATAAACTTGCTTCGCCGTTCATTTACTAGCGGTTGCCATTGTGGAAGTTCTGGTATCTGGAAATCACAGAGCCGAGAAAAGGCTGCGACCGCGTGTGAAACACAAGACCGTGATACAAACCCAACTTTAGCATATTCGTCGCTGGGGATGCGGAGGTAATATTCAAGAAGGTTGATTGTCTCCTCCCAGCATCGGCTCAAGACCTGAAAGTAGCTCAAGGCATCAACTGGCTGTCCGCTGGTTCTCTCTGGCTGTTGCCGCGGCTGGTCCACCGGTATGGCGTGCATTTTGACTAGAGCCAATAACCGAGCCAACTCAAGTAGAACTGAGCAATCCAACAAGAGTCAATCTAGTACAACTTCTGGACGTGAAGGCTTTACCAGGAACTCACCTTGGGTTTGGTGACTGCTAAACCTTTTGCTATGTATATCGGCTAGCTGGGTTTCAAAGGACCTTACCAGGGCCGACAGCGGGCATTCTCCTGTATATGGAGCAATTTCTAGCCAAGTCTCAAGCTCACAGTCTGCAATACCATCTATGACAGATTGAAGCCCCATAGTAGCTGCGCATGTGGCTTCGATTGACCCTTCATCGTATGCAGAAAATTCCGATATAACCTGTTTCACTGATTGAGTCAATTTGAGACGATTGCGTTTCCTAAAGCCGACCGCTATTCTGTTTGACAGTATTGATTAGCTTTATATGGTAATGAAAAAGAAGAACTCGTGGTATCTTACGCCGAAGAAAGGTAATGGCAACCCAGACAAGCACGTTTCGCCTCACTTTCGTGGGATGAGTCTGGCCATAATCTTCCCGTGACAAACTCGTCCAGGTTTAGCTCTGATAGCATGCCGATGGCTATCTGGATATATTTGAAAATTTGATGACTCATGGGCATTAGATGTAATGGATACCTGTAGGATCAGAGGAATAATCCTGCAGATTACGTGGGGAACTCCTACCATGCCAAATAGACTAGCAATCCCTGGAGATGGTAAAGGCTTTTCTCCCCTTGAATGATGATCCTCGAGCTCAATAGCATCCGAAATTTTTCATTGAGAATCCGCTGCAGGTATGGATCCCCGGCCGACGAAACGGTAAGAATCGCCAAGAATAAAAAGGGACGGCGGGCGCAGAGCGATTCCACTGTAGCATTGGGCGGGATAGTCACAAACGGGAAATAGGGGCTCATTGCCCGAAATACAGCCAAGAGTTCCCTGGCCCTTTTTGGAGTGAGCTTCATCTCATGGCGTGGTTGCAGAGGAGCAGGACGATCGAGTTCCTCCGATGGAGCTTGAGGCCGAGGCTTCTGGAATAACTGCTGGTGGTGCGCTAATAAACGATCTGTTTCATCAGTGTATCTGAGACCAAAGCCATCAGAGCACAGCTTTTGCAACAAATCATCCGATTCAGGGTCTTTGGGTGTTGCGGCGAGAATAGGCGACTTGTCCGATGTTTCTGGCTGCGGTCTGCGAGGGTGACAGGACGTAAGCTCTCAAATTCAAACAATCAAAGACCAAGACAGTACCTGCGGCTCCTTGAGGTTGTAAAAGAGCACTTCTTTGACACTCTTAGACATCTAATTTCCCTTGTGTTAGAGAGAGACCCCGGCTAGAGTAGAATGGTCTATACCTCTGGCATGCTCCGTCTATTCTGCTGGGCAAACATCGGGTCTTGTGGCTTTTGCATGAATCACAGGCCCTCGGGTTCCTGGGGCGTGGGCAGACGAACCGTATATCTGATTCCATGCCTGGACAAACGGCTGGTAACAGCATGAAGTTGACTGTCCTGAGGTCGGAGGAGACGTGCCTTCCTCTTTGGATCAGGGACGTCTTACATAAGCTCTCAGCGGAAAGCAAGAGCAGCCGAGGCTCTCTTCCCGGATGGCAAGTCGAGCCGTTATCTTTATTGCGGGGTGTTATGTAATTCCATTATCAAAGCGGAGAGGCAGTACGTAACTCTTTGATGCTGTGAGACCCTCGGTAGATGACTCATTGCTGCTGGGCAGTTGCTTGCTCTCTACACCCAGAGAAAGAACCCATGTTGTCTAGGGTGGAATCAGATGAGATCAATTACACTACATACGCCGTAATGATAATGCTTCCTTATCTTGTTGGGAGCTAGATACAAAGTAGCGTTGTAAGTGGTTCGCTTAACTCCCACCAAGCCCGTAGCTGATATTACGTAACGGCGGGTGGCACGTGCACGGCGATCCACGATGAGTCAATCGTCAGGGACGGTGGGCAATAACTACCTTACTCCTTTGGCCAAGCTGTCTGACTCCAACGTACTTAAGCTCTCGGTTGGTTACTTGCTTGAAAGAACGTCCAGCGAATCATCACAATGGCGAAACCTCGTGTCTGTCTTGCCTACTCCGGTATGTCACCGTCGGGATGTCTTTGTCTCTGATTCAACAGCGGGTTTTCCCCCGCACCTCTGTTCGAAGAAGCTGACAGACTTCTCAATATAGGCGGTCTCGATACCAGCTGTATCCTGCGTTGGCTCATTGGTACGCTGTTCCTCCGTCGCTCGTGCCGCTACGATCGAACCGACTAACATACCCATCAGAGGAGGGCTACGATGTCGTCTGCTTCCTCGCCAATGTCGGCCAGGAGGAGGACTGGGCTGCCGTCGAGGCCAAGGCCCTCAAGATCGGTGCCGTGAAGATGGTCATTGAGGATCTCCGCGAGGAATTCATCACTGAGCTGTGCTTCCCCGCCATCCGTAAGCAGATCTTCCCCCTCCCCCCCCTTGCTGCACTGGTATCAATGGAAGAAGAAGCGGGGCTAATTTTGTGTCACAGAGTGCAATGCCATCTACGAGGGTCGCTACCTTCTCGGTACGCTTTGAATCGAGGTCACTTTTCAAACTCCACACAGGTCGATTGACAAGATGTAGGAACCAGTCTGGCTCGTCCGGTGATCGCCCGGGCCCAGATGCGTGCTGCCCAGCGCGAAAACTGCCAGTATGTCAGCCACGGCGCCACTGGCAAGGGTAACGACCAGGTCCGCTTCGAGCTGGCCTTCTATGCCATCCAGCCTTCCATCAAGATCATTGCCCCCTGGCGTGATCCCAAGTTCTTCAATCGTTTCGCTGGCCGCAACGATCTCCTTGACTACGCTGCCCAGACGGGCATTCCTGTCACTTCCACCAAGGTAAACACCGAATTTTACACTCTAAAGAAAAAGGATCTCCGCTAATTTCAACCAGGCTAAACCTTGGTCGATGGGTACGTAACGGATTGGCAACTTGGGCGACCAATTCCGGTTTTCAATGCTAACCTTCTTCAGACTCCAACTCTGCGCACTGCAGTTACGAGGCTGGTAAGTCATTTAAGCTCAGAGCGTTCATAATATCGGAACATCGTTGACAGAATTTGAATTCAGGCGTCCTGGAGGACCCCAACCACACCCCCCCGGCCGACATGTGGACCATGACTGCCGACCCCATGACCGCTCCCAATGAGCCTACCGATATCACCATTCACTTCCAGCAGGGTGTCCCCACCAAGGTTGTTACCCCTGGCCAGGAGTTCACCAACCCCGTTGAGCTGTTCAATGCGCTCAACAAAATCGGCTTCAACCACGGTATTGGCCGTATTGACATCGTTGAGAACCGCTTCATCGGTCTCAAGAGCCGTGGCTGCTACGACTGTAAGGAACTTTGCCTTAGTCTTTTCCCCCCAAGGATACTGATTTTTTCTTAGCTCCTGCCATGACCATTCTTCGTTCTGCCCATCTTGACCTTGAGGGTAGGTTATCTCCTCCTATTGACCATGCGCAGCAAACTAAAAGATGTCAGGTCTCGTGCTGGACGGCCAGGTCCGCAGTCTCCGTGACCAGTTCGTGACCCACAACTGGTCCACCCTCCTGTACAACGGCTAGTAAGTGGGAAAGACATCAGCACAGTAGATCGGATCGTCATTCATGCTAACCTCCATCCAGCTACTTCAGCCCTGAGCGGGAGTTCCTTGAGAACAGTCTCACTTTCAGTCAGAAGGTAAGCGCAATACGCATCTATCCTATCATTTTCATAAAGTCCATACTAACTGGAATCACAGCGGGTGAACGGTGAGGTCCGTGTGCGCTGCTACAAGGGCAACGCCTACATTCTCGGCCGCTCTAGCAGCACCGAGAAGCTGTACGATGCCGAGGAGGCGTCCATGGACTCGCTCCAGGACTTTGCCCCGACCGACACCACCGGCTTCATTGCCATCTCGTCGATCCGGTATGTTCTAATCATTCGTCAGAATTCATCGCGTCTTTTGCTGACAAGTATCTACCACCAGCTTGAAGAAGTACGGTCTCCAGAAGGCCGAGGAGGGCGAGAGTCTCAGCCGGGCATAAATAAGATAAAGCGGTCCATGAGGAGGCTTGAATCCGCTGTCCAAGATATACCATGTAAAAAATGCCATCAATGCTGAATGAATTATATATGATGCCCTCTGCTTTGTAGTTAATCAGGGAATGGCAAAGTTGCGGCCTTAGGCACACAGCCCTGACCCACCTGGAGCTGCCTGGTGTCAACCTTCAAGCTGCCACTGTCATTCCAAGCCTCTTGACCCTTAATTTCCTCTCTGCACACGGTACTTCCATCTGGATGTGGATCGTTTGATAATCTTCCGGTCTTGGCGTCTGATTTCTCACAATGAGTTGTCCAATAAGAGTCTCGTCGGTGTGTTGAAATTTGCTTGCAGAGCCACAGTCAAAAGCAGCCTTGTCGAAACCGGTACTATAATTACCATTCCCATCGCTGGACCCTGACGGTGATAATCCCTGCTCCTCTGCTCTCAAACTTGATCTAACCGCTGCTTTCTGCTTTCCATCCAGCGCACAGCCTTGCCCTCGTATCATTCCATCGACCCACTGCGCTAGGAATCCTGGCAGCTTCTCTTCGCTCCACCACGGCTCTCTCAAGGGAAGTATCGGCAATAGGATTCAAGGGGATCAGCTCTGACAATCGGAGGGAGGATCTTCATACAAATCAATATATTCGGTGTCGCTGTCTCGCTGGACGCCCTCGATGGGTGTCAGCAACTCAAGCGACCCAACTGACCCGGGAGAGGGGGAACCCCGTCCTACCTACAGCCACCGCAGGTTCACCTCGTGTTTTAGAGCAATAAGCATGGTCGATTAGCCCTCTGGCAATTTATCGGCTACTTGGCAGTCAGCACTAGACAAGCCGCTCGACATGAGATTGGCCACCTTGTGGCAGATGAACCAGTTGCATTTCGGCCCCATATGCGGCTGCACCGGGGGAACGAGGCTCCGTACGATAATAGTAATAATGATGGTCATCGATGAGGCGGGGGCGGTGGAAAAGACAGGGCTTGTATCCGGCTTAGTCTGACTTGCTCATTATTATTTTATTGGGACATCCTCTCTCTCGCCGTTGTGTTGGAGATTGCACGAACGATCCTATCAGTTTGCAACGATGACCACCACAGCAGCCGATTCCCAGATAACAGCGGCCGTCGAGGTCAATGTTCTCGACGTCTTTTGGGGAGGGGTATGGGACATGGACTATGTTTATGGCAGCCTCGTCCAGGTCGACACGCAGGTCAACGAGACGACGATTGGCATCTCCTGCCGGCCGTCCCTGGCGGCGAACTGCACCAACTCCTATTACCTGCTGCCAGTCACCATCACCAATGGCCCGTCGACGTTTGCGTTTAACTTGCAGTCGAGCACCGTTGTCAAGGACACCCTCACCGACATTGTGACCATCTGGGAGACGTGCGAGATCTCCTCGACCACCTCGGCCAACTGCTGGGGCACTGAAAGCATAGTCTACGACCCCGTCACTACTGCTACCAGCACGTCCGACTACACGGAGAATCTGCGAACATCACTCAGCGGCTCGGAGGTGGTCTTTGCGACGCTGACTGTCACCGGCGGTCTCGACAAGCTCCCTACAGCGACCGCTACAACCACGTCGGCAGGCGGTAGCAGCAGCGGCACAGCCGTGGACACCGGCTCTGCATCGTCATCCTCCACCGCATCCTCCTCATCCTCATCCTCCTCTTCCTCATCATCGTCTAAAGCTTGGATTGCTGGCCCCGTCATCGGCGGCCTGGTAGCCTGCGCCGCGATCATCGGTCTGATCTTCTGGTTCCGCCGCCGACACCGCAACCACACCTCCGTTCCGACGGGTGATAATGTGGATTTCCCACCAGAGGCTGCCCATGCCGGTGGGGCGGTTCCCACTGAATACTATGATAAAGATAAATCGTATGCCCAGGCCGAGCTGCCGGCCTTTGCTCCATCGTCGATACCTGTGGTAGAGTTGCCGGCGAACCAACCCTCGGCGACGCACGAGCTGCCATGAACATGCTTTCCTGTACACTTTGATACCCTTTTTTGCATTTCCAACTAGTTTTTTTAGTACAGTAATCATGGTTCTGGCATAGCGGTTCAGCATGCAGGTTGTTCTACGTCTTGTTTTTATTAATATATCCATTCAAAAATAATTTCTTCCATGAAGTATACTATGGACTATGATTCAGTCTGAGTGGAGACGAGATAGACTAAGCTTCAGCGACCTCGACGATATTGTCGTCAGCGTCGAGAGTGAGCTTCTTCTTCGCGATGGAGGCCTTGCGCGGATTGTCGGACTGGAAGATATGATCTAGTTCCTCGAGGGTGCGGCCCCTAGTCTCGACGAGGAAGAAGTAGACGACGGCAGCCTCGACCAGAACCCAGACGGCGAAAACAATGTAGAGCTTCCAACCGATGCGCTCGATGGCGACGGGCATGGCGAACATGTTGACGAGGGAGGCGGCGTTGACGACGAGACTGGAGAAGGCCATTCCCTTTGCGCGCTGCTCATAGCTGAGCACCTCGACGGGATACAGGGCTTGCAAGGGGGTGATGCCGAAGGAGTAGGTGGCTCCAAAAAGATTGACGAAGAGGATGGCGGCGTCGCCGGCGGCCTTGCTCCCCGTATGATGGAAGATGGCGGCGGAGATGGTGATCATGACCCACCAGAAGGAGATGCCGAGAAGCACGCTGAAGAACAAGGTACGTCGACCGATGCGTTCGACGTAGGACGCGCCCGCCATGGAGATGAACCAGCCGGAAAAGGAGGTGCCGAGATTGATGTTCAGGACGGTGAGGGCATTTGTGACGCCCGCGGTGGCCAGAAACGCGGGCATGAAGTAGCTGGTGAAGCCGTTACCGGACCACTGGCCCCAAACGGAGAGGATGAGATTACACATCAGCCGGTAGCGGGAGGCCCGGTCCTTGAACAAAGCCCTGTAATCCCACCAGCGCTTATCTGCGCCATCCAGCTTGAGACCCTCGCTATACTCTGCCAGCTGGAGATGCAGGTAAGCCGAGTCCTCGCGGTCCAGGCCGTGGTAACGCACGATGACGGCCCGGGCCGCCTCGGCGCGGTCGTTGCAGTACAGCCAGCGCGGGGACTCGGGAAGCCAAAACGCCAACACACACACCAGCCCGGGCATAAGCATCTGCACCCACGTGGGGATCAGCCAGGCGGTATTTCCCGCGTGGTTTTCGCCGCCGCGCAGGGCCCCCGCCGCCGCAATGCTCCCCACATTATAGATGGTGTTGTACAGGCCCGTCATGACCCCGCGGTACGCAGGGTGGGAGATCTCCACGACATAAATCGGGGCCGCGGAGGCGGCAATGCTGTTTCCGAACCCGAGGAAGAACCGCCCCGCTAGGAACTGCGCAAGCTTGCCTGAAATGTTACTTGTTCCCTCGATGATCGTCCCCAGTATCACAAACCCACACCCGATACACATCCCCGCGCGTCGGCCCCAGGTGTCGCTCGCGGGTCCGACAAAGGGTAACGCACACACGCCGCCAATCGTGTACATCGCGCTGATGTACCCGGCTTTGATCCCCACGATGGACGCGCCGAACTCGCTCTCAAACGTCGGCATGACTAGCATGTTGCTCATCAGGCTGCCGTCGTAGCCGTTGATGCTCGAGCAGAGGAACGCGACCGTCACGATGGCGTACAGTTGGAGCATTCGCTTGTGCCGTGGCTGAGGGGGTTCCTTCTCCATGGCGGCTTTGAGCATCTCGGACCCTTGCACGACGACCTCGTGGGCGTCGACCTTTTCCTCCATTTCCACGTGTTCCTCCATTTCCACCTCTTCGTGTTTGGACTGTTCGTTTTTGGACATTTTTGAATGACAATGAGAGATGGTTGAGATGGAGCTGGTGTATTGCAGGAATATATAGACCTTTTGCTCTTCCCGTTTTGGCACGGAGCAGCCTCCGCATTCCTGCCGTGATAAAGGGGTCTAGACTGAAGAGGGTTCCTCTGGGGAAGTTCCCCGCATTCCAATACCGGGGAAATACTCTAGCGCAGTACTAGAATTAGCCGGCTTTTGCCAGGCTTAAACTATATAGTATACTAGCTTCTTGGCAGGCTACTACAAGTATCAAGTATAAGTATAAGTATCATATACAGCTAACAGATCTATTTATGACTATTTACCTTGACTTATTACGAGAACGGGACTGGCCAGCAGTTAGTATCCCCGTCCATAGACGTTGCGGTAGCAATGGCGTAGTTCGGGGCAACTATAGAGTTAGCATGGCAATAGAACAATACAGAAAGGAGAAACGTACTGCACCGGGTCTTGCCCGAAGATGATGTGCCATGAATACTCCAAGATACGGGTGCTGGTGGCGTCTGGGAGGGGCGTCTCGAGCAGCCAGTTGTAGAAGCGTTCGTAGTCGGAGTACGGGCGACGGAGGACCTGGGCGCGCGAGACGGCGAACTGCGAGCAACAGGGGACGGCGACGAGGCTGGGGACGTCTGTGTTGTTGAACAGCTGCTCCCAGGCGGCGGCGTAGGCGTTCTCGGTGTCCTTGCCCGGGTCGGGCGGGTTACGGAAGGGCTGGATCTCGGCGGGACAGCCGGGGGTCAGGGTGCAGCGGAGGTTGGCGTAGCCGACCTTCTGCACGTAGTCGAGCTGCAGGTTCTTGATGTTGTGCACGTTGTCCAGATCGCGCTTGTACAGGCGCGAGGAGGAGGAGGAGGTGGAATAGTAGCCCTTTTGACCTACTCGCCAGACCTGCGGTTGACCATTGCGGTCGCTCTGCAGGAAGATCATCGTCTGGGGGAGGTTGTGGTAGTGGTCAATGATGTATTGGAGATATGCTAGGCTCTCGAGGCCTTTGCTGGAGGGGGTGTGGAGGGGGGCGGTTTTGTCGTCTAGCGTATATACCACACTCCGCCATCTAAATCGTTAGCACTTAACAAAAAAAAAAAAAAAAAACTTGACAACCTAGACAGTAAAATGAGGCATACTCGTTCAATTCACTCGTCACCCAATCGGTGTTCTGATTCTTGAACTTGCCGACGACAATGGTGCGGTCGTTCGGAGTGGAGATGGGCACGGTAGCGTAGGGCCCATCCTGTTGCTGGTCGCGGAGGAGAGAGTCGACCTCGTCCGGCTTGTTCTGCTCGGACAGATCGATCTCATCGCCGACGTAGTGCACTTGATCCTCGCTGGGGGCGGCGGGGGCCACGGCATTGGCATCGCCAAAGGGCCAGTAGCTGAGATGCGGTCGGGGCGAGGGATGGCGAGCCTCAGGCGGCGGGGGCGGGTGGGCGGTTGCTGGCAGGGCGCGCAGGAAGAGGAAGAAGGCCGTGACGAGCAGCAGAGCAAGGCCGACGCGGACGGCGGGTCTCATTGTTACATCTGCCTGCAGACTATGATGAGGGGGAGAGGAAGGAAATTGAAGAGGTAGAAGGTGAAAAGAGGAGGAGAGAGGTGAAAAGAGAAGAGGAGAAGAAGAGAGAGACGGCGCAAAGTCGGACAGACAGCGGGCGAGATCACGTGACCCGATGACGAGCACTGCCTATTGGGGAGGACGCGTCAGCAAACTATATTATGATGCATACCACATAATAGTATAATCTATATCATATAATATATCATATACAATAGATGTAAATCATATAATATATCATATATACCACATAATAGTATAATCTATACCATATAATATATATACAATAGATGTAATATCATATCCTTCAGGAATAAGGTAAGATAAGAATGCTTAGCGTCGACTTAAAATAGCATACTTAAAGTACAGAGTAGAGTAGGATTCTAGTTAGTTATCTAAGGTAGTATCACTCTGTCCTCCAAAATAACTCTATCAAATCGTCTCCTCCTCGCCTCTCAAAGCCCACCCTCTCCAGCACCCTCAGACTGGCCACATTCCCCCTGTCCACCTGGGCAATAACGCCCGCCCGGTATATCACCGGCTGCGTAAGAAAATACGCCAGAAACGCCTGCACCGCCTCGGTGGCGTATCCCTGGCCCCATTCGTCCGACCGAAACAGATATCCCAGTTCCCATTCTTCTTCCTTTCCAGCTGTCTTTTCTTCTTTTTCAGCTTCCCTTCGCAGTCCGATCGTGCCGATCAATTTATCTGTCCGGATCACCGCGTATCCGAAACATGTCTCATTGTTGAAGCGGGTGAGCCATGCTGCGGTTTGTGCCTCGGTGGAATCGGGGTTCGATACACTTTAGTATTAGATTAGTATAGTATATAGTATATATAGTATATCGTATATATAGTATACTATGGTGCTATTATAGATACCTCCACTTCATAACGCATGGATCAGAGCGGATGCTAAAAACTGCCGCCGCGTCCGAGGGGGAATGCGGGCGCAGGGATAGTCGGGGGGTGAGAAGCTGCATGAATTAGAATAATATAGATAATAATAATAATGAAAAAGAAAGAAAAAGAAGAAAAAGAAAGAAGAAAAAGAAAGAAGAAAAAGAAGAAAAAGAAATGATTGTAGGATACTCATGATGAGTCATATCTGGTACTATCAACTCTATCTATCTAGAACTAGTACCTAGAGTATACCTAGGTAGTACTCGTACTCTGTAGGCTCGTACTTTGTAGGCTCGTACTTTGTACGAGTATGTACTCGGACTGACGACTATAAAGCCAGTTGAAATCTCTTACTAGTACGAATGCGCCTGCCGTACTTCCAGAAAAACAAGGGCACGGCACACATCACCAACGAGATGAACGCCAGGATGGAATTCCCCCATCCCACGCCCAAAGCGTCGTACATGGCCGGACCGGCCAGGGGAAGCACGGCGCCAAGTAAAGAACGGAGCGCGGTATTCGCAGCGGTGACACTTGCCGCGTACCGCAGATAGGAATCCACAAGATAGGTATTGGCCGGGATAAAGACGCACATCATGCCGATACCAAACACCGCGGTGCCCAGGATAGGAACGATCCAGTGCGTGTCCGCCTGGACAGCCCAGCCGTACCAGAATAGGCCGATGGGGATGAACCAGCAGCCGAAGATCATGGGCGGGAGCCGCGACTCGGGGGTGAAACAGCCCTTGGCCGAGTGGTCGCGGGCGATGCGGTTCGCGATCCGCCCCACGACAACCAGACTGAGCATACACCCGAGGCCGAAACCGAGGTAGGACAGCCCCGCTAGACCCTGGGAGAAGCCGTAGTTGGTTTCGAAGACGGTCGTCAGCGTGGTGAAGACCAGGTACATGTATCCATAGGTGAGGGCGGCGTAGAGCGACATGAGGATGACGATGGGGGAGCGGAAGAGCAGCTTGACGGGACGGGTCAAGGCAAGGAAAAACACATGTTTGGCCGACCGGTCGGAATCGTGTTCGCTGCGTAGTGACGCATCGCCTGTTTCTCGGCGGAGACGGGCGGCTTTGGCTTGGAGAAGCAGGGGGGCGTACGTTTCATTATAAACGAAGAGACTGACCACCACCAATACTCCTGTCTAAAAAGTTAGAAACAATTACCTAGAAGAGGAGAGAAGAGGGAAGTACTGCAATGGCAATCACCCAAAACACCCATCGCCATCCCTCTCGTTCGGCCAGAAACCCCCCCGCGACCGGCCCAACCACAGGACCCAGTAAGGGTCCCATCGCCCAGATGGACATGACGCCCGCGCGTTTCTCCTTGGGAACCATGTCGGCGACAGTCCCTGAACCGATGGTCAACGGACACACGCCCGCCATGCCTGCCAGGAAGCGAAAGGCGAACAGCTGGCCCAGCGAGCGCGACAGGGCACACGCAACCGTCAGCACCAGGAACAGCACGTTGCACACATGGTACAGGATGCGACGGCCGTACAGCTCACTCAGCGGGGCGATGGCAAAGGGACCGACCATGTACCCGAGCAGGAAGATGGAGACGACAAAGGAGCCCAGCAGAGTTGATGTGCAGTGGAATTCGGCCAATACGTCTGCCACGCCGGGCGCGAACATGGAAGAGGCGAGGGGACTTTATTCGTGACCTGTATTAGCACTGTCTTTAAGGCATTAAGGCATATATTTGAGGCATTGTATGCCTTGAATATAAGGCATTAAGGCATTAAGGTATATTACTTACGTAAGAAACGTGTTAATCGACATGACCACCAATTGGCGGCCCTTTTTCGCTCTGGACCAGTTGAAGGGATTCTCCGGATCGTCAGGCCCATCCCAGCCGACTATTTGGGGCTGCACGGCCAGTTCGACGTCGGGGGTTTTGGTCTCCATGCAGAGTAGAGTAGAGTCCAGAACAGAGTTCTTTGGTAGATTAATAGGAAAAGGGAAAAGGATGGCCTTGACTTTTATCCTTGACGACCCACTGCTGATGCTGATGCCTGCCGATGCCGAGTGCCGAAGATCACAGATACTATGTTGGATATTATATAGTATTATGTGGTATGTTATGTAGTATACGGAGTATGCTATCTAGCAATTAGACATGCTATTAATGATTATGTATATTGTGAAATCTCGTACTCGGATTGAAGTGAGACTGACTTTGTTATACTGTGACTGTGCAGCGTTATGAATGCATAATAAATAGTATTACTGTAGATCAGTTCATGCTTCTAAACAAACCATTCATAATAATAAGAACATGTACGGTTGATTTTACCCTCCTTGTAATCCTCGGCCTGAATAGTCAGTTCCTAATCTTCAAGTTCTATATAATTCTTAGGGTAATCTTACCAACGCTGTCATGAAATACTCCATCATTTCCACCTCTTCCTTCACCCACTTCTCTCTCTTCGCGCTTAGAGGTCCTTCAGGGAACGTTTGCGCGGCATCAAAGTCAATCCAGAGGACCCTCTCTGGATCGCTGCAGACCATCATATTCCTGGGTTTAGGATCACCATGGAGAACGCGTGCCTGATGGAATTCATCCAGGATTTCCCGCAGTTTGACGAGTCGCTCTGTAGAAAAGGTTGTCAGGTCCATCTGCTGCATGTTTGGAATATACTCGATGAGAACAGCATTCGGCGGCAACTCGTCCTCGTGAAATTTGTCCAAGGTTGGCCACAGTTTGGGCTGTATTTTAGTAATTGTTCCATAGAAGTCAGGGATGACTCCTCGCTGGCAAAGACCCTTTTCTTTCAGTCGCTGGTACGCAGTCGATTCTTTGGTAAAGAGGTCGACTTCACGGTCAGGAGAAGCGAATTCACAGGGGCCTCTATCACGATACTTGGAGTTTAATACTCTTGTAAGTAGAGAAAAGTCATTGAAGCCAACTCACCACCTTCATCACACAGAGTCTTCCACGGACCTCGACTTTGAAGACAACAGAATGCGCGGATTCTTTGAGTTTTTCGACAAATTTCACATCATGTCTCACCGGGGTTTCTTCAGAGAAAAAGTCGTCAAAAAGATGTTCAGCCATTACTGATAGATACTTGTAAAGTGATGATATGAGTTATCGAGTGGAAGATCTCGTACTCGGATAATAATTGATAAATACCACTAAAGATCATCAATGCAGAATTAGGATGTACAGAATATTTATTAGTTATGTAATATTCTAATATTCTAATACTCTAATACTCTAGTATTCTAGTATTCATTTCTAGCATTCTAATTTTCAATATTGATCTGCTCTTCATCGGTGTCGATTTCGCCCCCAATGACTTCATCTTATCTCAGAACTTCCCTCTATCAACATCACTACCTCTACCTCTATCATCTGAACTCTTGACACTACCAGCTACTCTCATGCCCCTCGTTCAGCAACTCCCCTCCCCGGCCATAAAGGCCACGAGGCCATCCTGTACTCCTCCTATCTCGACGACATCCCCTACGCTGATGAGCAAGACATCGCGCAGTTCACCGTCGAGCAGATGGAATCGCTCATGGACGCAACCAAGGGACTCACAGGCTACGACTATGACCATGACTGATTTCTTACGGGTGTCAGTGTCTAGACAGGCTTTGTTTCCTTCGATGAAATGGGGGATATGGTTTGGTGCAAGCCATGCAATGGGGCATCGGTTGGTAAGTAACACAGTCAAAGTCAATAGTCAACGCTTTATACTGATAAAGTCAGGGGAGCGTCGCTGGAGTTCAACACGGCAAGTAGCAATCATAATTCGTTAATATACATTAATAATATCCAGGAATAACAACCTGTATCCTCCTCCTCCATGTCCTTTGATACACCGAACCTAACACACGAGAAAGCCAGGTCTACGTCCACGTCCTCTCCATCTTCAACGATGACACTGGGTTGGCACGAAACATCCGCTGCAGACGCCGTCGCCCGCTTCGTCCGATTCCTGGGTCTTCCCTCTCGTCTGGCAGATGTCGGGTAATAGAGGAAGCACACCACACACTCAGCGACGTTGTGGCGGGTAAGACCGAATTGCCTGATCTGGCGGGGTTGATGGAGATCCTCCATGCGGCAATGTAAGGCTGCGGCCTATGGTTTATGGTTTGATATGGCTTGCTTGGCCTGTTTCTTCGTCGAAGATATGGAATCCATAATCCGCTGCGTTGGGGGGGGTATACACTATAACTTGGTAAGACATTGGGACAATCGTCAGAAGCTTGGGAAAGAAAAACTTACAATGCAATGAAACAGCAACCTCCTGTCCATTATTCCACATCCGATGTAACCCGATATCATCCGAGATATACGCCGTCTCATTCACCCGCCTCACCGACTCCTGTTTGATCTGCAGCGGGCCCTTGCTCTCTCCCGCCTCAGGAGCCTGGAAGACCGTTTCCGTAAGTTGACCAGAAAGGATCTTCATGATACAATGTGCGTTGGCGTGGTCGTGCACGGGCGACCCTTTCGAAGGGTTCCAGACGAGAAGTAACTAGACGGATTAGTTTAGAATATGTGCTCTTCTTCAACTTCTTCATTGGAGTCGTACTAGGTTTGCTCTTCCGTTGATATTCGCGATCGAGTTGCGCGTATACCCCCTCGACAGATCGTTGTGGAAGTACCGCATCCATTCTGTGGCATCGGAGCTGTATCTGTTCATCAGGGAGATCAGGTGGGCGGGGTCTTCTTCGATGCCATCGTTGCCGAGATGGGCTTTGATGTCCTGCACCAGTTGGTGGAAGGAATATGTGGTAGTAGGCGAGGTAGGAAGGGTAGGAAGGGTAGGAAGGGTAGAAAGGGTAGAAGTGGGTAGTAGGACAGAAGTCATTGCGGTGGTAGTGGTAGTAGTAGTATTCTTGGTAGTAGTATTCTTGTTTTGTTATTTGATTATTGGTATTCAGTTCAAGGATGTATCTGTTTATATGTTCTATTCAAACTCCGATGTCCGATGTCCGATCATTCGGCGATGGACAGGACTGATAAGAATGGATCATTAAGGAGTACTCCGTACCTGTCTTTGTTATCGATAAATTTATGATCCAATATTGACGCCAAGTGAATAGTTTAGTTACCTATCTGGCAGTAGATACTCTCCTAGTAGTTAACTATAGTATGTAGTATGTACTCCGTACATATCCTACCTAGTAACTATTCTATAGGTCACCCAGTACACCCTCCGAGTACTAATACCTACTACCTATGTATACAGTCAATGCTGATACTTTACTTATTGCTATATTGTAGCTTATTATGATCACTATACCCTGGTACTATACTATCATACTATTTACTATATACTATAGCGGTGTGAAGTCTATCGCCGATTGACAATGGTTGGTTCCAGGATCGGATCGTAGCTTATTCGCCATTGCTGAGCAAAATTGCTTATCATTGGTGTCGATGGCGTGTCGGCGGATTACGTACTCTTATGGGTCAATGAACAGAGTACTCCATGGCTTATAGCTTCGCTATGGATATGGTCTAGATTCAATCTGATGTACTCTGATATTCAATGATCTTCATTATCATCAAGACAAGAAAAGACATCGATATTGATAGGAATGACCCAAATACTCGATTACGCAATGTTGTACGAGTGTCTGTTGCCGATGACTAAGACCGGTATCCAATCTAACCCAGTTAGTCAACCATCACGTGTCTCTCTCCCTTGCACCTCCCCCAAGTTCCGTCGGCGATTGAAGATAGTCGCTAAATCCACCTTCTGCCTCCAGGACTCACAGATGACGACGAGGAATAATAACAAACGGCCCTCGGCGCCTCTTGCCTGCACCGAGTGTCGCAAGCAGCATCTCAAGTGCGACGCTGCCCGTCCGGCGTGTTCTCGCTGCCGCAAGACCGCGCTGCCCTGCCATTACCTGCCCTCGCGTCGGGGAGGCTGTCGACGACGCCAGAGCCAGCCGGCAGCGTCGATATCGGGCGTTGGTGCATCCGTCTCATCGCGAGTTCCATCGGGGACATCATCCTCGCTCGTCTACGACACTCCTCTCGCCATTCCGGGCCAGTTCGGAGCCTCCGGAACGCTCCCCCCAACGCCCGTCACGACCACGACGGCCTCCACCGGGGTTTGGCCTGGCGTCGTCGGGGATGACGCTGGTCACAACAGCCACAACGATAACAGCCGTCGCGGGCATGACGACGCAGAGGATAGGATCGACGACCGGCTGGTCCGGTTGTTCTATGAGAATTTCCATGGCGCCCATCCAATCCTGGTGCCCAGCAGTCTATTTGCAGGGCGCAGATACCCGCATTTCCTGCACCTCGTCGTCGCCTTTATCGGCTCGCATTATGCGCCCCCCGGCCCAAGCCAGCAGCTGCTGGGTGAGCGAGTCGCCACCGAGCTGGCCGCCAGTCCTGACCGCTCGCCGGCCATGGTCCAGGCGCAGCTGATGTATGCCATCGCGCTGTATGCTCGAGGCCATTCCGGAGACGCCCAGGCCGCGCTGGGTCGCAGCGTTGCCATCGCCCTCGAGCTGGGCATGTATCGGCGGGACTTTGCCCCCGGTCGCGACATCGAGGCCGAGAGCATGCGTCGCACCTGGTGGGAGCTGTACATTGCCGACGTCCTCATGGCGGTCCTGCACGAGAAGAGTATATTCCAGTGCAGCAGCGTGCCGTACGATGTCGCCCTGCCGTGTGAAGAGGCCGTGTATGCCGGAGCCGGCAGCAGCAGCAGCAGCAGCAGCAGCAGCAGCAACCACATTATCCCCGAGCCACCAACCTTGCTGGACTTCAAACAGCGGGTGTTTGCCGCCGATGAGCTCGCGTTCTCTTCCTTTAGCTATCGTATTGACGCCACGCGGATCCTGAGTCGCGTGCTGGCCCTCAACCGCCTGCAGGAGTGCCACCGCGACCACCTGCAGGCCGTCGAGAACGCCTTGGTCAGTTGGATCAATCACATCCCCGCCAAAAAGGTCGACATCGTCGACGCCTACGGTAACGTCGACGAGATGATCTTCCAGGCCCACCTGACCGTCAACTACGCCGCCATGTTGCTGCATCTACCGCGCAGCCACCTGCAGCCCGTCCTGCCCGAGGCTGCCGCCGTGACCACCGCCGCCGCGGGAACCGCCTCTTTGTTCGCCCCCTGGATGCCGGCCCACCGGCCTCCATCCTTCACCCGTCTCGTCCACAGCATCAAGGCCACCGAGGCCTCCAAACAGCTCTCGGACTTTGTCTCCGTCTGCCCCTCTGTCCACCGGCACTCGCCCTTCCTGGTCTCCGCCCTCGTTCTCTGCAGCGTCGTCCAACTGGCCACCTCGCTCAGCCACGGCGACGACTGCTTCGATCACCATTGCAACCGCGTCATCCTCGTCCTCGGCTGTCTCAAGAATCTTCGTCGCACCTGGGCCGTCGCAGACCCGGCCTACCATCACGTCCGCACCGCCGCAGCCTCCATCCTCGCTAACCCCATGCGCAAGCTCTCCCCTGACCAGCTTCCTTCTTCTACTACTACTACTACTACTACTACTACTACTACTCCTGCTGCTGCAGATTCTTCTTCTACAGCCTCCGCCACGGCCACTGCTGACCATGGTTTTGGCGATCATCATTCGCTCGCCGTGCTGGGCCCCTCTGCGCGAGACCTGGCTTCCTGTCATGAACTGACGCCCGCGTTCATCGATCCAACCTGTAGCAGCACGTATTTCTTCAACACCATCCCAGACTTTGATCTTACCTAGTTCTGGCCCGGCCATAATATTGTCACTTTGTCGTCGACTGCGATTGACGGCCCGAATAAATCTAGCAATTCATTGCAGAGTTCAATATCCCGGTATTAGTGCGGCTTAGCAGTTCTGCCAAATCTTCGACTGATTCATATCAGTGAATCGTTCCCGATCAAACAGATAGGCATGCGCCATAGATCGGCCTGCACTTCTATCACACGATCTGAGTCCGTGGGACCATTTCTTTCTACGGCGAGTGTGACTGTTTCTGCTCATCCGGAGCCAGAATCTCATCAATCTCAAGCTCTACTTATTCCCTTACAGAGGCCAAAGAGTCAGGCGGGTATCCAGTGAACATTGATGGAAGATACTGAACTCGGTCGTCTACAATGTCTCGTATCAATCAGGCTCTAACTATCCGATAGGAGATAGAGAGTACAGAGTACCTCGGTTAGTTGTATTAAGTAATATAACCCCTCATTCGCTTCGAACACCTGGATCAATGAAAAACAGTGAAGATAAGTAGTGAAGATCAAAATGCTGGACATTACCTGCTCCGGGACTCCATACGAAGTAAGTCTCCCGCGAAAAGGTGATAGACATAGACCCCCAACTAAAACTACAGATCGGCTTCACGCATGGCTCCCAAGCGAAGAAGGAAGTGCACGGCAGCATCGCCTTCTACACGACGCTGTTCCGATCTTCCGCACGATTATCATGGGCAGAAGCGCGCGAAAAGGCATCTCTCTTCGCAGAAGGCTTGCAAACAACCGAACCACGTTACTACGAGGAGATGTGCGGGATAGCAGCCGGCGCAGAGATCCCCGTCCTGGACGTCGTGGCGCTGAACGTACGCAGCGAAATCACCTTTGGTCTCTTCGTGCAGGACGCAGCCGCCGCCCCGGAGTCAGACGGATGCACCTCCCTCTCGTTGCAGACAGCGACGACCTCCCTGATCGGCCAGAACTGGGACTGGCGACAAGACCAAGCGCCCAACCTGATCGTCTGTCGGATCTCGCAGCCTGGAAGCGGGATCCCTGACTTTGCAATGATCACCGAGGCAGGCATCATCGGCAAGATCGGGGTCAACGCTTTGGGCGTGGGATGCTGCTTTAACGCCATCCGCGCCAGGGGGATGGATCCCACACGCCTACCCATTCACTTGGCCCTGCGCGTGGTTCTCGAGTCCCCCTCGCGCCTCGAAGCAGTAGCAAGGCTGAAACAGCGTGGTGTCGCTGCGAGCGCGCACCTGCTCATCGGCGACGAGACCGGGGCCGTCGGGCTGGAATGCTCGCATCGGGGGTTCCAGGAGCTCCATCCTGACTCCCTGGGACGTATCTGCCATGCGAACCATTATCTGGCGCATCATCCGGGAGTCGAGGAGCCGCCCTGGTTGGCTGATTCGTCGGTGCGCACGCTGCGGATGCGTCATCTTGCTGGCCCCGAGGTCATCCAGGATGCTACCTTTGCTTCTGTCCGTGGATTGTTCGTCGATGAGATGAACGCGCCGGCGGCAATCAATCGTCAACAGGAGGGGGGGAGTACCTTTGCTACCCTTTTCAATGCTATCTTTGATCTGAAGGGGAGGAGGGGAGTCATCAAGATGGGGAGGCCGACGGGAGATGGAGAGGAGGTTTTCTTGGCTTTCAATTAACAACTATCTAGACTATCTGACTATAAGGTATAACTAACTATAACTGACTATAACTATAAGGTATAACTAACTAGTATCCATTGAATCCATTTTGATTGAATCCATTTCGATTGAATCCATTCCGAAAGAATCCATTCCCATTGGATCCATTCCCATTGAATCTGTTCCCATTGAATCTGTTCCCATTTAATCCATTCCCATCCATCCCATCTATTCCACCCATCCCATCCATCCCATCCATTCCACCCATTCCACCCATTCCACCCATTCCACCCATTCCACCCATTCCACCCATTCCACCCATTCCACCCATCCCATCCATCCCATCCAGAGACTGATTTCCAAATGTGATACGATCCGCAAGACCCTGTGGACGTGTGATCCGGCTAGAAAGGGTGGATCCTTTAGGTTGAGGCTCAATCAGACTCCCTGAAGGATTCCCCAGAGGAAACGCATTGTGAAAGCGTTGATTGAAATCGTCGATGGCCTGCTGATCCCCAGTGGCATACGCCGCGGATTTTGAGTGGTATCTAGACGGAACAAAATTCATGCCGTCGTGACCTAGACTCCTGTCGTGGGTGAGGATATGATGAATATCAGGCTGTCCCTGCACCGCGACAACACGCTTCGCCCCAGGAGCCACGCCCGTGCCGTCGACTCTTCCTGGGATGATGGGCGTTTCGCGCAGAGGCATGTTGGATGGAAACGGGGCAGGGGTTGGATGGTGATGAGGTTTGGGATATCCCCTTCCTCTTCCGTTGGGGAGGGTATCGGCATGTCTGGCCACCTTGCTGGAATGTGTTTTTGTCATATAGCGGCCTGGATCATCATCGGGACATTGTTGGGACCACTAGGATCTGTTAGATTGATATATAGTTGTAACTATAGTTGTTTTATGATATCACATACATACGACTCGGTGTCGTCAGCAATATTTCGACGAGATTTTCTCCCCATGGTGATTGATGATGGATAATGGTTATTGATAATAAAGATCAGTCCGGAAAGACCGCTCTATATATGCTGACATCTCTCAGCCTCGTTTCAAATACGACATCTGTCAGCCTCATATGCCTCATCTTAATGATTGGCTATAATTGGATCGACAGGTATACAGCGCTAAACTGAGGGGTAAGATGTTACAGCCTTCCTTTCCTAGTCATGGTATTAGTACATTCCTATTCATACTGTTGTAAAAATAGCTTCCAGTTATTCTTCATGGACCTACAGTTCGATTCCATCCTCAACAACCCCAAACTAGGGGATCTGGATCTCAAGATCTTCTCCCTTCTCAGCGACTTATTAACCGCCAAGCTTGACCCCTCCACAGCCGCACAGCAGATCAACCGTCTGTTCCCTCGCCCTGATGGAATCCTTCCAGCGACCTATCTCGAAGACGTCGACGAGTTTCTATGGATCTTCTGGGGGATGGTGATTGAGATCATCCAGCTGGTTCCCTACCAGCACAGGGCTCAAGAGTATATGCTCTCCATGCTGCAATCCTTGAGCGGGATATCCCAAGCTACCGTCAAAATATGGAGTGTACGTAACCCTAGTATAACCCTGAAACCAAAAATAAAACCCTAACCCTGACCCTAATTCTTAGGTGGAAAGCAAGGTCTGGCAGGAACTTCCTCTGCTGGGCTCATACCTCCGAGACAACTGGATCTGTAAGTCAATAACAATCACAAGGATAGAAGAAAAACTTACGTGGTCATTAGCACCGACCTATCAAGGAAAAGTACCCGAAGCTCAAGACGCCGAGAAATGGAAGAGCTTGAATTCCTTTGCAGCCAGGATGCTAGGCAAACGTCTTGGCTCCTGGTGGAACTTTGCCATGTGGGAGCTCCAGGCGGCACTGGAAGAAGAATATAAAGACCAAGCCATTGCTGACTGCAACGTGACTGTGGCCTGTGAATGGATCGTCCATTCTGGAGATTACATTTTCGAACAGATCGGCAATGCAGATGGCCAGTCTGAGCAAGGTCCGCTCTATTCTGGTCCCCCGGGCCTGTGTCTGGAAAGATGGAACTTTTGGAAACGCCGGTTGAGAGAGATGAGCCAGTTGGTTTCAGGGCCTCTCAAGCATGAAGTACTCTCTGCGGCTGATAGAATGGATAAACTAGTTAATTAGTAAGGCATTCTTTGAGAAGCTCAGAGGCTATACTCCCTTTATACTGTAAGACCCGATAAGCTAATTTCATTGCTATGCTAGTAGACCGTTGCACTTGACCCGGATAAAGCATCAATAGCCTGCTCGATGGTAATTACATTTAGCGGCATCTTTGGAAAGACACCTTGCAGGATGCCGTCGTTGATGACATTGTTGTCGACTGTTGCGCCATCGCCGGGCTCAATAGTATTGTTGGCAATCACGTATCTGGTTCATAGGGTTAAGAGGTCAAGTTTATTCATCCCGGTAGATGATAAAAAGAGAATAGAGAATCCACCCACACTTGATAATTGAGGTCAAAAAGTCGCTGCGCCGTTGTGATAACGACTCCAGAGGTGCGTGCGAATACCAGACTAAACGGTCAGAGAAATGAATACCATACCGTTGGATCGGACCACTCACGATGACCACGGTGTCGATTCCCTGCGTCTGGAGAATCTCCTCGAGACCATTAGGAGTGCCGGCATAGTAGCGCGTCTTCTGCAGCATGAGACCCCGTATATGCAGAATGCGAATCCAGTTGTCTTGGAAGATGTAATTCCGTGTGATCAAAGGATGCATGCATCGAGCCAATAATTCGATATCTTTCCGTTCTGTCTGTTTTTTCTTTTTTCTCCGTGCCTCAGATTCGGCCAGATGGCCTGTAACGAGACACTGTTGAAGCCGAACAATGTCGTCAAGGTATACATTCCGTCAACTGAGACTTCGGCCAGGAAGGTTGAAGAGGCAATGAGTATTAAGCCCTGGCTGTGGCCGCGGTTTGATTGCTATTGAATCACTATCTGGAATCCCCCTGCGTGGTGCCCGGGGTATGCAGAGTCGGCTGCTGGACCATGAGTCGCGTAAGATCGTGCTTATCCAGTCACCTTCAAGCGCAGGTTGGCTTGGAGGCAAGCAGCAGTTTGGAGAAATCAAGTCCCCCGCAGGCTATCTCACGCATGAAGGCGGGTTTGTAGGTAAAGAGGGGCATCTGGTTGCATTTGAGCTGATACTATTAGCCGCGATCCCTTCGAATAAGAGCCTTGATCTTGGAGTCTATCTAGATACCTGCGTTGGTGGCAGAACTCGCATGACTTGAATGCTCTGCGGCATTTACAGCTCTAGCTTTCATCAGACAGAACCCTTGCGAGGCTGCTGTGGAGGAGATAAAAGGAGGAAGAGAGAGAGAGAGAGAGAGAGAGAAGTCCAAGGTGGAGGAGGGAGCCCGTCACGGGACCGGATCACGGGGTCTAGGGGACACTATAGGAAAGTATAGTATAGTAGGGTATGATATGTAAGTTTATATTGTCATTTAGGACTTCTAATGGTTATATTTTGCTGTGGAAGCTATATAGGCTAACGTTTTTGTTACTATTAATTGTTTCACTCTTCCGGCTCCTTCACCATCATCGTCAACTTGGTTACTCCCTTCCCCCCATACGGTGACCAGTCCATGACCAATTCATCAACAACCGTCCACCCTCTCCGCAGGTAAAGGGGATATCCAGCCTCCGTTGCTTCCAGGTAAATGCGTACCCCGGCACGGTTTGCCCTTTCAATGCCCCATTCCAACATCTGCGATCCGAGACCACGTCGTTGATGTTGATTCGAGATCCCGATCAATTCAAGAACTGCCAATAGTAAGAATGGATTTTGGATGAGAAGTCAAAAGGAAGGTAAATGAATACCCATATCTCTCTCCACGTCAATAACCTTCCCCTTCTTCTCCTCCATCATCGCCTTGAGCGCATTCAGACCCTCCACGTTCATTCCGGGAGGTGCATGTCCAGCCATATCCTTGATGGAAGCCACCTCCTCACTTAACACAGGCATAGCACGAGGGTCTCTTTCATCTTCGCTTTGGCTTCTTCCCGCGAGAATCGAATATGTTCGTGAAGGGATCAACCACCGCGCGTATCCCACGATTTGTCCCGATGAGGAATCTTCCGCAGAGAGAACATGGTAATTCTCATCTGCAAGGAACCGGGCAGTCCTCAGCGTCTTATAGGCCAGCATCTGCTGCTCCGATACTGAAGCGGCGGGGAAGATGTTCTCCAGCATTCCCTTCCCGCGAAAGGCGTCGACATTGATCCGTGCCAGAGAAGGCGTGACAGCCTCGGTTGCGTATCGAATGGACATCATGGCAAGACCAATAACTAAATGAGTGAATTAGTATGTATAATTAGTTAGTATACAAGGTAAGAATAGAGTCAAAAGAAAATCATTTTATACAATGTATATGACTCATCGGATAAGCCAAAAAGGGACCCCGACGATGTAACGTTGGAAAGAACCTGGAAGAGAATTTATATTATTTACTATTTAATTGAACTGGATTGGTTTAATTATGCTGAATGACATACCCTTGTGTAAATAAGAAAAATAAAAAATAAAAATGTAGCAATCTGCAACTATTAGCAAGTTATATAGTTATATATACTACAGGGCATGTAATATGGGTACTATTCAAATCCCTGAAAATTGCCCACTCACAATCACTACCACGCAATCGTCTCGAGAGCAGACGAGGGCCCCATCACTGAGGACCTGGCACTGTCTCAACGTCTCCGCGTTGGCCCAGTTGCGCGGCACGAAATAATGCTGTTCAAAGGAGTCTCTGTCCCTGCCCGGTGTATAAGTGCAAACCCAGAGGTCTTCATCGAAAACAGTAGTCGCCGTTTCGGATGATTCCCTAGAGGGGTATAAATTTGATTAGAAACCTCAAACGGGACGGAGTGGGCGCGCAGAGTGGAACATGTAAGATGTCCATCCGGTAATTCCAACGCTGCCAGGTCAACAATAAGATCCCCCTCGGGTTTCTGCACGAGAGCAGGACGGTGACCAAAGGCAGCCATCGCAAGCTTCATCATAGGCGAGAGCCAATTCTGATCTCGTTTAAAAGGGAGCTGTTGTGGTGGACGAGTCTCAGAGCTGGATGACCAACGTGTCGCCAAGGAGAAGTCAGCCTAGCGATATGCCGTAACCTCGATGAGCCCGATGGCAAGGAGAATTTCAGGTTCTATACGATGGTTGACACAATTTTTATAGCTGTCCTCGGCTAAGGATCTAGTGCTCATCTTTGCGCCGTTCTCAACAGAGCAGATATACCGTTCAGCTCGAACGCGACCAGGAGGAGAGTAGAGTTTGAATTGAATATCAGATCATGAATCCCACAGCATTATTCGGAGGCCTGTGGCCGGCGCTGGGGCTGAACATTGACCATTGGTCTAGTCCCAGGGATATATCGGACAGCGGTATCTCTGGCCAGGTCTGCACATGCCAGATGTGTGGAACTGTTGCTCCACCGTATACAATTAACCTTTATGAAATTCGAAAAGTGGGTGAACTAGGCTGGACTTTCTTTTTCTGCCTTAAACACGTGCTCGATTGTGATAACAAATCCAACGGTGTCTGGGAAGACCTTGATACTCTCTCTCGGAGAACTTTGGAAATTGTTATACTTCGGTTGATTCGAGCTCTCGAAGCCGGGGCGCGCCCACCAAACCGTGCCTAATCCACGACAACCTTGTGGAAGGAACCGCAGGCATGGAGTTTGGAACGGACAACATTCGCATATTCGACTCGGCGGCGTTCTATGCCCATAATGAAATGGAGGTCAGCCACTGGAGGTGTCACTATAATGTAATCCACAATAGAGTATACACTCATGCTTACCTCCAATGCTTCCCCGCCAGGGAGCCTCGTGAAGAATGGGAAGATCTAAATCGGATTTATACCATCTACTACAATGTGATGAGTGCCAGGGAACTACCGTGTGTCGAAGGTAAGGCCCTTGTCACTCCAACCCTTCTTCTTATAAACCCCGGCGCAAAAGAATTCTCCTGATATTTGCCAAAGCGCATGATGATATGTACTCCTTGATCGATAAGTATGCACCGTTCAATGTTGGAACTGGGCTAACAAGACTTGGGCAGTAAGAGAGGGTGTCATTTTTCCTTGAACACGATCCCGTGAAGAAATAAAGGCGCTTGCGGCTTCATGATTTTCATTGTCAGACAGCTGAAGTGGCGTCTTTTGTTTCTGTTTCTTCTCTTCGACGAAATTCTACTGACACTGGCTATGTGAGAACCTAGGTCAATCTTAAGTCATAAAGTACATGCCATAAATGTTGATGAATAGATCGACGAGACAGATGGATAGGAACTTGGGCATTGCTTGAAGGTGATAGTCGAGGACAGAAATCAAAGGAAGAGAGAAACAGTCGGGAGAAAGAAGAAAGGAGTCGAAGGCTACGAAGAGTCACATGTCTTCCCACGTGATGGCTCAAGTTCTGCAGTCCATCAGAGACAAGAAACCCTGCTATTTCCCAGTAGGATGGGGTTTACAGAGACAAAAAACTTGGGGAATCACTTCATACAGCCAGCAGCCAAATCGAATGCCTGAATAGCCGAAATATACCCTGGCGTTGTTGTCAAATAGCTGTTTTCATGCACTGAAGGCAATCAGAGGACCGAAATAACCTCATATAGGACGGTTCTCCTCGAAGCTACCAAGTTGATACCAACCCTCCTCTGTTCTCTCTCCTTCCACCACTGTTCTCTGACAGGCAATTCACATCTTTATTCATTTCTTCTATCAAATTCCATTTAGTGAAGGGGATATCTTACTGGTTATTTGATATTCACCACCCCCTTCTCCACCAGAAAGAGAATCCCCTGTGTCGATTAAAATCATCACACAATGGCATCTTCTAAAACTTCAGAAATCTCTCCCCCAATTCCTTTTCTCCTTCTTCTCATCCTCTTTATCCTCTATTTCTCTATCTCTCCATTACCCCTTTCATTCCATTTTTACCCTCTCTGATCCACGATGTACACCACAACCTTTAACCCCGAGGAGACCCTCGAAGACGCCAGAGGAAACCTCGAGGCTCACCTCTACAACCTTGACGGCCTTTCCGACCGGCCTCGCGTCAAGTTCTTCATCGAAGTGTGTCCAGACAAGCTTCGCCCGGACGTCTGTCGTCATCCCAAGTGTCAGCAGGACATCGATGCTCTCGAGTATCGCGTCGCCGTCCAGCCTAGCATCAGTTCTCCGTGGAGGAACAGAGCAACGGGTTCGTATCTTCTTCTGAAAGACAGATGCTAGGATATATGTACTCATTTATTTATTGGCAGAATTTTATCATCTCAACTGTTTCGAGGAAGTTGCCGACTTCAATAACCCGAACCACGTCCAACGCGTGTACCCTTTGACTCGCCACAACTACGAAGAATGCCGTCTCCGACGCAGACAGTTTAGCAGAGGTCACTATCTGGTCAACAGCGGCGCAGAGCGGCTGATCGAGAAGTGGAAGGAGAACCGTCTGGCGCTGATCCAAGACGTGCATGAGGACTTTCACGCTAATATAGATGCTGCTCTCCAGACTTTCACTGCTGCTACCCAGGCTGGCTCTACTGCCACTAATCAGACTGACAATACTGAAGCTGAGACCATCATCCCTAATAATCAGTTTGCAACCACGATGGCTGCTGCTGCTGCTTATGCTGCTTCACTTTCTGCTGCTTCTGCCAATGCCAGAGTCGCCGACACAGAGGTCGAGACCGAGACAGAAAATGGCACTGCTGTCTCCCAGCCCGTGGTGTCCGAGCTGGAGGAATTGCGCAACCGGGCCGGTTCAGCGAGCTATGTACTCCCTAACCACATCCCCGGAGTCGACGACTTTGAGGTCTTCCTCCTGGGCCGTGTTTTGGCGCCCATCCAGAGCTCTGGACCAGGCGATACCAACGAGTGGAACTTGTTTGACGCCTATCTCGCTCCCTACGGCGATGGCCTGGGACTCAACGAGCTGAGTGAGGCGCTGGACAGCTACCAGTACGACCAGGTAAATCCCTCTCCATACATTTATGCAGTCTCTGGCTGAGTTAATTGTTCAGAAAATTGCCCTTAAGAAAGATGACCAGCTCAGCCACGAAGAACGGCGCTACAAAGATGAGCAGCTGGGTAAAAACGCCGTGGATGCCCTGTGCAGACTCGCCCCTATTCCCTTTGAGCACACTTGGATCTGTCCTTGGTAGGTACTACTTGTTTCATACTACTACTTTATACCTTGCTGACCTGCTTGCAGCACCTACGGCATCGAGGACCCGGAGTAATTACTTACTACAAACGTTATGGAGAATGATTTTTTGCTCTTTTTCATTGGTTTCAAGGCTACCTCACCACACTTACCTAAGTTATGTCTGTTACTTTGTCTTGTTGTTCTTGTCTTTCTTCCCCTTCCCCTGCCCTTTCTGTTCACCCTCTTGATCCAACCTCTCTTCCTGGTTAGCAGATGCATCCTTTCGTGGACGACACACGTCACAGTTTTCAAGGTCAGACACGTACCTGCGTTCGCAATGTTGGCACCGTTGGTCTTTGCCCATCACCCAGGCCCGGTGGTTGTCTGCACATACCCATGTATGAGCGGAACAGTGGCCGATCTTGATCATCGAACGCGAGGTCTTGCCGCATTTTTTGCAGTGGTGTCGGCTCGGATAGGGAGGCATTGGCGGGAAGAGGGCGAAAATCGAAGGTCGAAAATCAAGGATTCAAAATCGAAAGTCGAAGGTTGAAGGTCGAAGGCGATGGATGGCAAGGACGATAAGTTGGCCGCGAGGAGAGCATTTAAATAAGAAAACTTGACTTGTAACAAAGACTGGTCAACAAAGGGGTACACATGTAGAGGATAGGCAAAGGCATTGTAGACACAAAGAAGTAGAGGCTTCAAGATATCACATATCTCGACAATGCATTATGGAAACAAAGAAGTAGACAAGGCATTGGACACTGTACCCAAGATACAATGAGAACAAAAACTCTTTATGGCTATCTTGATAATATCATCCTGTTCCAATAGCTTGGTAGTCAAGCAATAAACGACTGAAAGAGTGGAGTTTATATTGGACAGCTGATTACATACTAGCACATTACTCTGGCAGCCAAGGGTCCTCCAGAAGCTCCTTTGCTGTCTCCCTTGTCTCCGGCATCCAGACAGACCAACTCTCGTCGGAGGAATCATAGGAAGTTTGTCGGATCCTCGAGTCTGGTCTGGAGAGCCTCCATGGTGCGAGAGGGTGACACTGGCTTCCGCTCTACCGGCGATGATAATTCTTGCTCTTCCATCTGGCGAAATATCTCGTTTTCATCGACGCTGGCTGGTATATTTCCGGGATGGATATCTAGTCATCAGAATTCCCTTTTTCTTTGATAAGAGGACTGAAAATGACAGTATGAATCACTCGGGGTGTGAAGAAAGTCGGCAGCGTGCAGCAACTGTCTTTAATGACCTCGTAAAACCCACCTGGATATAACACCATTTTTATATCAAACAGACTCGCCTGGCCTGCTTCTAATTTAGTGTCTCGCCCTCCTTATCGCAATGACCTGGATTTGCTATGAAATAGCCTCTGTTCTGTAGAGCGTTTCTTTTCGGCCGGGTTGTTTTTAGGTGTTTACATATTGGAGTAGATATATAGAGAGATAGAATATTTTCATTCACTTAATACTTTTATTTTTTAAAAAACGAGGAATGTATAGTTTAACCATCGTAGTCAATGGTGACGGCAAGGCGCACCGCACCGGCCGACAGGTTGCCACCGATACCGCCCTCGTCCGCCTCAGCAGCAGTGTAGGCGTTGTCGACGGTGCCTGCGTCGGTGGTGATGGACGAGCAGGTGCTGCCCAGCGCGTCGCAGATCTTCATGCCCTGCACGGTCTGACCGGCGTTCTGAGCCTGGATCGCCGACACGTCGAAACCAGACCACCCGCTGTTCTCGGAGTTACCAAAGTCGAATTCGCCCCAGGTGCACGAGTAGCCGCCGTCGCTGTCGGTCGGCAGGGTGCCCTGAGCGGCGCCCCAACCGCCCTGCGTGTTCTCATCGAAGGCGACGTACACCGTCTCGCCGGCTTCGATCGTGAAGCTCAGCGCCGAGTACCCGTACCACCCGTCCATCTTGCCGTCCGGGCCGTACTTGTTCCAGATCACCACGTTCCACGAGTCGGTGTTGGATCCCTGGAACTGCGCCACGTACTTGTATTCGGAAGCGTCGGAGGCAGAGACCTTGATGATGTTGCTACCCCACGGGTTGCCCACATTGCCCTCGTAGGTGTCGGTGCCGCTGACTGTCGAGGTGGTAACGGCTCCGAAACCAGTGGTCGATCCATCGCCACTGGGGGTCGTCAGCCACGAGGAAGAGGCGGACGAGGAAGACGAGGCAGAAGACGCCGTAGAAGACGACGAGGAGGCGGCGCTAGCTGTGGAGGTGCCGCGCTCAGCCAGCTGACGACGAACTTGACCCTCCGGGCGGGCCAGGCCGCCGGTGACGAGGGTGGCAAGAAGAAGAAGAGCCTTGAACTGCATGATGGCGATGTTGATAATGTGCCTAGGTGTGGCAAGTAGGAGCTTTGTCAAAGGGCAATGGGACGTCAAGTCCAAAACTGTTGAAGGAATGTACCAGTAAGGACTGGGAGTGAAGGGAACGAAAAGGAAAGGACTGTGTAGAGTCACACAGGGACAGGATTTTTGGGATTGGAGAGAAGAAGAAAGAGAGATTGAAATGGCAGAAGCAGAGAGTATTTATGCGTCGGTAGGATCTCACTGTGCGTGGAGGCAATAACTAGACGAAACTGTCGAACCATTGTACTGTCCCTCCATCTCTCGCCTCACCGAAGGGTTGTCTTGTTGGAAAGCCACTCAACATCCTGGAGATGCTGCGAGACCCTTGGCTCGGAGATGTACGGACCCTTGGCCCCAGTGGAACTGGATGATGCGGTCACTGCAAAGTTCAAACATGGTTTTGTGGCGGGCAGCCACGCCTGGAGCGTCTGGGCGTGCCTGGGGTGTTCCATGGGTGCTCCAAGAGACTGACAGGTCTACACCTTCGAGATGTTCAGGGACATGTTCCAATTGATCAAGGGTCAACGCCCAGTCTAGATCAAAGTGGAATGATCAAAGTCAGAAGTTTTCAAAGGGTATTGCTGACGTGTTCAGATGACGAGCATTAGAAAATACTGCATGACCCATTTTATCCTTGATGGCCAGAACTCGAAAGGCCTAGAACGCGTCAACAATGTCTCGGGAGAAACGGAGTAGATACGCATTCAATTGTAAGAAATTGCATCTCCACAGTGGAAGATTTCTGCGCAGATAAGAGATGTCCGGCCAGTCCCAGAGCTTTGCGCAGTGGACCGCACGGAAAAGATAGTCGCTCGGCGAGCAGATTTAATCAAAGTGCATAGATCAAACTGCATAGATCAAACTGCTCCGCAAAGCAATGGCCTGGCACTGGCCAACAGCCCCGAGCCCCTTTCTCGAACGCCTAGACTGTTGTTCCACCGCACCCACAAGCGAGATGCTAACCTGCTAGGGTTGAAACCATTCACAAAATGTACCTGACACTCGCTTGCTCGTCCAATAGCGATGCTTTCCAACACATCGGAGAAAAGGTACCACGACACCAGAACACGGATGCAATGAATCTGGTTCCTCGAATCAGTAGTTCGCTCTCACACACGGCGCACAGTGAATGGGCAAACGTTGGATGACTCAGCTTTGACAGGAGGGCTAGATCCATGGTCCAGGCGAGTCTATTCCTGAGAGCTTTTTCGCATAGTAATTGTCAGTGGTGCATGGCTGAGGCGGCTTCACAGCAGAAAGTCCATCTCACGATGTCCCTGTGAGGATTGTGTTGTATAGACAGGTGTTGGGATGAACATGAGAGTAGAAATGAAAGACGGGGGAATTTTGCTGCCGCTGTTTCCTTCGTGCGTTGGTCACGTGATGTGAAGATCACGTGATACGTCTCTTTACTCTGCCGGGCTGCCGTCTTTGGCTAATTGTTTACCTCATCCACCGGCGATCTGCCTACGCTGCAGGTACTCGCTGAAGATGGCAGTCTATTTGTCCAACGAGATGCTATGTCACATATTCAGCTATCTGGAGGATGACACAGCCTCTCTCACGGCCGCTGCCCTGACGAGCAGGCAGTGGTTTGATTGCGGCATCCAGAGTCTCTGGAAAGAGGAGAACGGTAACAGGCTCGTCAGGATTGACCCCTCTCGCCGAGATCTCTATGGTAGATGCATCAGGAAATTACAACTTGATGGCTATCTTTGTCAGGGTGGTGATTCCAAGACCCGAGCGCAGGCCTCTGCAAGGTTCCGGGCGTTGGATGCGAAGCTCAGCGAAAGAGGTCGACTGAACGCACAGTGGGTGACTTTTCTGAATGATTACAATTGGTCTTCCTTACGAGAGATTTCCTTCAGCAAGGTATATGTGGACCAGGCTCTCCTCGAACACTTGGGAAACACATGCAGAGGCCTGCGCTCTCTTCGACTTTTCCATGCCATAAATTTCCAGCCAGCCGATTTCTTGAGACTTTTGGAACAACTTCCGTCTCTAACAGCGATTCACTTTTGCGAAGGAACTAGGAATCTCATCACAAGTGAGGTTTTTGCATATCTCGCGAACCGTCGGATCATACAGGTTTTGACGATGAAGGAGCCTCTTCAACGAGCCATTATGGAAAACGAAGCAGCCACTTCAAAATCCTTCCAGGATCTTCGTTCTGCAAATTTGAATCTTGTTATTGGCTCAATGGACCGTTTCGTAACCGTGATGCCAGGGATTACGAGCCTGAGTCTGGAACTCTGGTGGACAGACACGAAGATGTTCAAGACACTCTCGCGCTTGGAGCGTCTCCAGACTTTGTCTATCACGATTGCATACAAACTTGAAATGCCTCCTGAGCACATATTGCCTATTTGCAATATAAAAAGTCTTAAAAAGCTGTGTGTCCAGGGCAAAAGCGAGAACTTGCGTGCATTCAAGTTCAGGGACTCTGATTTTGATAGTCTTGTCTCACAGCTCAATGATTTGGAAGAGCTGTCCTTTCTAGTCGCATGCGATATGTCTTTTGCCTCTCTCAAGTCCTTATCTAGGCACTGTCGTTTCCTCAGACACCTGCGGCTACTGCCAAGTAATTGGGATTTCGATGCCCTGTTCTCAAATGCAAGCGAGGAGCCTCTCTTTCCTCACCTGGAATCCGTGAATACGGTGCCTGAATGGAACACCATGCCATTTGTGGACGATGTATCTCGGTAGGTATATATCTACATCTGGAGCCGCATACTAGAGATAAGACCGCTAACAAATTTCGATATCCTTGCAGGTCTATAATCGCCCGAGAGAAGGCAATGCTGTTCCGCTTTCACATGCCTAATTTGAACACCATGACCGCGACGGTGCATGGCGAATTCGAGAAAGAAGTCCTAGAGATTTGGACAGAGTTGAAGAGGAACGCAGTGAATCCATAGCGAGCACAATACAGGTAGTGTAGCCGTTTGCATTCAAGATGCGAGTGCATCATGTCCATGTCTCATCACGAACTCGATGGATCTTACGACAAGTTTATGGAAAGACGATTCGCTATTCTATCTATGGTTACATAGAAACTACAATTCCTCATTGCTCTTTCTCCGTACGACTCCAGAACTCCATCAACCGCTCCGTCAGGATTTGAGGCTGTTCCTCCATCAAGAAATGGCCACAGTCCTCCAGTTCACCCCCCTCCAGTTTCTCAGCCAAAGGCTGCATACACGAGTGCAGCATCTTCCCCATCGCACTCTGTCCTCCCAACGCCAACACCGGCATTTTCAATTTCCCCTGCGCAGCAAAAGCGCGATTTTGTTCTGCGCTAGTCGCCACAGCGCGGTAATACTCGAAATTCTGACTCAGGACGCCCGGCCGGGAATAGACATCGATGTACCGCTCCAGCCTGCTGCGGGGGAGTTTCTCCGGGGCGTGCATCTTGCGGTCAAAGAACCAGGTGAGGAGTTCGCGCTCGCGACCCCTGGTGAGCATCTCCGGCAGGTCCGGCAGAGCGGCAAAGGAGAACTGCCACAGTTTGACGTTTGCGGCTGGTGGGAGGGGAAACGTCATCGCGGGCGCGTAACCGGGCACAGCGGCGTCGAGGACAGTGAGACTTAGGATCCGGCTGGGGAACTGCGCCGCCCAGGCGTAGGAGATCCAGGCCCCGATGTCGTGGCCGACGAGATGGTACCCGCTCTGCGAGGGGAGTGCGTCGTGCACGGCCTCGGCCATTGTCTTGCTGATACTCGCCGTGTCGTAGCCGGATGTCGAGAAGGCGGATTCGCCCAGCGCCGGCGGTTCAACGGCCAGGAAGCGGTGCTTCGTAGCGATCGTGTCGACCATGTCGCTGAATGACTCGGCTGTCTCGGGCCATCCTGAAATGAGAACTGTTCGGGACCCGGACTCGCCGCCGGCCAGGGCGCGAATGCCGTTTTTGAGATGGCGGATAGTATGTGATGCCATGGTTGGTTCTGTTTGTACTCGCAATATGAATGGACTCGGGGCACATTTTATATCTTAAATTCGATACTCATCATTGAGTCACCACTTTCGTCCTTGCCGAATACTCGGTGAATCTGCAAGGCAATTATAATCTCGGCATCTCGGCCTTGTTTTGGCCAGATTATTCCGTTTGGGGGCCGGATCACTCTCTGCTTACTTACTTCTATGAGTCATGTTGAAAATAGAATGGACGGATCTGAGGAATGACGCAACTTCAAAGAGTGTTGAGCATTTATTTCGCTAATAAAGGATATACTGCGATAAAGCATAGACAGGAGTGGGATGATGTACAGTCAAGAAAGGGTGGCCAGATCGATGAAAATTCGACTCCGCCGAGCCCATCCTATAGCTTTGGTCGAGTCATCCCGGTCTCGATATCCTTTTTGCTATCTTCTCGCAAGATCCGTTTGAGGATCTTACCGCTCGCGTTCTTGGGGATCGCGTCGACGAACTTGATCCCTCCCGCCAGCGACTTATATCTGGCTAGTAGGGGGGTTGTGTATTGCTGAATGGCTTCCGCCGTCAACTTGGCCCCCTCCTCCCCTGGCCGACGCACAACGTACGCGCGAGGTAACTCGCTGTCAGCACCTGGAAATGTGACCCCAATGACTGCCGCGTCGACGATTTGAGGGTGCGATAATAACACAGCCTCAAGCTCCGGCGGTGCGACCTGGAAGCCGCGCACCTTGATCAACTCCTTTTTGCGGTCGACAATGTACCAGCTGTGAGTGATCGCGTCGCAGTAAGCTACATCACCGGTTTTGAACCAGCCCTCGGTATCAAACGCTTCGCTGTTGGCGACAGGATTGTCAAGATACCCAGGAGTTACTGTCGGGCCACGAACACAGAGTTCGCCCGGCACTCCATACGCAGAGATGTTATTGCCGTCATCATCAATTAGTCTGAGAACCGTTAGTTCCCAAGAATAAATGAATCCACCAAAGTCAGAAATCCGCGCAGCACATACTTGGCTTCCATATTCGGGATCAGCCTCCCCACTGCACCCGTGGTGTCCTGTTCTGGATAAGGGAGCATGGTCGCGATGCAACACGTCTCGGTCATGCCCCATACTTGCGTGAAGGGAGCGCCATCGCTCAGAAGGGCTGCTAGACGTGCCTGAAGGTCTTTATCGAGCGGCGCTGCCGCACAACTTGCGGCTCGGACTTTCCTTAAATAAGGCCGCTTGTGAGATTCGGGGTACATGATGATTGCGACAACCATGGGAGGTACAACAGTGAGGTCAGTGGCCTCGAACTTTTGCATCGCCTCGAGAAACCCTTGCAGCTCGAAGCGACGCATCATGTATACCAGCTCACCGGTCTTCATGGTCCCGAAATGGCAGAAGGGCACGGCGGCAGCATGGAAGACGGGGAGCGCTACAACCCGAGACGTCTGTTTCTACGTCAGCACTATATCACATTACCTGATGACAGAGACACTGCAGAAGGACCCACTCTGTATGGCTTTGGATAACACTCAAAAACCAGTTCTATCTGGCCGATCAAGTTGTAGTGGGTGATGATCGTCGCCTTAGGGAGTCCGGTCGTGCCACTGCTGAACAGTCTGGCTGCCGTAGTGCTCCGGGCAGTCTCCAAATCGTCAAAGCGAACCCAGTCCTCTTCGCCAACCTTTAACAGCTCCGTCCACGACCGCATTCCATCCGGCAGCTTCTCATGGACATCAAACACCCAGATATTGCTTTGCGGGATCTGCAGCTCGGTCGCAGCAGCCAGCAGGGGGTCGATGATCTCCGGCTCGCTGACCAGGAACTTTACTTTCGCCACATTGAGATGATGAACTAACTCCCTCTGTGTGTACGATGGATTGGTGCCGGTGAAGACGCCCCCGGCGCCCACGATGCCGAGCACGAGCATGCTGTAGTAAATCTGAACGCGTCAGCTCCCTCCCGAACTCTCCCTCCCCTATCAGAACAGCAGCATACATCATTGAACGAATGAATCGAAACACAGTCGCCTGGTTTCAACCCAGCAGCGCGGAACCCAGCGATTAACTGGCGAACGATCTTGCGGGCTTGATTGCGTGATATCGAGCGAGAGGGATTGCCGACATCGATGTACAACTAGATCACAGAAACACACATAGATTGTTTTAGTCTCCTCTCTTTGCAGAGGGGGTTTCTCTCTCATATGTTTCACTCACCGGTCCGTCGGGATCGTACGACGACGACTCGCCAAAAATATACGAGAGCACATCGCTCGTCGGCAGCTCGACACGTCTCTCAGGCTCAAAAATCATCATTGTTGACTGTTCCTGCACATACGCTCGTGTGGGAAGCTAAACAACAAGCTCACGGTCGGCCGGTCTAGTTATGAAGCTTCCAGTCCCCAGTAGACCCTCACGTCAGCGGCAAATAGTTAATAAACATCGCGGAGCACTCTGTACAAGTACAAGCCCCGCTGCGGGCTTCCTGGTTATCTCGGAGCTAAACGTGGGCACATTCGGTTCTCTGTGCCACATGTGCCCTTTTTTGAGAAATAGAATAGAATTAAATAACATAAAGCGAGCGGGGTGTGGATTCTTATTGTCCGGTTTGCCAGCAGCCTTGCCCAACCTGAGCTGCCGTGCAGCTGGGCCGCAAAAGGCTGCCAACCGCAGCCATGTCGACGGTGCATCTCGGGTTAGCAAGAACGAGGATATATAAGCGAGCAAGACGCCGGCGTAGCAGAGATGCTGCTAATGATGCACGTTTCCTCCAGTTCTCACAATCCCTGTCGTGCTTGGCGCTCGATGCCGGTCAATTCGTGCTTTGAGTTGGTTTCGTGGCGAAGGCCGGGAGAAAGCAAGCAAATCACGCTGCGAGATGCTGTCAGGTGACCTTGGGCCTAAGGCACCTTCCCACGGCCATATTCGGTCGTTTGTTTTTTTCTTTGTTCTTCGTTATCTGTTTCAACGTCTCCTTCAGGGGTGGGGGAAAGGCACTATTGATAGGTGGTAAGACCTGATCTAGCCCACGCCACGGTCGATGAGCTAACCAGTATAGCTGCTTGTTTTTCACTAGCTAGATGACACTATTTGATCTTGTTCATGTACAGGTGGTGACCCTCGACCTCCTTCACCCACAATCCCCAAGGCCGATAGGCGGACTCTTTGGTCATAAGATTGGTGCCTTGAACCTCGTCGTCATCCAGATACTTGATGGCTGGAAGCTCGGCGGATGGTTGTGTCGCTTCGTACGCTGCGCGGGTCAGCAGCGTCGTGGTCTGGACGCTGGCGTTCTTCCGGGTGTACACTGCTCGCACGACACATTCCTCGATGCTCTCTGCCTGAACGGTGAAGCCATGGCCACGCATGAGGACCACGGCGTGTTCGGGTTTGGTTGACTCGGGAGCAGAGAAGTACGAGGCCAAGGCGCCCCCCAGGTGGGTGTTGCGGACCAGCATATCGCGCTGATCCGACGGGCGGAGATGATCTGCAATGTCGAAGATGGGTGTTTTGTTTCCTGGGGCTGTGAGAAATTCATGGGCTTGAAGAAGTGAGAGAGGTGAGGCTACCGACCGAGAAAGCCCCCGACATGGCAGCATGCGTGCAAGGGAACACCTGGTGATATGGTAATTTAGTATATGGAATTCCCTTCAATCTTGTTGCGAACAAGTCACTGACCCGAAATGGTGTAGGGAACCACATCCTCACTGTGGCTATGGATCACGCTCTGCACACCTGGGTATCTCCTGTACACTTCGCTATGGATACAGCGCTCCGAGTAGCCTCTCCCAGCGGTCGGATCGACCGGTGAAGCATCTTTCACCCAGTACTCAATGAGATCCTCCTCACTCGAGACCAGCGCCGGAGCGATGAACTGTGACATGACAAACACATCGGGTCTAGTAGGGTGACGGAAGGACAGATGCCCGTAAGCGTCAAGGACTCTATTGCGTATTAGTTCTTCGAAACCATCACCACTAGAGAACGGAGTCCAGCTTTCGTCCGGTGTACATACCCTTGGTAGTGCAGGATATGAGATCCGGTGATGTGCTTGCGATAAAGCTCGCGCACAGTGCTATCGGATGCCATTGCGATTGCTCTTCTTCCTATCGCAGAGAGTCTTTCACCGTTTCATCCCTCCGTCGAAGGATCGACTTGACTTATATGCTGAACAGTGCGGGGTACGGCTAAAGCCTCTCAACACATCCCAACCTCTGTTTGACAAATCATGGGGATTCATCGATGCGGGGGAACACGTGTGCGAGGACATGATTTAAATACAACGAGACGCGTTGCGAAGGAGTTCTCCTTCCTGCCTTGCTGTTTCGTTCACCACGCCCCCTCTCCCCTCGCAAGAATGGCCGAAGAATCGCAGGACAAGGCCCAAACTTTTCATATTGAAGAGGGCAAATCCCCAGTGTTGTACGATGAGACGTTCGATGATCCTGACAACCCGTTGGTGAGCTCTTCGATTCCGCTTTGCGTCAGGAAGCCTTTTTCTCATACAGATGTAGAACTGGCCGTACTGGCTGAAAATCTACATTGCCCTCCTCATGGCACTTTTGGGATTTCTGGCGCAGTGTAAGTGAACCGTGAAAGCATGACATACGCAACGATTACGCATATTGACCGGTTAATATAAAACTTTCTAGTCTGCTCCTCTCTCATCAACCCAGGGTATGTCACGATGTCCAAGGATCTGGGCATCACCATCGAGCAGAGTTCCTACTGCACGACCGTCTTCATCGTCTTCAGTGGGATCGCGCCCATGTTCGTGGTCCCCTATGGCAATGTCTATGGGCGGCGAATCCTCTTCGTGGTAACTATCTTCCAACCGAACGCCACACACTAGGCTAGCGTGTACGGAGTCATAATAATCGTCCGAGATATAGGTCTTCTCATTTATCAGCACGCTCGGGGCTATCGTGACTGCCGCTGCCCCCACATATGGTGGGGTGATCGTCGGGCGTATCATCAATGGCATTGGGCAGGGTATTCCACTGGGAGTCGGGGTAGTGACGGTATAGTATTTTAGTTGATTGTCATCGAGTAAACCTGTCCCGCCCACTGATTTTCATACTCATCTAGATCTGTGATTTGTTTCGTCAGCATGAGCGAGGCCTCTGGGTCGGCCTGTATACTATCGGCGTCACCAACGGTCCGCACGTTGCTCCCATCGCCGGCGGATACATCACGCAGCGGCTGGGCTGGCGCTGGTGCTTCTGGGTGCCGGCCATCTTCCAAGGAATCGTCTGTCTGATTCTGCTGCTCACGCTACCTGAGACATTATACCTGCGCGGTGACTCGAACCGCTTGCGCCACCGGCCGTACTGGGGCCGGCTGTTTTTCTTCGGCAAGGTGATCGACCGACCCATTGAGGCAGAACAGTTCTGGAGGCCTTTCAAGTTGATCCGCCACGCGACCGTCGCCCTGCCGGCGCTGTACTTCTGCACCTGCAACACTTTCGGGAGCACGCTCTTCGCCGTGACCGGGGCCAACATCGGGGCCAAGATCTTCGGGTTCGATACGGAACAGACTGGTTTGTTCATGGGCGTGCCCCTGTCGGTCGGGTGCATGATTGGTGAAGCTTCGGCGGGCTGGGTGAGTGACAGGCTGTTGGCGCTGTACGCCCGACGCCACGGGGGCAACCAAAAGCCAGAGGCGCGTCTGTTCCTGATGCCCCTGTGCACGACGCTCTGTGTCGGGACTGCGACGTACGGGCTCTGTATCCAGAACCGCTACCCGTGGATCCAGGCGTCGGTCTGCATGGCCATCTCCGGCTTTGGGCTGCAGATAGCCACAACCATGGTATACACGTACTGCACGGACAGCTATCGGTCCCGGGCCAGCGAAGTGGGTGCTGTCCTGAACTTCTTCAAGTGCGGTAAGTTTTGTTCCGCCAACCAAAATCATATACGTGGACCAGAGTAATAAACTAAACTGTATCCAGTCTTCGCCTTCAATGTCGGTTTCTATGCACTCCCCTTTGCGGGTAAAGTTGGCTACACAACGGCTTTTTCAGTTCTGGCCTCTATCAACGGCGCCTGTCTCTTTCCTCTCCTGATATTGTTCTTTGTGGGCGAGAGAATCCGCATCCAGTCATCAGATATCGACTATTAGCTAATACTACCTGGTATTTTTCTGCCATATGAACATAAGGATGTACATTGCAAATTTGAGATATAAATGTATGTGTTTTCCAATTATTCGGCCTTCTCGTCCCCCTGTTCTCCCTCCCCCTGTATACTACCATCTTCCCTCGGTGTATCCGTGCCTTCCCCCTCCGAATCAGATCTCGGCAGCCAGAAACGAGTGAGAAGACCACCAAGGTATTTCTGGTCCAACCAGCGAACGAAACCATAGAGGATCCACCCCCAGCCCCAAAGGGAGACGCCCATCAGACTGGCGACGAGCAAGACCGGACCGAGGATCAGCAGGGAGAGGATTGCCCAGAGCAAGATAGCGACGGCCGCGAAGAGGATCAGCCCCGCAACAAAGACGAGAAAGGGTACTCCGCAACAGATAAGCTGGCAGATGAAGAACGTGGTGGCGATAGGCTTCGACATGGCGGTGCGGTACGCGGCCTCCCTGCGCGGCGGGGGGAAAAACCGCGCGATGAGCCAGCGGACGGTGCTTTCGAAGCTGTCGATCGCCGAGGGGACCAGCGCCTGAGCGTACTCGACCATCGAGGATCCAAGCGAGGAGAGCGGGCGGCTTTGCGGATCGTCGCGCTTGTAGCGGTGCTCGTCGCCTGGGAACTCGCCGGGTATGACGCTGTCCGTGATCGGTTTGGTGCTTGCGTCCACCTGCGCGGTGGCCGATGAGACTGCATTTGTTGCTGGGTTTTTGGGGAGACGTTTTGTAACATTATTAAGAGACATCTTGCCTTTTACTTGAATAGGGATGCGTGTCTGTCAAATTGGTAGAGCGTGGTGGGTGTTTATTGTGTTTATACATAGTTTTAGCCATGACGTAGTGGCGCTGTCATGACGTAGATAGCTCAATAACAGGATCTACAAACATATGTAAAATAAGTAAATCAATAAATACAAAAATGATTTTTTCATTAATGTTACAAGAAAAAATTATTCATTTATCAAGTCGTCTAATGGCTAGGTAGTGGTGGACGTGTGACTGAGTAGGACAATTATATACTTCTATTAACTACTCTGATAAACCTTGAAACTATTAAACTCCCAATATGCATTCGTGAAATTGGCTCCGTTCTCTGCTGCCCACTCGGTACACCTGCCTGGACAGTTGTACAGATCGGTATAGTAGGCTGTTGCACCGGCCAGGTCGCCGCAGACGTCGATGTTGGCGATGATGCTCTGGTTTGTGAAGTGCGACGAGATGTCGCAGTGCGTACTGGGGAAATCGGCCAGCGCCTCGCCCCAGGTCGAGGGGTCTGGACTGCTCCCGTTGGAGATGTCGGAGGGGATCTCATCGCGGCTGAACATCCACACGCGGATTCCTGCGTCTCGGAGTTCCATGGCGTATACCTAAAAGAAGATAAGGATCAGAAAGAAAGGAAATAGATAGATAGAAAGAGAAATTCGTACTCCTCCGCCGTTGTCGTTGAATGCTTCGCCGTACGTCGCCGTGGCGCCCTCGACGCTGCACCCCGACTCGTCGTTGGCGGACCACAGACAATTCTGCTCGAGGGCGGTGCCGGTCTCCTTGCGCTTGCCGCTCATCTTGCACCCGCTCGTCGTGTGGAGGGTCATCGCATTTCCCTCTGTGCCCTTGTTATTTGACTCCATCACGTCGATCTCTCCATGCTCAGGCCAGTTGGACGGGTCCGTCAGCCACAGCGCTGGCCATGTCGCGCACCCGTACGGCGTGTGGACGACGTCGAAGATGAAAAGGCCGTCGTTGTACGTGTTCTTGGACGTCAGGCGGACAGACATGCGTCCGCTCGTCTGGTTCTCTGTGCTGGTGTCGACGCGCAGCACGGCCGACGAGTTGGACGCGTATGTCAGGTTCATCATGTCTGCGGTGGAAGCGTCGACATATCTTAAACTCGTTAGCCGTCTTCTTCGACTTGTTGGAAGAGCCACTAAGTTGGCTACTCACTGTACAAACCCGTCGGTAGGGTCCGACGCGGTGTAGTAGTCGAAGCTTTCGAAAAACTCCGTCCCTGAATATGTGTCGACTAGCGTGTAGTTCAATGCCGAATAGTCCGGATACGCCGATGCTTTAGTCCCCTCGACGACACCGACGATGATACCCACGATTACCACCACGATCCCCGCGGCAATTAGCAGTTTCGTCCGTAGCGACCAGCCGCGAGGGTCGTACCACGGCCACCGCCCGCTCAGCTCTCGTGGCGTGTCTGACGTGCCGTACGGCGCCTGCTGCTGTTGCGCGGGATAGCGGTTGGACTGCTCGGGAAAGCGAGTAGACTGCTCGGCATAGCGATTGGGATATTGACCGAGCTCGAACTTGGGCATTTTCGAGGCCGCGCCCCCGAAGCGACTGTACTCGTCGCTGGTCGCGGAAAAGTACTCTAAACGTGCCATGGCGGCGGTGTGATGAGTTTGGGAAGAGGCATCGGCCTCTCTCTTCTGCGGTTCCCCCTTCTCTCTTTATTTTTCTTTTCTTTTTCTTTTCATATACACCTGATACCAGAGGGAGGGGGCTGACTGGCATACGTCTGCCTCCACGTCATGCCAAGTCAGCGTCCCTCAGTGGGTCAGGCATTAGGACGGGGTGCTATCATAGAGATAAATGACAGATACCTGGCCTGGAACACCTTGTTTTGTGAATATATCATCTGAAACAAGTTTCCCCGAGTCGATCGTTCGATATGTCGGTGAACTTTGCTGGTTGGAGCACAAGGATCGTTGAGAAAACAAGGCTAATCTGCCCCAGTACCTTAATCGACTTGGCATTGTATAAATAGATGGCATGGCAGGCAAGAGGCGGGATTCATGAAATCCTCGACATCAGCGAGACAGCCTGTCCCGTGTGCACAGGCTTTGTGGTACGGAGGGATCCCGCGGCCAGGATCTGTCCTTGTCGTCCACGTAATGGCCTGTTTCTGTTTGTTGATTGCGCAATGGAAGGAAGGAAAACACCGTGTGCCTGTGGCTGCCTGAGGTGTCGATGCGGTAGGCTTTGCCTGGGTGGGTATAGTGGATACTAAAGCAGGCTTAGCCCGTGGTTCTGGGTGGCGCAGCTCAGCCAATCCAGATGCTTAGAATTCTCTCTCTCACCGCCCTGAGTGGGGCTGGACGCCTTGGGCTAATCCAGATCTGGGACGGCCACGTGGATTCCATGCCTGAGGCTTACTTCTGCCTGAGGCTGCACTTGTGCCTGAGGCTGTATTCTGAGTCACTCCCTTTTTCTTCATCTCCAACGCAGCCGTTCGAAAGACAACCATCCACGGCCATGACACCTGCAACACAGCCACTGAGTCTGGCACGGACCACCCTCCTCGTCAGCACGCTGACTGGGCTGACCTTTCTGGGCTCAATGAGCTCTGGTCTGTTGACCATCGGGTTGCCCGTCATGGCGGTCGATCTGGGCCTGGACGACGGCCTGCTGCTCTGGTGAGTTGAGCCCCAAGATTCTGCGGAAGACTGCTTGAACACAGCTGACTTGTAGAGGCCTGCTTCGGTATACTCGTACGTCATACTTCCTTTACATGAATTTCTTTTATAGTATTATCTTTCTTCTTTTGCAAGAAATACTACTAAGTACTCCTGACGGTGTAGGCTTGCTAGTGGCTGCTGTCTGCTTCTGGCCGGTTCCCTTGCCGATTTGCTGGGAAACCGTCAGATAAATCTCATCGGCTGCTTTGGGCTGTCCATTAGCATTCTCGCCTGTGGTCTTGCTCGCACGGGTATCGAGTTCATTGTGTTCCGGGCTCTGCAGGGCGTCGTCTTCTCACTGTGTCTGCCCACCGCGTTCAGCATTCTCAAAGAATGTCTGCCGCCGGGCAAGCAGACCAACATCGCAGTCGGCTGCTTTGGTCTCGGGCAACCCCTGGGCTTCTCTGTCGGCCTGGTCTTGGGCGGCTTGTTTGAGGCGACTGCCCCGGGCTGGCGAGTGGGCTACTATCTCACTGCAGGGCTGGCGTTCATCCTCTCCCTGGTCAACCTCGTCAATCTTCCATCGACCTTGCAGCGCGCTCCCTGGTCATGGCAGCGGTTCCGAGCTGAGATTGACTGGGTTGGACTCTTGCTGTCCAGCGGTTGCTTGGGTCTTTTCTCCTACGTGTGCTCGTATGTTTCTTTTTCTTTCTTTCTCTTTATAGTACATACTACAGTTTTGCAAGGATTCTCACATCCAACAGTGCGATCACCTCCGATACAGCTGCCATCAAAAAACCGCAGATCATCGCGCTCCTGGCATTAGCAGGCGCCCTGGCGCCGATGTTTCTCTTTTGGATGAACCGTCAGGAGAAGCACGGACGACCAGCCCTGATTCCCAACTCTATCTGGCAGAACAAGGCTTTTACCTCTATTTGTCTCGTTGTTCTCTTATCCTGGGCTGTTTTGAACGGCATGGAGACCTTCTTGAGCTTGTTGTAAGTGGTATGCAAACAAAAGACGACCTTGATTAACTGGCTTTGCAGTTTCCAAGAGGTCCAGGATCTCCCGCCCATCCAGGCAGCCATCCGATTCTTCCCGAATATCATCATCGGTATCATCTTGAACTTTGGGACAGGCGTCTTTGTCGACCGGCTGCGCGCCGACCATCTTGTGATTGTCACCTCACTCCTCAGCGCCGGCTCTCCCTTGCTCATGGCGCTGATCCAAGCCCACTGGTCGTGGTGGTCCTGTGCCTTTTGGGCCGTTTTGATCTCGCCCCTTTCTGCCGATGGTGCGTTTGAAGTTGTCAGCCACAACACTCTTTTTCTAATTAATAAATATAGTCATCTTCACCGTCGCCAACCTGCTCATCTCCGATCTCTTCACCCCGACCACACAGGGCCTTGCCAGTGCCGTCTTCAACACGGTCGCCCAGTTCGGCACTTCCATTGGCCTCACCGTGTTCGCCATCTTGTCGGCCAGCGTGACCAAGCAGTCCAAGTACGAGAACAAGGCCTCGCCGGAGGCCTTGATGCAGGGCTACCGGGCCGTCTTCTGGATGTCGTTCGGCATGATGATCTGTGGCTGCGGGGTGAGTGCGTGGGGGTTGAGGAAGATTGGAAAGGTGGGTTAATATTTTGGTTATAAATAAATCATAGATATATCATATTCATAACTGTGTATAACTTTTTCTAAATGACGTGAGACGAGCCATGCTTATTTCTCCCTCGACAAATAAAACAAGGCCAATTCTCGTATTACGGCTGTCGGAACAAATACTCTTTCAAGTAAGCCTGCTTACTCTGCTACAAGTACTACGTACTCTCCACCAGCACATCAATTACTCACTCTTTTCTTCTTCTTCTTCCTGCAATAATAATATCTCCTAACTATATTACCATGTTGTCGATTATTGTGAGTATTCTCTGCGTGGCAGTTATCTTCTTCTTTCGCCGTCGTGAGCGCCTCCCGCGCGAGATCCCCCTCTGCCCGCCTTCACACCTTGGGCGGGACGTCAGACTGCGACACTGGAACGAAACAGTGCCCAACGATGGTCTACTGCGTTTTCGAGACACCGGCGTGGAGCTGCTCCTCGTCACGAAGCCGAGCATCCTGCATGAGATCCTGGTCGGCCGGGCGGTGGAATTCGTCAAGCCGCAGGTGGTTCGGGATCGACTGTATCCCACCACGGGCAACGGTCTTTTATTCGCAGAGGGAGATGAGCATAAAGTTAGAAAACAACCTGACCGTCATGTTTGATGATTTCCGATACTGACGAAAATACAGATGCAACGGAAAGCGTTGAACCCGGCGTTCTCCTACCGACACGTCAAAGACCTGTACCCCATCTTCTGGCGCAAAGCGTTCCAACTGGTGAAATGTTTGGAAAAGGAGTCCGAGACAGGAGAGATAGTGACGATTCGGCCCTGGGCACGGAGGACAACGCTGGATATCATCGGCGTGGCGGGGATGGACCATGATTTCGGCGCCCTGCACGAACCAGACAATTACCTCGTGAAGCAGTATGAGACCATGCATGTCGATCCGTCCCGTGGGGAGGCCATCTTCGGATACCTTCTATCCTTCATCTCTAGTCCGCTCGCCCGCTTCGTAATGCAGAACATCCCCACGAAGCGAGGCAAGGCGTTACGGGCGGGCTCGAAAGCGATCCGGGAGGTGTGTGCGCGCCTGATCCAGGAGAAGAGAGAACAGACAGCCCGAGAAGCGAGCAAGGACGCAACGGCCACTCCTACCACTTCCAGCAAGGATCTCCTCTCCGTGGCGGTGAATAGTGCTTCGTTGCCCCCCGCCACACTGGTCGACCAGATGATGACTTTCCTCACGGCAGGACATGGGACAACCTCCCACGCTCTGCAGTGGTCGGTGTATTCGCTTTGCAAACATCTAGATATCCAATCCCGGCTACGAGAAGAGGTGGCATATCTTGTCGAACGGGAGATGGAAGGAGAAGAAGAAGAAGAAGAAGAAGAAGAAGGACCCACAGTGACAGCCGCAGAGATCGACTCCTTGCCGTACCTGAACGCATTCGTGAATGAAGTTCTACGCTTCTACCCGCCTATCCCATCTACAGTGCGCGAACCGCTCCAAACCACAACTTTAGAGGGGTACAAGATCCCGCGGGGAACAAAACTCGTGATCCCCATCTCGATTGCAAACAAGGATACCTCGCAGTGGGGGGAAGATGCGGGCGTCTTCAACCCCGACCGCTGGTTGAAGCCCGGGTGTGCGCATACGGGCGGCGCGCTCAGCTCGTCTTCCTCGTTGACCTTTCTCACGGGGCCGAGGAGTTGTATCGGGGCGGGGTTTGCCAGGGCGGAACTCGCTTGTTTGGTTGCCTGCTTGGTCGGCAGGTTTCAGATGCAGCTCGAGGATCCAAATAAGGAGTTGACGCTCAATCTGAAGGGGGTGGGTGTTGCTCCGGAGGATGGCGTTAGAGTCAGATTAACGATGGTATAGTATGATATAGTATGAAATTCAATATCAATCTATATAGTATAGTCGTATAGTAACTCTAATGATTCATTCTCTGCAAGTAAGCAGTCGCCCGCGCCATTTCCTCCTCTGTCGGCCGTTGCACAACCATCAGATACAAGATATCCTAACAAGTCAGCACGTAGAAAAGAGAAGAGCATTTTGATTTGCTTACCTTTTCGAAAAACTTTCTTGCCATCTTGATTCCCCCACCGGCTAACCCTGTTCCTCCGACTATGCCTCCAAGCCCTGCCCCGCGCAAGTCCATAGACGGGCCTGATCGAGTATATTGTTCGTTTCCATCTTGGCCTTGACTTCTGGAGGGATACCCCCCTCTAATATCCCGATATCCAAGTCTATCGGTAAGACGGCCTCGAGCACCGAGAGAGCCAAGACGACTACCTAGACCGTCACCACCACCAAGACCCCCGCCGAGAGAGTCTAAGCCTCTACCTACAGGACTCTGCAGATACCCTCCTGTCAACAGGGCGAGAGGGTCCCCGTTGCTAGCCGGGTGGCTTGGGTCAGCGTATCGCGAGTGGAACTCTTCCTTGGGTGCGGCGTTGGCCGTCGCGCTGTCTGGGTTCTGGTCCGCCCATTCTGCCCGAGCACGACGATCGATGTACTCCTCGACAAAGCCACCTGACTGCTTCAAGAAGTTCGCTTTTTTCTTCTTCTCCTCGCCGTCAGCACTGGCGATGGCCAGATCATCTAGCTTCGGGAACACCAAGGGGGCGGTCTCGGGCCATTCGAACGAGGTGGAGCCGCTCGAGCTGACGAACTTGTTGGCGAACCGGTTGAATGAGTCCGTCTCCTGGGTGCGGTTGGCCGCCGTGGCGATCGAGCTGTCCATTTCGTCGAGGTTGACGGTTGTGACCACCTGGCCCGCTTGGCTGGGCTTCCATGTCATAACGAGGGCGATGAGCCCGCGCGGGGCAAAGAACGACTCGTTTACCTTGTCTAGAAAGCTGTTGGTCTTGGTCCGGCTATGAATCTCGTTCGCCGCCTTGACCGCTTGCTGAACAGCGATGGAGACGAGGATCGTGAAGGGCTCTGGCACGGCGTGTCCGGCCAGGGAGGCCAAGTTCAGCACCTCGATCCAGGGACTTGGCTGAACGGCCTTGTTCAGATGGTCGAGGAAATCGAGAAACGTCGCCTGATCGATGGCCACTTCGTTCAGTACCGGCGCGTACGCACGCATGAAGCCTCGGTCGCGCCGGCCGGGCCGTCGCTGGGTGATAACCACCGGCAGATCGAGGGGCCTAGGACTCGACTGAGGGTTTGTATTCTTTATTCTCATCGGATGCTTCTTTGCGAATTCGTCGGCCATTTGGATCAGTTGTTCGTCGCTCATAGGCTCCTCCTGACCAGACGTCTTATCCCTTCCCTCCAGCTCCCGTTGAGCCTCGTCGAGCTGCCAGGCTGCTTCATCTGCCTGGGCGGCAAGCCGTGCTTGCTCTTCATATGCGGGTGATGCCGGTGCCTGTTCCTGTGTCTGTGATGGCATCTCAGCTCTATTCTTCCAATTCTTCTTCTCTTTGTGGTGATGGTAACTCTCTGAGGCGAGACCAATGCCTGATGCCACGCCCTTGAACAGCTTCCCTCCCAGACCTGGGCGGCCACCGCCTGAGCCCTGTTTTTGGTTTCCAAAGCGTCCTCCAGCCAACAACATGGTGGATAGTATAAGAAGTGCAATAGAAAGTGAGGTCTGCGTGAAACATGCTTCTGTTTTCTCATGGATGAGGCCGCTCTTATAAATGGGAGGATTGACATCGGTTGACTCTAATAGGAAGGAACATGGCCAAGAACCCCGCCCCGCTGACTAACAGCAACACCGGCCAGTGATGTTTGTTTCGGTTGCGTCGATCCTACTATGGCCTTGTTTTCTGGCCGATCTCCTACAGTACAGAGTATGGAATAGGAATAAATATAGAGCAGAGGCTCTGTGGAAATGCTGATCAACAAAGAAGCGCGTGTGGCCAAGTGGTAAGGCGTCTGTCTCGTAAACAGAAGATCGCGGGTTCGATTCCCGTCATGCGCATTCAAGAAAGCTTCGTCTTTTCTCCTGAATGACCTATCCATCAGGTAGAGTAACGAGCTGTTTTCTAGTTCATTTCTATGCCGAATGTTTTTATTCACCAGAAATACTATGCCTTTTTTAGGTCTATGTCTGATACTGTAGAATTAATCAATCGCAAGGCACTCTTGAACTTATCAAGAGCCAGAAATGCGCCCTGCTTGGAAAATGCATGGGGGTACGGTACGTACCATTGCCAGAGCTAACTATTGACAAGTCAGTCCAATGTCGAGGTCTTCAACGTGTGGTTTATTGTTCATCTTTCGCTGAACATAACCAACACTCGCCCGCATTCACTACTCTTAGACTGTACTATTTCCTACAAGCCGCCAGTCCCTTAGTATGTAGTAAAGCTAAGCTGAAAGAAGATAGCGCTCACCTGGATAGCAGGAGGCCTGATAAATCAGGTATTCATTAGGGGTGCTGGTGCGCTAACCCTTATAGGGATGGATGCAGATATAGGTATGGACAGTCGCTCTTGCCGCTGTTGGCTTTGCTCACGATCTGCGAGTTCTTTCTCCTGTCTGTGATTTTATCGACCTGAGACTGGGGTCTGTCTGCCCCTCTGCTTTGAAACTACCGGTGAGAGCAATGAGGAACGATCATAGCAGAGAAAAGAAGAGGAAACAGCCGTTTGGAAGCAGGAAGAATGGATCGTCTGGCTCGTCAAGTATTCACCAGCAGCAGATAACCACCTAACCAAACGACTTGTCAAGAGCTTACGAATCTCGCCTTTCCCGACAGCGGAGGAGAAGGCAAAATCAGTCCCCAGCAAAGCAGGTGATAGCCAAGAAGTCCCGAGCCAAATTCCCAGCATGATGCAGTCCGACGCCGCGAGATGTTGAACAAGATCGTTGAGCTGGGTCTGAAGCATGTAAAGGCGACCTTCTCAGAGAGTCATTCCACTGGGTTCTCGAATGCGAGCCGCTCCGCCAGTGGTGCGATGGTGATGATCCCCAATTGCTATGGATCAAGGGAGACCCAGGAAAGGGTAAGACGATGCTCCTATGCGGCATCGTCGACGACTTGACATCGCCTCGTCGCCCCATACATCTCTCCAATATAGCCTTCTTTCTTTGTCTGACTCCGAACTTTCGGATCAGTCATGCCGCAGCGATATTGCGAGGTCTGATCTGGATGCTGGTTACAGAGCAGTCCTCTCTGGTGACCCACGTGCAGCAGTACTGCGACAATGGCAGCGAGCAGCCATTTGGCGGTTGCAATGCATGGGCCGTATTATCGCATGTCTTCCAAACTATCCTCCAGGATCCCCAGCTCCAACAGACGTATCTCCTCATCGATGCTCTGGACGAGTGTAATGATGCGCTCGACGGCCTTTTGGAGTTTATCGCTCAGTCTTCCTCGGCATCTTCGCACATCAAGTGGATCGTCTCTTGCAAGTCGCAACTGGCCGATGATCGAGAATCTACTTCGCCCGATCGCAAAGCTGGAACTGAGTCCGGAACACCACACCGGGTCTGTCGCAAAGGCAGTCGACGTGTACATAGAGCACAAAGTTTGCCAGCTTGCAATGAACAACGAATATGAGGATGAGACGCGAGATGCAGTCCAGCGTTACTTGTCTTAACATGCAAACGGTACCTTCCTCTGGGTTTCTCTGGTCTGCCAAGAACTCGCCCATGTTTCTGGATGGGAGGCGCAAGACCGTTTGAGTCGATTTCCACCAGGACTCGATGCCCTCTACGGGCAGACGCTCCTTCAGATCCGCCAGTCCGGCCATGCGTCTCTCTGTCACCGCATCCTAGCGGTCCTCTCCATCGTCCGACAGCCACTCACATAAGATGAGCTAACCTCGTTGGTCACCTTCTCGCGCCTGGCAGCCAAGAACACCAAGGCTCAGAGGGAGATTATTGGCTTATGTAGCTCCTTTCTGTCCCTCCAAAATCTCGCAGTATCCTTCGTTCACCAGTCAGCACAAGACTTTCTGCTCCAAGAGACCGGGCCGGCCGAGATCTTTCCCAATGGCAAGAAAACAGTCCACCATGAGATCTTCCCTCGATCTCTGGGTGTCATAGCCACAGGGCTACTACGTGATATTTATGGCCTCAGAGACCCGGCTTGTAGTATTGATCAAGTTGATCGACCCGATCCTGATCCGCTCGCCGCGGTCGAGTACTCCTGTGTTTACTGGATCGACCACCTTCATCATCGCGCGAGAAGTGATTACTTTGGCTGTGATTGCCCTGTTGAAGGCTTTTTTTGTCATGATTTCCTCCACTGGCCCATGAGCCGGCCAGATCTTTCTATCTCCTTTTCTATCTATGGTTTGATCGATCTTATCATCATTCTATTATCATCCGTCAGTCATAAGGCATAGCGTTGGGCTAGATATTGGATGTTTGTAATTTCGCGGACTTGACGAGATTCAACTCTCGTTGGCAAACTTGTGTCTCTCCCTGCAAATCCGACAATTGGTAATTCAGCACAGCTGAGCGTCGATCTGGTGCCATATCCAATGACCAGAACCGGATGCGGCTTTGTTCAGGGATATACCCATTGGGATCCGCACCCTCATTCTCGATAGCCATTATTTGGGACGCGACTAGGACGAAGAATCTCGAGTCATATGATCCTTCACGGTGCGGCCAGGCCTGCAGTAGGTCCAGAGCACGCTGTCGGGTCTCTCGGTCGCGACAGCGCAGGCTCACCCAGCCCAGTGGCGCAATAACGCCCAAGTCCATCATGAGTTCTGGCAGGGGTCTGTCTTTGTATTCGGCCTTGAGGCTGGCGATCACTCGCTCGCTGATATCCACAAATTTTCGCACGCGTGGCAGGCATGAGTCGTACACCGTCTCCAACGGATCAAGAACTGTGTCCAGGTCCACCGTACCGACTAAATGGTGGAGTCGGATGATGTCGATGCTGCGGGCCTCCTTGGGCGTTGGATTGGGATAACGAGCAAGAAGCTCGTCAAAGGCGGCGATGTGCGCCTGTAGCTGACTGCGCATCTTCTCTGTCTCGACGGCTAGATGGAGCAAGTCGGTGGTGGGGTCATGTAAGAGTGGTGCACATGTTGTGCGGAACCGAAGGATATTGTTGAACACCGAGTCGAGTTTCTGTTTGGCATCGACTATGCTTGTGAAGACGACGCCTTGGTGTACAACATCCGTCAGACTAGCGATGGCTAGACTCAGGTCCGGGAGCGATGTTTTGGCTCCGAAATGCGCAGACTGCACGTCTACATGCGTGAATACCTTCAACAGGGCCGACTCGTCTGTGGATCGATGATCGGAGGAGGAGTCGCACAAGACTTTCGTCAGCAGCGACGAACGAGCGACGGCGCCGCGATGGTTAGTGAGAATGTGCAGGGCGTTTGCCAGATGGGTGAAAGCGTGGTCGTAGCGACCCTGCAGGTACTCGATGAAGATGAAGGCCAAACAGCAGACCAGGACCACCTGCCGCAGGCACGGATCGTTGGATCTAAGTCGTTTGGAGAGGAGCGAGATGGATTTCCCGTACTGCTCCAGGGCAAACTGCTGATGTCTTCTAGGGTCCCAGGCGCCCTGGCCTCTTGAGGAGGCTTCATGCAAGGCACTCAGGGCGGCTACCGCGTGGCAGACGGCCGGGTCCGCCTGAGCCATCTGCAGGACCAGCCGTTGCCAGATCTCCGAATCGAACCAGCCGACCATGGCGGGCACGGTGTGAGCGCGAAAGTAGGAAAAACACCGGCGCTCATCGGTACTCATCCCGGGGAGGTTCACCTGCAAGCAGCGGTTGCTGCTGACCAGGGTATCCGTCCGATGGTTCACCACCACCGCCACCGGGCCAGTTTTGCGCAAGGCGGCAGCGGCGGGCAGGATCGCGATATCATATCCATCGCAGATGCGTCCTGTCGAGGTACAGTTGGTGCATGAGGCAGGGGTTTCGTCGCATTTGATGCGTCGAACACGGCAGGTCCGACAGCCGGTTTTCGATCGGCGGGAAAAGACCCGCTGCCGAGGGGGCATTAAATAGTAAATACTAGCAGTTCACTGTTCAATGATATAATTCCAATACTCCGTCACAATCCTTCCGAAGTGAAGTGCAGAGGCAATCCATCGAGGTACCCCGCTCTTCCAGGTCTCCCTTGCATCGAGCCCCTTTTGATCCTGCTGCCCCGTTATTTGACTGGACCATGACTTGTGATGGTAAGGACGGTCCTGACTCCTGAGAGAGGACGCCGTCCATCAGACGGAGCACTTACGGAGGACACCAGCCGTGACGTGGTCTCTTATTATCAATAATATCCACTGGACATAGAATGGTACAGCGTATAGGCTTGACGCTGTGTGTTCGTGGTGCTGTCAGCCAAGAATTTCAGTGGAATGGAAGTCCCGGGTCAGGTCATCCGCGCTTTCCGCTCTCGGCATTACGTAAGCGGTGATCTCGGCCACGGAGAATCTATATTCCGTCTAGGCATTACAGATAGTTACTAGCCTACTAGTAGTTAGTTACTAGGTAACTACCTAGTACCCAACTAGTTAGTAGTTACCTGTACTGTGCTCACGAGCCTTATTGACTAGACCGTCGCCAAGACCTTCCCATCTGCACCTGACTAAGCATAGCACATGATATATCCAATACGAGTGGCCCTCCGGTCGGCTATCATGACTGCTAACTCCATACTACAGTACTAACTAACAGCCAACTATCTCCCACTATCTCCTAGTAAGCAACTAACTCGGCTATCAGAACTCGTCTCCAGCAGCTTGGCTCTGCATCCAGACCCTGGCCAGTGCCTGCATAAGTTTACTTTACCAAATTGTTCAGAACGGGCTGTGAAATCGAGTCATGGTTTCCTTACTATTCATAGTCTCTGTAATAGTAACCTTCAAGCCCCTGGTTCGGTTCAGCCCTGAGAACCCCTAGGCCCACAAGAACCAGGGAAAAGCAGAAACGTCAATAAAAAAGACGATCGGATCAATTATTATTGTATTATGAGACTCTCTTCTTCATTTAATAATACGGAGTACTACATAATAAAGGGATGTTCTCCCGTATTGTACTTACGATCGTAACCGCCCACTTTGCCTCTCTTCTTAGCCCGATGGGGTATCGAGAGGCGTTTCTGGGCACTTCTTGTCTTTGTGTCTTTCTCCTCCTCGGCAACCTTTGCCGTTCATGGAGGGATCCTCTTGTCTTGACCTGAGCTGAGCGGATGGCCTTGGATGCTAGAGTCCTGGGCGTTGGCAACGGTTGGCGAAGAACTCCCTCCCCTCTCTCTCTCTCTCTCTCTCTCTCTTCTCTCTTTCCTCTCCTTTCTCCTACCAAGAACAGCCTCTCCTTCTTTTCCTTCTCTTCTTCTTCTTATTCTCTCACTCGTTTTTTTCTTTCGTCACTCCAGGATTAAATCCCTTATAATCTACTCCTGGTCTGTTGACGATATTACGCTCTTTATGAATTGATTTGCTCTCTCTGCCTTGCCGTCGTCGATTTGTATATCTATCTATCAATTAATCGATCTATCGATCTATCTATCTATCGATAGACAATGTCGAAATTCAGTCTTTACAGTCTCGTGGGCCTTCTGGTCGGGACATACGCATACGATTGGCCGACAGACGGCTCAGATCTCCAGACTTTTGTGACGGTAGGTTATCTCGGGCTCGCCTCTGCTGGTAAAACGAGTATAACTGACTGGGTGGTTTAGATGCCCGATGTCTACACAATTCAATGGAATATCACCCACTATGACAGAGAGAGAGCTGCCCCGGGCTATTGGTTTATAGCCCCCTACGCAACCTACACGCCCGAGCCGGCAAGTAAGATCTGGCAGCCGCATCAGGTCGGCTCACAAATCTACGACTCGGATGGCGAGCTGGTCTGGGTCCACATGAACAACTATGACGGCGACAACCGCAATGAGATGGACTTCCGCGTTCAGGATGGTCAGGACGGCGAGAAACTGCTGACCATGATCGTCAAGATGGGCTTCAACAGCCACAAGAGCGGTGCCTGGGACAAGGGCACCGCCATCATCATGAACGACCGCTACGAGGTCATCCATCGTCTGCACGAGCCCGATGAATTCAGCGAGTTCAACGCCCACGAGTTTCAGCTCACCGATGGCGGTCGCTCCGCGCTCGCCACCCCGTACTGGGGCTTGCACGTCCCCCTGACCGACTGGGGGCGCCCCGAGGAGGAGAGCTGGGTGGCCGCGGGAGGCATCATCGAGCTCGACGTGACGGACTCCGCTGTCCTCTTTCAGTGGAATTCCATCAACCATATCCCCCTCTCCGAATCCGTCCATCTCGGCCCGGAAACCGCCATCGACCCCCAGCCCAACGGATTGGACTACATCCACGTCAACTCCGTCGACAAGCTGCACGGCAACTACCTGCTCTCGTCCCGCTTCACAAGCACCATCTACTGCATCTCCGGCATCGACAAGCAAATCCTCTGGCGTCTGGGCGGCAAGTTCTCCGACTTCACCCAGGACTTCACCTTCTCCAAACAGCACCACGCCCGCTTTATCTCGGGCAACGACACCCACACCGTCATCTCCTTCATGAACAACGCCTCCGATGACTGGTCCAACGACGAGCCCACCTCGTCCGCCATGTACGTCCAGCTCAACACCGTCACCATGACCGCCACCGTCCTCCACAGCTACCCGCGGCCCGACGGGCAGCTCAGCCGCATGCGAGGCAGCAACCAGCTGCTGCCCAACGGCAACGTCTTCGTCTCCTGGAGCGAGGACGGCTACCAGTCCGAATTCGCCGAGGACGGCACCCTGCTCATGGAGGCCCGCTTCAGCTCCAAGCGCTTCAACACCTACCGTGCCTTCAAGCACGAATGGGTCGGCCGTCCCACCTACCCGCCCACCCTCGTCGCCCATGTCCACGGCACCGGTGCCGACACGGGCTTCACCACCGTCTTCCACATCAGCTGGAATGGCGCCACCGAGGTCAAGCTCTGGCGCTTCTTCGCACGCGACAGCCAGAGCGGAGACCCCGTCTACATCGGCAACGCAACCCGCTCCGGCTTCGAGACCATCTTCACCACCAAGGGTTATCTGGACTGGGTATGTGCCGAAGCCATCAACGCCCAGGGCATCTCCATGGGCTGGTCCAAGGTTTCACGCAGTCGCTTCCCAGACCTGCCGCGGCACGTCTCCCCGGCCGACTATCTTGGCGTCACCCCCGACGATCCTACCGTGCTGTACGCTAAATCTAGTGCGACATCCTCCTCCTCCAACCATTTCATGAAGACCATCGAAAGCATCAAAAACACCCAACCCACCCAGACAACAACTCTGTACATAGCCCTGGCCGCCATCACGCTTTCCGGTCTGACCTTCCTTGTCCTTCTTTTCAAAAACTTGCCGTTCTTCCACCGGAGAAAATACCAACTTGTACGATCCGATGAAGAGGGATCAATCCACTCCAACTAGTTCGACTTATGTCTTCTCCATCACGAAACTTTCATTTTCTTCTTCTACGATCCCTTTTCCCGGCGGCGCATCTGGATGGTTGGTGTATTATTCATTACTTCATTACATGCTCTAATCATGGTTCACCACTTTTGCAACCTTTTCTATCTTACATATCAGCGTTCTACATTACAGTCATATAGCAGAGCCAAGAGTCATCAGATTATTCTTCTTAATAAATATTCTTCATACATTACATGTATTATATAATTGTATAACTTTTACAAGCATTAACTATACCTACATTATAGCTTAGGTTAGGTAAAGAGGCAATCATAGTCTACCTAGGGATCACCCTGAGTGTTACTTGACAGCAAAGGCAAGATATCATATAGTTCTATCTGCTAGTATACCTATAGCCTCAGGATACTCATGATAGTTTAGGGTATGCAGATCACTGTGTGGGTACTTAACAGCAGTATATGAATAGGGGAGAAGAATAGAAGAAATGGAAAATGAAATGGTCAATATTCATTAACTATAATACAGCTAAGTAGATGGGAAGCCCTGATTTCTACATCTGATGTTTAAGATAAATATTTATATACTTTTATTATTATATGCTTACTGTTAATTTCACCATCAGCCTCCTAGATGTTGTCACTAGATAATCTATATAGTATCAAGATATTTGAGGTTATCTTTTGCTATGGATTCTTCCCCCTGGTCATAGTGGTGTCATATAGGAATATAATATCTGCTGGAATGCCATATTCCTATTGAATAAATAAATGCTTTATTAATATATTCTAGATGGGTATAGAGTGTATCTTTCTTTTATATTAACAGACCTTCTATAATGATGCTTACTTAACCTCTAACCCTGGAACCTTCCTCTTCTTTCCCCCTCTCTTTCCCCTCTTTAGGCTTCCTTCTTTCAACTGCATCGCGTTGACTACCCTTCCATCTCTCTCTCAGCTTACGCTCTCCAATTTCTCAGTACTCCAGCCCAGTACCCTTTTCATAACGCCCTACTTACCATCTCGCTAGCACTGATCTACTAGCTTGCTCTCATCATGGAGCAGACTCAAGAACAAGTGCTGAAGAATCTTTTTCGCTCCCTCGATAAGTCAGCAAAGGAAACGACAACCGCTCTTGCAGGGGCTAATATCCGCCATGGCTTCATCGGTGGATATGCGACTTCCCTCCTCGGTGGAGTGAGGATGACAAGTGTACGCCTTCCCTGTATCCTTTTGATCTTCGGGTATTCCTTCAGCTAATTTTGACCAGGGACATCGATATCATCGTTGATGCAGAACCAAGCGATACCCGAAACTTGCTACTCCAGGCTCATCCTGGATTCAGACTGACCCAGAGCAACAAACTTGTCTTCGTGGACGGAGAGGAGAGCATTCCGATCGAGCTTCTTCGTGGTGGCAGCACTCGTCAGTTGAAATTGCCCGATGCAAACACGGTTTCGCTTCTCTCTGTAACAGCCAGCAGTCGACCGGGGCGTATCGAAAATACCCCAAGTTAGTTCCCTTTTTCACCTTTGGGGAATTCTCTACTAAATTGGGCTTTCACTAATCGCTTTATTTCAGTCCCTATCCTTGCACCGGCTGTTCTCGTTCTAACAAAGATCAAGAGATGGGTATTCGCGGCCGAATCCACCCGCCCCCAGAGCATTAGAAAGGCCCAGAGAGACGTTCAGGATATTGAGGTGATCTTGGATTGGCTTGCTAAAAACAATCTTCACATCGATCTTGGAAGTTACCCGGACAAGCCAAAGGAAGATCTACTTTCTGGGGTTCGAAAGTTGCACCAAATGCATGCTAACCTTCGCCCTTTGCTTGAGACTACTTTGGAAGCGAAGGACTTTGCGCTCATCAACAATTAGATAGCTGGTAAATAGACCGACAGTCGCGAACAACAGATTCCGCAATACATAAGTATTCCTCTCTAGATGCGCCCCAATCCCAACTCTTCATCTCCAGTACTGCCTCTTCAAGTCTTTGCTGGAAATCCTCCTCGCTCTCCTCGTCCTCCCATCCAACTTCCTTGGTATTCAGCGGTTTGTCGCGCAAAATGTAGAAGGATATAAACGACAATAAATCATCGATGACTCTCAGTCTGAAGCTATCGTTCACCGGGTGGTATAAGAGATGACGAAGCAACGACACCATATACATGGGAGGTTTGGGCGTCAGTATCGGCAGCGTACGATCAAATGTCGATGTGACTTTGACGGTGTCTTGGAGCGCAAGGCCGACAAAGGAAAGTGGGTAGAGATATATGGGACTGCTCTCATCCAGTTTGTGCTTGTGGACGATGCAGCCTCGCTCCCATGGTCCGTACCTGTCAGTCACCTTTGTGGATGGAGGGACACGGGAGAACCCATATTTTGATAGTACTTGCGATGAAAATGATAGAAGTTCATCGGGGACTGCCCATTCAACAAGCTAGAGGTAGTACTAGCAGTTAGTGAAATTATTTTTCAATAACTTCAATGCAGTAAGGCTTACTAGAAGGACCATAGGGTCTCCGCCGCGGTACTGCACCTGCTGCCCGTACTCTACCACAGGGATATTCTTGTCGGCTAGAGCTCTGGCAGCTAGCCTCACGATAGGCGCATGAAGTTGTTCTGACCTTGGCTCTTCTCGTGGTGGTAGTCCCATCTTGAAATTGTTTTAAAAAAAATTAATGCAGCTTGGATGGTAGGATGGTAGCGGAGATGACGGAGGTTGACGAAACATTTGAATTTCTACGGTCCGAACAATGTGATCACATGATCTCCCATAGCGATGGTCCGATGGATGCCTGGATTGTCAACCTATGGCAATTTCTTTGAAGCTTAAATATAAGCAATATTCCAACTTGAAAAAACTGAAACTCCTATATATCTATAGTCTATGGTATACCTATAACAATGCTGGGATATGTAGTGCCGACCCCGCCGCCAGATTCAACGGCACGGTATTCAGCGGCCGTCCGCTGCTGGTCAACAGGATGATGGCCTCCGTCGCGGTGAAAGCGCCGAGCACTGTCCCTGCAAGGGGGAGAGCGCCCCAGCCGTGTGCGCAACTGTTCATTAGCTTCTATATATGGTAAGTATATAATGAAGAAGCATACCAAGTTTTGATGGCTTCCTGATCTACCACGGCGTGAGTCAAGCCCTTTTCTTCAATCAGCTTACGTATCATCGCCTCGACTTTGGCTTCATGGCCGGCCAGAGATACTGCGGCTGGCCGGTGCGCGGCGGGATATCCCTGGACGGTCTGGAAGACTGAGCCGGAGGCGTAGACGACAAGAAGGAAGGATATCATCTCGGGAGACGAGAGATCCACTGCAGCTGCAAAGGCTTTGCGAACTCGTCAAGGTCAGCGCGCTACACAGAGATATATGTATATATGTATGTCCAGTGTTGACTCCAACTCACCCCTTTCACATTTCTCCATTGTGGGAGGCTCCGGTCTATTTTCCAGCTCGACTCCTTCGAGCACAACAGTCTCAGGGCCGCTGGTGTCTGTATTTGTTTGTAAGATTTAGAAATAGCCGGAAAGATGAGGTGGGTTTTTTTTACCTTTGTGAACACGGAATTGACTGCGCATCTTGCCGTGGAATTCATTGCTTCGGGTGATGATCAAGGGGCGTGAGGCTGGTAAGAACTATTAATTCGGATCTTCGTATGTGATTGTTCGGTAGTATTCTACCTTCAAATAAGATCTTCCCAAGAGCTAGTTCTATCTCCCTGGGAACACACAGCGTGATGACCAGCGAAAACTGCCGGATTTCATCTGCCGAACCCTCGACAAACGCCGACAGATCCTGTCTTCCATCAGCAGTCTGGTTTGGGAGAAAAGAAAATAGGGACCGAGACTAACCTCCGTTCGAGTTGTGACGGTCAGTTCCTGGCTGCGTGTAGACAACCATCTGCAATAGCCATGAATTAGTGAGAATTACTCTCACAATTTCAGGAGCGAAACAAACCCCGCAATTGCCTCCGCAACTGGCTCTCCGATCGAAGCCGATAACCACTCGTTGCCCGCCACCTCCGTCTCGTCGAGACGCTTATCGCTGAGAATCGTAAACCGCTTTACCCCTGGCAGTCTGTCAGTCTCAATTCCACCCACAAGACACAGTCGGCAGTAACGAACCTGCTTCCACAAGCCTGCTCAAACATTCGGCACCTGCAGGGTCCAATCCGACCACGAGGACACTGGTATCAGCTGAAATCGGCGACATTCCGGAGGGGTATTCTTGTGGGAGAGAGATGGAGGGGTTACTTTCTGTGAGTCTTCGAGGTTTATGGAGTTAAGACAAAAAGGATCCAGCCGACCCAAGCGAGCACATGACTTGAACAGGGGCACGTGGAAGGAAGACACAATAATTTCGATTTTTTTTATTATTCAGATTTATATATACACTTCTCATTACGGATTTCCGTCTTCACTGGTAAGTACTAATATACTTATACTATACGGAAGACTAACAAAAGATCCGGAATTACTAGAGCTGCCCTTTCAATGCATCTCGGTTTCATGGAGCACATCACGGCCGTAATTGCCAGTGCACTCGGTGGAGGCAAACTTCCTGGCGGAGATCTTGCGGGTGAACAGCTCGTCGATCTGAGCGTGGGAGCGCCCGGTATAGTCTGGCACCACAAAGAAGGAGATAATCCAGAAAAAGAAACCGAAGCCACCGAAGAAGAAGCCCGTCTTGGGTCCCCAGCTGGACAGCATGAAAGGCAGATAGACGCCCGAGGTCTGGCCCAGAACAGCGATGATCGATTGCGAGACTGAGGTGGTCTTGGCTCGCAGGAGGGTGCTGCCTGATTCCGAGGTGTACAGGTAGCTGACCGCTTGAGGACCCAGCTGGCTGCCCATGTTGGAGATGACCAGGCCGGCAATGAGGAGGTTGCCGGCAAGAGTGCTGCCGCCTGGGTTACCCCAGCGAGCACCTACAGCTCCGATCATGACTAAGGAGAGAGGTTGGTTAGTTCGACAGCAAACAGGAGGGAGAGAAAGATTGACTTACGCATGCCACCCGCTTGGAAGAACAGACCGATCATGTAGATCAGGAAACGTCCAACGCGTTTGTTTTCCACCAGTGCGACGGCGACAAGGTTGAAGAAAAGACCGGTGCACTGCACGATCACAGTCGACTGGAGCGCGTTCTCCTGTCCGGCCAGGTCGAAGAAGTCTGCGCAAAGCCTCAAGTCAGCAAAGTGTTTTTATCGAGTCGAAAAATCTAAAGACACTTACAGGTAGACAGGATAAACATGATGTATCCAGACATGATCCACGCAACACCGGGTACCAGAGCCACAATGGTTCTGCGGAAGTTGGTACCGCGGAAGCACATGAGCCAGGAAACGCTCTTCGTCTATTAGAAAATACGTTAGTATATGGATATACTATGACTGCAACAATTTAAAAGAGGCAAGCAAGACTTACCGCTTCAGCCTGTTCACACTCCTTCTCAACAGTGTACCGGATCTTGGCCAGCTCGACCTCCACCTCTTCGGGGGTCATGTAGGGATAGATCCATTGGATAGACTTCCGGGCACCAGCCAGGTCATCTTTAACGACAAGCCATGATGGAGACTCGACAAGCATGGTGAAAATGCCAATGGAGAGGATAACAGGGAGTGCAATCATGATGTACAGAGGGATCTTGTACTGCTTGGTGTCGGCCGGATCGGTGATGGCCTTGGTGCACAAGTCGAGAATCACTGCAGAAAGGAGATTGCCGATGTTGGCTGGCGTGTGAGATTAGTATCCCACTCTTTCTGAATATCAATCAAGCGGCAACGCCCACTGAAGACTCACTGAAGACCTGGAATCCGATCAGCGCGCCACCACGCAGCTCGCGAGGACTGATTTCTGCCACATAGGTTGAGGTACTGGACTGGATGGTGCCAATAGCAAGACCCATGACGGCCTTGGAGACCAGCCAGTCAATCCAGTTCCTGGAGAATGTCTCGATGATAGCGCCGACGAAGATGATGACCATGGACCCCTGTACGACATATTTGCGACCGTACCGATCCGAAATAAAACCGGCAAGGTAGATACCAACGAACTGGGCAGGGGTTGCAGCAGCAGTCCATCTGAAATTATTAGCCAATTTGTCTTTTTTTGTCTTCTTTCCTTTTTCTTTCGAAGAACATACGCAGAAACGTGCCCGGCTGGTACTACATATGCATCGGAAGCTTCAACCCAATTTCCCATGACTTTGCAAAACGCCTGGGAGCCGACCATACTGCCCGACATACTCAATTCAATACCAGTGATAACGGCCGTCGACTACAAACGAGGATCTGGGTCAGTTTGATTCCATTACATGCCAAGGAAGCCGACCGTACCAAAATGACGATGAGCACCGCAAAGGCTCTCGGGTTCTTTCTGAAGACCGCCCAGACGCTCTGTCCACCGCTAAGCTCCTCGAGAGCAGCCTGCTCGACATGGGCATCGAACGTCTTTGTCTCTTCGACATGATTTGCGGTCTCTTCTTTCTCCATGGTCAAAGGGATGGCTCAAGGTGGAAAAAGAAGAGAACAAACAAAAAAAAAAAAGACAGTGGTACGCTTCGAATAGAAACCAAAGCTCGACGAAAAGGAAAGAGGAGAATTATAACTCGACCGGCGAAGCAGCTGGTAGTCATACCTGCCAACCCCACACTATCCTTACCCCATGGGCACCATTACCATTCCATTAAGCTTTGACGCAGAACGTGGAGACAGGCGAGATACCCGGTCTTACCGACAGAATCAGAAGTCTAGTCTCGTTCTTTTTTTTCTTTCTCACTACACTTTCTTCTAGGATTCTTTCTTTTCTTGAAAGTCAAGTTCTACTTCTGTATAGGATTAGTATTTCTCTCTCCTTAAAACACCCCCCCTCCAGTTCGTGTCACAGCACACAACCATTTGGATTGCTCCCAGAATCCGGGTTCCTCGCCTGGCTCGGCTGGAGGATCGCGGTCCTTGCGAGTCCACATGATTTGAACTTTCAGCCACCCGATCACGCCGTCCCCTACTATTGGAAGGAGAGCGTACCTGCTGCGTGGCAAATCAAGACAAGAAAAAGAGCCGGTCGGAACTAATTCATGCCAGCCTATGATGACTCTTGGTGGTACAGGGCCATCCCTTCCCCCGTCGTACGGTCATTGCATCGGCAGCTCCGTCTGTTTTCGGCCTTGCGACCATGGTACGAGAGGGAATCCAGGCCTAGAACCTTAGTTGAAACTTTCGCCGCTTGGAGAGCCCGTTTTTGGAACCCAAGTCTACGGAATGATAGTTTACTAGTTACCAGCTGGTTGGGAGTTCGTATTCATGAAGAGTACCTCAGCTGTGATGATCAAAGCGCGAGTCACGGTATTAGAAATCCCGACCGATTGGAACTGAACTTCACTGCTAGCAGATATCTACCAGGCAGCGGTATTAAGTAATAATCGATTACTTAACAGACCTCATCTCCTTCTCTATCCCCCCCCTCCTCCTCGCAACATCACACAGGGCAAGATCACCACACTCACACTCCCCCCTCCTCACCCAGCGATACGTCAGACTCCAGCGCTCGCCACGTGGCCGCACCCTCCCGTCCGGAAGGGGATCCGTCTTGCGCTTCTTAATGCCATGCGTCCAATGCAGCCTGGAGTCGCCGGACATGCACATCAGACTGCGCGGGGTGAGATCGACCTCCACCCGTCTCTCGCCTTGCCGGAACTCCATCAGCGTCGGGGCGCCCAGCGATAAAGCGTACAGTTCGTCCCAGGCCCCGTGGGCGTCGACATGAGGCGGAATCCCGCTTCCGGGCGGATAATACTGTAGACAGACTTGGTCGGGGGGGCGTCCAACTTCTTGGCTTGCTTGACTTGCTTGACTTGTTTGGTTTTTATCATTGTGCTGGGGAACCTTCGGAATCAACGGAATCAACCATTCTGGAAAAGGTATAAAAGGCACGTTTGGATCGACCCCGAAAGTGGTGTAGTCAAAGGTATACCCGTAATGTAGAGCGAGACGGCCAGACCGGTCAGGCCAGTCAAGGGAGCGGAAGATGGAGAGGAGCTGTGTTTCATGTTCGGGGGTGATGAAGTCGTCTTGCCAGAAGAGACCGTGTGGTTCTATCGGTAGCTCATGTAGGCCGAATAGACAATGGAGGTTATCATGATCATGGTTTTCATGGTTATCCATGATAAAGTCCTAGTAGGTACAATAGCAGTACTCTGTAACAGTAATAATAGTAGAAAGGCTAAGGGTCTCCTTACTTTGGTTATTAAGACTGTCAAACTCTGACTGCCCCACCAAGACAATTAAAGGTAGACTTTATTCTATTCTGATTGGATGGATCAAATATCAAATACCATCTTATAGAAGAGTAACATTCATAAAGAGTGAATGACTGCGAAAGTGCATGATAAAGGTTAAATGAGACAGGGATATATACGCTAATACCTTATATTGCTCTTGAATTTCCTATTTATTTTCAAGGCTACTAACTGACTCATCTCGTTGTAAAGTACAAATCTATATATTTATCTACTGCCAAACGAGCCCGTAACCCTCGCTACGCTCGGGGGCTCGAGGGGCCCCACCAAGATGTCGGGTGAATCGGACCGGAATATGAATAGAGAACAATAGAGACTGATAACATATCTAAGACCTCAAAATTTCCCACGATATTTGAACTTAAGCATCATCTCATCCTACCCCCCCCCCCCCCCCCCCCCTAAGATACTGCTCCCTTTACTGCCCGTACCAACATCTTTTCTCCTGCTCGAAGCAAATACTTTCCTCCTGCGCCGTTATGGCGCCCAAACGTACGCGTTCCGGGGCCGCAAAGAAGTCTGGCGGTCCAAAAAAGGCGGCGGCGGCTCCCCCCCCTGGCCCCCCAAAGGTGGCGACTGGTCCGGCCCCTGCGCCCGGCACACTTGTCTTTGCGGCCCTCATAAGGGTCGAATCATTATCTAAAACGACCAATACTGCCCGTGTGCTGGTAAATATGGCCCCATTGCGCGAGCCGAACTTTCGTCTAGGCCGTGGAAACGGGTTCCAGTACAAACTAGTCAACATTGAGGCTATACTGGGCTAGAGCGTCGGCTCTGAGGCCCCCGTGCCGTGCGACCACTGCGCCAGCGGATATGGACCCTGGGACTGTTGTGTTGTTATTATGGGCTATCTATAGGGCAGTTGTGCGAACTGCCACTGTTATAGTTCTGGCAGCCGATGCACGTTCCGGCGTAAGTAATATGATGTCCGCCCCGTAATAAGCAATATACTGACCATAATTAGCAAAGAAGGATGGCAGCAGCGGCGGCGGCGGCGGCGACGGCACCAACACCAACACCAACACTAACAATACTAGCAACAACGGGACCGGCGCGGCCGGTACGGTCCCCGTTCAGACCCATAACTTCTGGAGAATGCTCGCTCTGGCCCTCCAGACATCCTCATCGGCCATGGCCATGGCGGCGCAGGCAGCAACCGCAGCCGCAGATGCACTGGCCGTAGCGCAGGGCATCTCGGCCGTTCCTGGCCCTACTGACGGGGGAACTGGGGGCAACGGCGGCAGCGGCGGCTTGGGGGGCTCCAGGGGCTCTGGCCCTGGCCCTGGCTCTGGCGGCGACGGGGGCTCCAGGGGCTCTGGCGGCGGCTCTGGTCCACTGCCAAATGGGCTGACAGTTGCCTTACACTAAGAAACAACATGACCAACCACCGAGCACCAATGGAGAATCGACCAGGAATTGAAGTATTGCGAGGTTAATTTGTAATTAGAATATACAGTCTAGTTTGAATGTCGGCTTTTTTATCGATAACCAATATAAGTCCGTGATATTTTCGATAATCCTCAGCCCTGCCGCGAATCGACTGACCGACCAGTCTGCCCCACCGCCCACGCAATACAACCATGCCAATCCAAAGGCAGCGCTTCAGCCACTGCTTCGATCGTCTCCTCCCCCCAGCCTACCATCCAGATATGGTCGCGGATCCAGTAGAGGATGACGGCGTAGTTGGCGAGAATGGCAAGTGCCAAAGGCTCCTCTTCGGCAACTAGCTTCCACAGTCCCGCGGGACTCGCGATGAGGAAGAAGACAAGGGTCATCCGGGTGTTCTGGTAGACCAGACTGGCGTTTAGGGCGTGGCGGAGAGCCTGAATAGAGCAGGTGTAGATATGCTGATGCTCCTTGCTTTCGGCTGGGACACGCAGCCGGAGGGTTGCCAGCATCTCCTCGATTTCCGCCGGCGGCGAGGGTAGCAAAAGCAGCCGGGAAGGGTCCAGCATCAGTACCGACCATCGACTGTGCGCCATGGCGGTGTGGTCTGATTTGATGACGGAGATGGAATTGCGGACGAGAAGGAGCACCTGGATGATCTTCGCGAGAGGGGTGTCGGACGATTCGGAGAGGCGCTGGATCCCAAACGCATATAACAAAACCATGCACGAAAACGCAAAAACTGCGTCCTGCTTGTCGCGGGCGATGTGGGCTAGGTGCGGGCGGAACAGGGCGACGCCCAGGTCATGGTGATGGATGGCGAGAAGAATGTGTTTTCTCTGCGGGGAAGTTTCGCGCAGCGCCAGATGCAAGGCGCTGATGCTCAAGATGCCGTGCAGCAGGAAGTCATTCGCGAGGGCGAGCTCAACCGTCCACTCGTTCCACAAAGCGGCTTCTTCGGGTCCGGTAAGATCGGAGATGCTCTTCGCGGTGTGGAGGGTATAGTGGTGCATCAGACGGAGCCGGTCACGCTCTTCTTCGGCGAAGAAATATTCTCTCTGGTCCTCCTCCGAGGCTTTGAGATCCTCCGGCGAGCTGTTTTCTTTAGACCCCGTCGACGCACCCGACGATGAGGCTGTGTTGTCCGTCATGATCACCCATTCCAACGACTCCGCAAGGGAACACTCGGCGCCTATCCTCGCACACCGGCCACACTTTGGTTTATTCTCGTCGCACTGAGCTGTCAGAGGAAAAGAAAAACCCCCTTGCCACAGACAGATCAGAAAGACCATACCTTGGTCCTGTTCCTCTTGCACTGGAGACAGCCAAGGCGGCTTTTATGGTGGAACTTCCTCTGGGACATACTAGTAGTAGTACCTAGGTTATTGCACGAGACATGTAGCTTAGGTCAACCGCGGCCTCGTAAAAGTGGTATCTTTTCATAATGCATTAATCAAGCCGGACGAGAGAGTACTGGACAAGAAATACGTAGTGGCCCGAGGGGTTTAGTAACAACGTGGTTAATAATCCAGTATTAATAATAATAGTAAGCATATAGATATATAATATATTATAAATAGTATTTAAGCTAGTATTATAATTTATAAACTAGTTTTAAGGTTGTGGTATGGTTATAAAATAGTTATAATAGTTATAATATAGTTATAGTAAGGTTATAAAATAGTTATAAAAGATAATTAATAATAAAAAATTAATATAAATATTAATATTGTTCAC